TCCGTTTCCAGCGCGACAAACACCTCGTGAACACCAGATAGCAGCGGGAGTCAGTGTCGCTCCTGGACGGTGAGACAGACGTCGAGGACCCCTGGGTCATTCGCAGCGCTGTCACCTCCAAACCAACTAGTCGCAAGCCCGCGCTGGGCACAACAGTACGAAGTAGTGGTTGCGACTTCGACGATGACTTGTAAGAAAGGGTTTGCTCCCCACACCGGAGCTCGCGCTATTCCGCCGACTTTACTTGACACTTGACTGACTCACGACTGCCATCCAGAGCACACGAGAAGCCCGAGGTGACAGCGTTGCGAATGACCGAGGGTCCTCGACGTCTGTCTCACCGTCCAGGAGCGACACTGACTCCCGCTGCTATCTGGTGTTCACGAGGTGTTTGTCGCGCTGGAAACGGAGCGTCTCTGTAAGTTTGTATCCCTGGTGATGGTTGTGCCTGGAGAGCACTATAAAAGTGGTGCTCTTCAGGCACAATCTTCCTCAGCCTACTCAAGCTCAACTGATGAGGGGTGAATTCCCCGAAACACTGTGTATTGAGCAGGGAGTGGTGCTTTCTTGTAGGTTTGCCGAGTCGAAGGTTCGATGGACTTCTCGTGTGCTCTGGATGGCAGTCGTGAGTCAGTCAAGTGTCAAGTAAAGTCGGCGGAATAGCGCGAGCTCCGGTGTGGGGAGCAAACCCTTTCTTACAATATACACAGTGATAAAGTAAAACAGAGAACATGTTCACATGTATACGTACTCTTGCACACACACGCACAGTCGATTTACGACTGCCGGATTATGAAGTCAAACTACGTGCAGTTTGAGCGATTCGTTTCAAAAAGTCACTGCCGGAGGCGGAATTCAAGTGCCGGATTAAGATGTAGGAGTTGAACGAAAAAAATCGGTTTCGTCAGAAAGTGCGCCGGTTGGCAAGGGTTCCGGATAAACAAGTGCCGGATTAGAGAGGGACGACTGTATAACAAAAGCCATGTTCCTCTGCTCCACATGTCATCTGCAGGCCACAGAGAGAGACGTAGTCGTGTAAGAGGACGGGCAGGAATGGAAACCCCCTTACAACGAAAAAACGCATCGTCATGCAGGGAGCAGAGGCCCCTCCCCTTGACATCAAGTCTGGCCTGAGGCTGAGGGTCAACTGTTGGCGGGCCTTGGAAAAGCTTCACCAGCAAGGGGTTGCTGTTGCTTTTGCTACTCTTTCGCTTTCCCTCCTGACCTCTACTCATCTTTTTCGCCGTGGTTGTCTAACACCCTTTCTTCACATAGGCCGGTGTTTCCACTGAGCCTTCAGATGTAGCAAAAAATACGAGAGAGCTTGGAAGCTCAGGGCCCTGCGCTATGCTTTGTTGCCTAGCTCATCGTGCATGTTGTTAGAACTGATGGAAATGCTTTTTCCTTTGATTAGCTAAATCATTGTTTTGCAAAAACGTTTCAATGAGATACTGAAGTACAAGTAACGTCTTCTGCATAGCTATGGGACCGGCGCTGACTCTGCCGATGACGGGCGTTCTGGAGTCGACGGGATGTCTGTCCTGACGTTTCCTGGGACCGGCGCTGACTCTGCCAATCACGGGCGTTCTTCTTCTTCTTCTTCTTCTTATTATTATTATACTGACGGCAACTAACATCCATTCTGATTGCATTTACTCGTCTCCCTACTTCGTATTTCTTTCCAGAAAATCTCCCCATACAGCAGGGAGTCGTTTACATAATATGACTCCCTGCTATGCATCTACATGACTGTATATACGTTATAATTATTATGCTATCGGCCTACATGCGATTTCCGGGCTGGTCGACAGGCGGCCCAGCCAGCCTGCTAGTGGGATCTCGGCCTCGCACACAAATCCACACAAAATTTAATGTTACTGCACTGAATGCATTCCCCCCATACACTTCGCATATATACTCATTCTCTTGATGGTACCGTACTCTTGATGATACGGGACAGGTACGGGATAGCGCCAGGCATGTCGATGGCACAAACAAACAAAAATATTGTGGCCAGCTGTCTTTGTGGTCCACTTCACAACAATAACACACACAGAAGTCTCTGCTGTGAGCACGGTGGCTCGGCAATGGCTTTATTATTGATATTATTATATCTCCTTCCTGATATTTTTTCTTTTTCTTTTTTTTTTTCTTTTTGAATAATTGTACGCATAGGGCCTGATATCATAAGAAAAATTAGCACAAGACACTGCTGCTACTTAGTCGCACAGCAAAACACACAGAAAACGACAAAATGTTACAATGAATGTAACAACACCCGTCCAAGCTAAAGGACCGACATCCCTGCCCCAGGACGGCATCTCGAACCCCCCACACACTCACCACACGGTCATCATCCAGCTTCAGTTCAATCACTGTATTCTTCCCCTGCAGACTCAACCCCCCTGTCACTAGCCATACAATCTGAAGCTGTATGTAACCATACAATGGCCCACGACGCACACACCACCCCTACGTTTTTTAACTAAAAAAGAAAAGCAGTCGTAACTGCAACAGCCACATGGCCAATAAGAAAAACCAATACGATAATATATCGATAAACACACACCCAGAAGTCAGGGGTGGGAGGGTGGGATACAAACTGCACCAACGAAAAGCCACTGCGAAGTGACAGGAATGCGGTCCAGCACAACATTTTTGCGGACGCAAAAAGTTGTGGGGAAATCCCAAAATCGGTGCGATTTTGCATGAGCCCAAATGTTCAGGTTACCCACAAAGACACAAGCTTTCCAACTCTCTTTGGCCGTTGGAAAGCGTACCGTCTTTGCTGGTACGGTACAGTACGGGATATATACAAAATAGCGCCAGGCGTGACACAAACAAACAAACACACAAACAAACACCAAATTAAAGCTGTGTGGACCCTGGCTAGCGCCAGACGTTACTGAAGTAACGTCTTCTGCATAGCTACGGGAATAATTATATTAATATAGGACTGGCTTTGTTTCCACGGCATTGCACACACTTACATGTATGGCCGTTGTTTTCCATTGCGACCGCTGCTCAGTGCTCACTCTATGCCTATGCTATGGTGTAGATCTACAGATACTTTTACAGTCGTTATAAACAGTAGAAGTACGAGCATACAACGAGCATACAACGAGCATACAACGAGCATACAACGAGCATACAACGAGCATACAACGAGCATACAACGAGCATACAATGAGTATGTACAATGCATGAGTATGATTGTACAATGTCGTCAACTATATATTATTACTTACTTTAATGGTTGTACGTGAAGTTGAAGACATTCTGCAAATACATTTTTAACACTGTCCTGGCAGAGTATTAGTAGTCTAGTATTGATGTGCAATGTACATGTACATGTATGTGTGCATGTACATGTAGCTACTGGTACATTGTACAAGTACAAGTTTTGAAACAGGAAGTAGTTCGAACGTTCAAGGTACATAATTCACCATGATTGTATTCGCGGGCCGCAGCTCAAAACCTCAACATTTCCATAGATCTGTGGGTTACAATGTATGAATTGTCAAAGCATTGTCCAGACAAGGAAGCAATTTAAAAGAAAGGGAAGTGCACAGAATAATCCTACAAGTACAAGCATTTTAGCACGTAGATCTATTGTACAATCTCATGTACATGTATGTCGAAGCACTTGTCTTGAGGCAGAGCACCAGGTACCATGGACATGGTACTGTAGTCTGCTGTGTAGTTCAGAGTTTCATGATAATGTGTTGCGTTGGCTGACGGTGGCTACGTGTGTGACAGTCAGTGGTGTCCAAGCCTCATGATGACTACTACTGCTTACGAATATAGTAGAAAGAAGTGGTTCTCTTTTTCAATCCAATGCCGCCTTCCTGTATTCACATAATCATTGATTTGTGATTTCGAACACGTTCCAGTAGTGCATGTACATTGCACAGCATGCACAGAGTTGTGAGCGCGAGTGTCAGACTTATTATTGTAAGTCCTAGGATGTCATTACCATGATTACAGACATTGGCAACACTCTACATCCAGTCTCTTCGACACAGTCTCCGGCCAAGACATCCATCAAGCCGCCCCTTGTAGTGTAGCTTCGCTGACAATGCGTTTGCTGCGCCTATTTTGCAACCCAGCTCACGTTCTGTGAATGCAAAACGAATGGAGGTTTTTTCCGCAGTCTGGTGGGGGAACTTCAGGAGGGTAGCAATCGTAGAGGATCGAAGTAAGTTCGTTCAGCAGTTTTCAAGGAGCAGGACAATCGTTAGAAGTGGTGGTTAGGGACCCTCTGAGTCCTTTGCTAATGTTGCACAGCTGAGGAATGTTTCATCAACTGTACAGCAACTGACTCTGGGTTTTGAAAAGTAGATGTACATGATATGGCCGTATTGTAGGTTATGGGCCGGCATGCTAGGTAGACGTTCACGCTCCTTCGACCTCTTAGACCAGTGTCACAGCAATCGTTATCTTATTAGTATTACTCTCAGAACATGAGCCACGCGTTGGGAAACGACAGGTGTGAAGTGATAGTACTGGCAGGCTTGAGTGCTTCAGAAAATATCTCCCCGTGACAATCATTTCGCGGTGTGCTTTGCGATTCCGACTGAAGTTTGCTATTCTCGAGAGGAACGTGTCTCAAAGAAGAAGTGTAAGGACGTTTCAAGTTACTATGTCTATGGTTGTGGTTTGACGGAGCGCAGCTGGCGTTACAATCCTGTTCTGCAAATACAGTATGGCGGATATGGCCCTATGGGTAGAGATCCCACACACTGTACTGTAGACTGTCTGTAGATCAACAAGGTAACACGTTACTGTCGTCAGTTACACTGTTGTCTATAGTTGCATGAAAGCATTCCGGATTGACACTGGTATCACGCGACTGCTGCTCTAATGCCGTAATGGACAACATTCTTACTGCTGTCGAGCCTCTGCTAGCTAGCTGCGCCTGTCCTCAGGACTCAAGCCTCAGATTCCGCTGGCAACGGCCAACACTAACGTATAACAGTTGTACTTGTACTTGTAGGCGAAGGGCAATTCTGTCCTCGGCGTTGGCTCGCTCGCTTGGTCACGCTATCGAAGCCCGGAGGCTACAGAGCTGTCGCAAGACAGTCTCAATTACCTGGGAGAATCACCGAACGTTTGAATGACTTGTGAACAACATCAGATGAACATGCCCGTCAAGGCACTATTGTTCTCCGGTCGGCGCTTATCCTTTCGCCAGCAGGAAGGACAATAATATGTATGGATACAAATCCCAGGTTAGGTAAGCGGCTATTTGAATAAGAAAACGAGGTAGATACCATTCTGGACATGACAAAGAGGATCGAGTCCCCTGCAGTTGCTATTCAGAAATAGAAAAGAGGAGAGAGGAGCTCTGGTGTTTTTCCCAACTAATTGAAGAACGTATGTGGAAGAAACGCTCCGCACTTTCAGCCTCCAGTTCTTTTTGTGCAGTAAATTAGTTCCCCAAAGTTCCTCTAAACTATCTAGGTTACGGAAAAGTGAGGCCACTTGTCCTACTGCCAAGCCTTGTGTGGAGCAGGCACGTGCAAATGATGTGGGCGATTGTCCTTGTAAGTGACCAGAATGTGTGTGTGTGTGTGTGTGTGTGTGTGTGTGTGTGTGTGTGTGTGTATGTGGTACATGGTGTGTTTGTGCATGTGTGTGTGTGCGTGTGTATGTATGTTTTCGTGTTTCCGTAGGTTTTCGTGTTTCCGTATGTTTGTGTATGCATGTGTTTGTTGGTACATGTGTATGTGTGTGTGTACAATGTATGTGCATGTGTGTGTGTGCATGCATCTGTGCACATGTGTGTGTATGTGTGTGTGTGAGGTGAGGTGTGCTTGTGTGTGTGTGTGTGTGTGTGTGTGCGCGTGTGCGTGTGCGTGTGCGTGTGTGTGTATGTGTGCATGTGTGTGTGTATGTGTGTGTGTGCGCATGTGTGTGTGTGTGTGTGTGTGTGTGTGTGTGTGCGTACGTGGGTGTGTGTGTGCGCGCGGGTGCGCGTGTGCGCGTGTATGTGTGGAGATATTTGTTTTACTGATTCGTGACAAGGTTCGACCATTTGGAAGAAAAGTCCAGGGAGTGTAAATTGGTTTTCAAGAGGGCTATAGATAGTCACAGTGCACAAATTCAGTGTAGCTGAGAATGCTATGATGTAGGCTCGCCAGCATGTGCCCAAGGCTTTTAGAGACCTTGGTTGGAGCCTGTGCTACCCTATAGCCCTGGGTTTTATCAGCCAATGTAGTGCATTCTTTGGGTATGTCTGTAACTGATCAAGGAATACGCAACTTCTGTGAGAAAGGTGAGGTTCAGTCGCTTCTATTTGCGTCTGGTGTTCAATATTTTCGTGCAGCAGTGTTTGTACGTGGATAAGCCAGACTTCCTGCAAGGATGAACATCTCCCCATCTGAACCAAATCTAGCTCTGTCATAACCTGTATTCATAGTACACCGATTACCCGGGATTCGCGGATTTGTCATCTCCTAGATAATGGGACTAACATGGTTCCTCTATGATACGTTGTTGCTTCTTTGGTGTGCTTCTTAAGGTGCTACTGGCCACTGTCGTCACCGTCCGCAGTCAAAATGAGCTGACAGGTATGTTTCTGTGTTCTTCCAAGCAGGATGCGTTATTTCCACGCTGCATTATATCAAGTAGTGAGGTTACTACATCAGCTGACTCAGGCATGTGTATGGGTGGCGCTGTGTATGCCACACTCCTGCATACACTCGGGTGATACGTTACACTGTGATGCACAGTGGCATTATAGACGCTCACCAAATGGCCATGGAACAGTCCTACGTACAGGGACTGAACAGCCAGAAGCTGCACATTGCACTGTTCATTGAATAGGCAAGCAGATGTATATTTGATCCCAGTGACTAGTGAGGGTGGCACTTGACTCGGTTTACTTGCAGATCACGTGATTGTAATTTATACCCGGTACAGACAAAGATCACTTTGATATATTTATACTTTCCTAATTCTCACAGAGAGTTGAGGTGAAGCGTGAGAGTGCATTGATGCATGCATCTGTAGCTGGCAGCATAAGGGATTATCCCCCGGAAGCTTGTCCAGTGTTACCGGCAATAAACAAGGCGCATCAGTTTATAGAAGAAACATGTCTGTGATTGGGTGCACTCTTGCTATGCTTTTTGTCCTTTACACATTCATGTGTGTGTGTGTGTGTGTGTGTGTGTGTGTGTGTGTTTGTGTGTGCTTCATGCAGCAATTGTTGAACCCGGCTATGAAGTACTTGAAGAGGATGACTTTGCCCATTTTGAATGCACAATTACACCGTCCAGCACACGTGTCATCAGGATTCACTGGTCCCGGCAGGATGGCCAGCGGCTTGCCATCAATCGCCACTTCTACTTTGATGCCAGCCGTAAGGACTTGATCATCGACCCGCTGCGCTTGTCCGACGGTGGAGTGTACGTGTGCACTGCCCGTACCGAGAATGGTGTTGTGGCTGGTGCAGCTGAATTAGTTGTAGGTGAGTTAGAATAATGCTGAATATGCTGTAACTGCCTTAGCTAGCTTCTGTGTCTAAGCGAGTGACAGTCTAAATGATACAATTATGATATACACAATGTTCTTAGTCATGATTGTCTTGTCCCTGCTTCACAATAGTGCAGCACAGAAAGTGTCATAGTTTGCTCATCTCCGGTATTGAATTAGTATGTTCAATTGCTATCGGGGTCACACAGGCATGCTTCTGATGACTATCTACTAGTTCAGGAGACAAAACAGTGAATACTAAGTCTTGTATTGCCGATGTTGCCATCACTGCTAGTGTCCCGCCTTGTGCTGCAGAACCGTATCGTGCTGTGACAGCATGTTCATCCAACCCTTGCCTGAACCAGGGGTATTGCCGGCTAACAACCACTGGGTACATATGCGAATGCACCCGGAACTTCGAGGGATTCAACTGCGAGAGCCGTAAGTTTGTGTGCTGACCTACATGAATCTGCAGGTATACAGCAGATTAATTATATTGACTGAAACCAAAACACTGTGGACTTGTACATCTACTTATACGTTGGACATACTCAACTTGGTGGCACTACGCCCATATTTGCCCTCTTGTTTGTAGTATTGTGGTGTGCTACTATATCGGCATGGGTGAAATATGCACATTTACATGACTTGCACACAGTACATGGATTGTATTGTCTGAGAATCTTGACTTGATGATCTACTTTAGTATATTGGCTTAAGATATATGTACCTCTATTTCTGTGTGTGCACGTGTTTGCGTGTGTGTGTGTGTGTGTGTGTGTGCGTATATATGCGTGCTTGTCTGTGTGTGCATGTGTGTCTGTGTGCCCGTGTGTGCACGTACATGTGTGCACCTGCATGCTATCCAGGTCGTTTGAACGGAATTCAGCGCACGCCATGCTTGTCAGCACCTTGCCAGAACGATGGAGAATGCAATGTTGTTGGTTCCAATACCTTCGTCTGTGTGTGTGCGGCGGGATTCTCTGGGCCATTCTGCTCCCAGGGTAGGCATCCAGATCAATGTGTGTTTGATACAAAGATAGGGTGCTATAATCTAAGCTTTATGTTGCATTCTATACCGGGCCAAGCGGAATAGACAATAGACCTTGACCTTGGATCTTGAAGAAATGCGCTTGATAAGTGAAATAGGTTGATAAAATCATGTGAAATCTATACTTTGCCCCATGCATATTTGCATTTCTAATGCTTAAAACAATAACATACAGTCGTGGCCAAAGAAATCCGACCCGTAAGCTGAAAGCAGTGCCAAGGCTCATGCGGGCTCCTGCGGCACTCAGATGGGTTTTTGGACTGTGGATGATGCAATTGAAATGGAAACATCGCGCTACGTTTTTACTCCCTCGTTGGATTTCTTTGCCCACGGCTGTACATCATGGTCAGTTAGACTTGCAGTGGTCGAAATATTAACTTCGAATGAACTAAGGAGTATGATGTAAGCAATCAGTATAATTATATAGATACTACTGCAGACTGCTCTACTTACATATTCAGCTTATTAAGAGACCAAGGGTTTCCCTGCCATTGATGACGCACTTGTTATGATACAATTGTACACAAGTGAAGCCACAGGATTCAAGCACAGAGATGAGTGTGGGTGTACTAAGCACAGGCCAACACGTGCTCCGACTCAAGCTTTTCATTACTACGGTATCCTCCGGAGTGTAAGCCGCGCTGGAGCACAAGCAGCACCCGGATTGTTCATCACGAAATACAGATATTTACCCTATACATCCCCATCAATTTGAACATCGTATAGGCCGCACCAATTATTTGTTTTAGGTGACTTACTAGTGTTTAAACGGTGCGGCTTGTACTCCGGAAAGTACAGAAATTGTCTACTGAGGGAAAATAGAACATTAGTAATCCTATCCTGAAGAGGGAGAGCCTCAACCTTATCTTTGTGGATCTGTTTCTTACAGAGATTGGTGCGTGTACCTCGAACCCATGCCTGAACAATGCCCAGTGTGTCAACCATCCCAGCGGTTATACTTGCCAGTGTCCTATAGGATATCTAGGAATCAACTGTGAACAAGGTATGTAATGCACGCAGGTGACAGTGTGGCTGGATTCTGTGTGCGCTGATGAGTGTGAATTCTACCTGAGAACAGAGGCCAGTGAAGGAGACCCTTCCAGGGCATGGATATACACATATGGAAGATATTAGTGATTTTTTTCTCTCATCATATGCCCTGTTGTGTTTCCAATACGAACTGTAATATCGCTATGTACAGCGTAGAAGCAGGCAATGATGCATTGTGGGATGGTCTAGAACAGGTACGTGCGCAGGGCCGGAGGCAGGGGGGGGGGGGGGTTACATGGGGTCCGTTGTAGTAAATAGCTACGTCACGTCAACCAACTCTCGCACGCGTTGTGTGTCTCAACGCATGTGCAGTGCATGAACACGTCAAGTAGTGGTAGAATCTGCGACTTGACGACTCAATGACGGCACGGTGCAACGCCCGCGCGCAGCACAGGGCAACAAAAGACGAAAAAAGAGAGAAAAAATCGTTCAGTAGGCTGACAGAAAGGGGGAGGGGGGGGGGGGGTTCATCTGAACCCTGTGGAACCCCTCCCCCCCCCCCCCCCTCAGTACACACCTGTAAAACCATGACTGAGAAACGGAGAGTGACAGTAACGGATGCGGTGAAATGGATTTCGGTCCTTGACTGCCTCTACAGTGTGTTTTATGTTTCCCCTGCCAACAGTTGAGGAAATGCATCTGATGATGTCTTGGTTCTTGAGGTTGGTCGTGTAGTCTGGTCATTGGAGGGACGTTTATAGATTTAAAATGGCAGTGTGAATATCCATATCACGTTTAGAGTTACTCATGGCTGTACCCACTATTGTTCTATGGTCTGTGTGGCAGTGGATGACAACTGCTACTCCAACCCATGTCTACATGGCGGTGTGTGCCACAATGCACCGCTTAGGTTTGACTGCGAGTGCCGAGGTGGATGGGAAGGAGAGCTCTGTGATGAAGGTGAGAACGTGGCTCTGACCAAGCTTGTGAACACCTCGTCTCATCGGCTGAGGGGACGAAAGAAACAAGAAGTTTTTTTCTGAACTACAGTGAAACCTGTCTAAGTCGACCCCTCAAGGGACGAGAAAAAGTGGTCGCCTTGGCCAGGTGGTCTTCTTATCCAGGTTCAGTGGGTCACGTGACCATATCCACTTCATAACACATGTGTTATATCATTTTGATCAGTGTATCACACTGCACGCACCTATGCTACTCTAGCACGACTCATGTGCTTGGGGTCCTCAGACCTGTCAAGTGTCGTGCATGCGCCATGTACATCTACATTCCAACGCTGGTGTGTAGATCTACTACCATGCATGGTGCACCATGCAATGCGTACATTTACATGTACTAGCAGGGTGCAACGCGGCCCCGGGTGGGTAGTCGTCGGTCGCGTTGAACGAGTGGTCGCCTTATCCGAGCTGTTTTGAATGTGAATGCGTCCGTGACAGGGAAAAGTGGTCGCCATGGTCAAGTGGTCGCCATATCCGAATGGTCGCCATTACAGGTCTTACTGTATGAACATTGATAATGCTGGTTTGCGGATGTCCTTTATTTTTTCTTCTTTTCTTCGTGAACTCCTTGTCAGTTTTGTGCTAGATTGTGCATGTCTGACTGTTCAAAATCTGGTATAGTTGGTGGACTCGATCGCATAACTTGTGCACACAATTTCCATGTTACAATTTTCTTTTCTTTGTACATTTATTTGCTTTTTGTGCTTTTAATGGTTACTGATGTCATGCTGGTTCTGCATTACGTGAAGTGTATATTTTTCTTGTTAAAAATGGTTGGCATTTGGACTATGTTTGTTTTCGCTGCCAACAGATACCAATGATTGTTTTCCCAACCCATGCCAGAATGGTGGAAATTGTACCGACATGCTCGGGGCTTATTCATGCTCATGTGCTAGTGGCTTTGTGGGTCCAAGATGTCAAGATGGTGAGTCGGTGTGCAGCCATTGCCCAAATACTGCTGTGATACAATTGTACATAGCCTCTCCAAAAGGTTTGGCCAGAGAAATCCAACCTCATGAACATAGTACAGAGGTGATTGGATATAACGACACTCCTTCGGGAGAGAACAAAAAGTCACTATTATATATCCGATCTGTCACTAAACCCGATCTTCACATTTCATATGCAGTATGTATATCAAAATGCAAATTGATTGCAGATCATCTGGGATGTACACGTATGTGCATACACATGTCACATCGTGTGCAGATGTGCACGTGTATGTTTTTCATAAACAGTGTGCGTGCACATGTATGATACCGCATACTGTACAGCTCAAGCCAACAGTAATCAAGATGCGACTGCAGATGTGCACTTGCATCTGTGTCATACATGTAAACATGTACAGCAGCACAATATATACAATGTACTGTACAACTCAAGTCGAGAGTGATCAAGGTGTGATTGTAATCAAAGTGCAAAATACTGTGTGATGGACGTCTGCTGGCGGCGCTACACTTGCTTGTCATCTAGAATGCCAGAGATCTGAGGAATAGTGCTGCAGTGTGATGCTGCACCCGGACAAGAACGGAGGTAAGCCGTTGCTGCTCGTAAACCATCCACTGTGTCTTTGAGTGAAGCTGGTGAAGACTCATCTTCTTCATCTTCATCACTTGAAACTGTGCAGGCTTCTGGCTCTTGGCTAGGCATGATGGAGTCCCAAGTGCAATCAATGGCAAATCGTGCGTTGCCCACCGACAGTTCGTTGTCCAGGTTGGCATATTGGTCAAACGGCGAATCTGCTGGGATGAGGCCAGCAGCTTGCATTTGGTCCCAGTGAGGAAGCTCTTCAGGTACAGTTACACTCTCTGCTGTTTCGGACGTGGATATGGGGTTATCAGTTGCTTCAACTGGCGTCGCGTCCTCGAAAGCAAGTGATGATAGCAGTTACAGATTGTTTCACTGGTAACCATGTCCCACGCCATTTTCAGCCACTCCATGGCCTGGAGTAGGTTGATCTTGAGCTCTGCGCCCGTGTCAATGGTAAGTAGGCGCTTGCGTACCAGCAAGCGGCGGTAATGAACTTTCAGATTGCGGATGATGCCAGCGTCCATTGGTTGTATTAGGCGGCAGGAAATACCATCATCTTGATTGGACAACGTGATCGCTGGGTGTCCAGAGAAATTGTCCAAGATAAGTGCAATCTTGCTGTCTTTGATGCGCATTGTGTTGTTCAGCTTCTGTACCCGGCACTCTTCGAAAAGCGCGCAAGTCATCCAGGTGTTCCGATTGGCACGGTCTTGCACTAGAAGATGCAGAACTCCACGGAAACAATGTGGTCTTAGCAATTTGCTAATGACGAGCAAGGGAGTTTTTTCTCCAAAGGCGCTTGCTGCAACGAGGACTGTTACTCTGTCTTTCGCTCGTTTTCCGCCCTTGCACTGTTCGCCCTTGAAAGCCAGTGTCTTGTCGGGCGACATTCTCCAGAAGAGGGCTGTTTCATCTGCGTTGAAGATATTTCCGTTGCTAATTCCTGACGAATCAACTTTAGTTGCCTCGTCAACCAGTCGTCTGCAGCTACGACGTTGGCGGACTGGCTTTCGCCAGATATCGTGCGACTGGAAATTTTATGGCGTTTTTTTCGACCTGTCGATCCAGTTATTGTCGATTGACGAGCCGTCATCGCCGTAGCCTGGCACTGCGTGATCCTTCAATTTCTCGTAGATTGTTCGAGCCTTTTCGAGCAAATCCATGCCGGCCACAGACGCATCAGGAGCTGAAGCCTTTAGTTGACGAAACCAGATCAGGAGGGCATCGGCCACCTCCACAAATCGCGATGCCTTCGAGCTCTTTGAATCAAGGTTAGCAGAGGTTGAAACGGCATCCTCGATAGCTTTGCGATTTTTTATGAAACCAGCTAGCGTTTCGTGCGACACACTGTACTTCTGCTCAATGTATGGCCGCTTCGCACCAGAGTCCAGCGCTTTCAAGATGCCATACTTCTGAGCAGTCGAGAAACGCTTTCTCTTCGACATACTGACTGGAACTTCAACTACGCGGCAAGTCGATCAACAAGGTAAGTCGCGTGTTTGTCATCAAAACACAAAAGGATAAAGTGACAAAGAACTGGTCGACAGTCGAAATACAAACTTCAAAGGAAAAAGTGATGAAGAACTAGTCTACAAGACGACAGCCGCAGGTGAAGGACAAAGCGACCAGCTCCCGATGTGCGTGCGCTCGCTACATGTCCAACCGGCTAGTTCTGCTTCACTTTGATCTGCAGTGCTAGTGTAGACCCCATGGTGAATGCGCATACGGACGGTAGACTTTCGGTGTACAGCGCGTGGCGTGCACCCCGACCGCGCTGTGATCGACCCGGCCAGAAGACCGTGCACACGGCATTATTCATGCGTGGATGCTAAATGTAGGGGAAAGTCGTTATACCCGATCTATTTTCAGGGCTTCGGGCACCAAAAAAGCGATTTGTCGTTATTTTCGAGGTCGTTACACCCAATCTAAAATGTACGAAAAGGACTTGCTAAACGACTTGGGCAACAGAATTTTGTCGCTAAACTCGATTTTGTCGTTATATCCAAGGTCGTTATATCCAATCTCCACTGTAGCGCCGAAGTCGGATACTCGTGTTTGCAGTGATTAAAATTGCACGTATGCACAACTGATCGGGACATGCCTCTTCTTTCCTTAACTTCATCTGCTGTAGGAGACAATGTACGGTAAATTGAGGGTGTGAACAACGGGTTTGTTGCCAAGAAAAGCTGCTTTCCTTGACCAATATTGGCTTGATTGTTTCCTACTCCCTATGGTATATTGTTCTCCATTTCTGTAGATATTGATGAATGTATGTCGTCACCATGTCAAAACAATGGCCGCTGCGTCAATGCCGACGGTAGCTTCATGTGCCAATGCAGGCGAGGGCACACTGGTGATTTTTGTGAAGAAGGTAATCTAAGAACGGACATTTTCTTGTCAGTTGATGTTCTGCGATGGGTCTAAGCCAAGCACACTGCATAGTAGAAACATTCACAATGCAGGATTGCACTCTAGAATCAGTGACACTCAGGATAGCAGTACACTCGGACGTCTCTTATCCGGGCACCTTGGGACCGGGCACTGCCCGTATCTCAGATTTGCCCGTATCTCAGGATAACTCATCTACCATGTATCATATCATTTTTGAAGAAGTTTTTTTGGCGCATATTGCACATGTTCAGGTTAAAAAAATAATCCATGGATAAAAATGTGTGGATTGCACAGGTTGGCAGTGACAAAATAAGCACTTGAGCATTCGGAAAAAAAGTTCAACCCTCCAAATTCGAAGCATTTTTGCCATAGGAACTCAAGCTGAGGGTGGCCGGTAGAGAGACGTGCCCGTATCTGAGGCGTCCGGATAAGAGACGTTTGAGTGTACTACTGACGTACAAGGCAATGTCATGAAAGATGTGACTACCCATTTAAAGCGTACGTTTGAATCGTGCTGATCAGTCTGAAACTAAAGAATTCAGACTGGGATTGAATAGTTTGAGAAATTTGGTTTGGCCTTCATAGGAGTGTGGTGATATGTAAAGTAAGTGCATGCGTATATAAGGTGGTGCATTATTGCTTTTTTGTGTTTGCTGCTGGTCTAGATATCAATGAATGTGCTAGCAGCCCATGTCGCAACGGTGGACAATGTATCGACCGCTTGGGTGGCTATAACTGTCGATGTAGACCGGGCCTGTTGGGAAGAAACTGTGAACAGGGTATGATTAGTGTTCTACTGCACCCTGGAAGGATTTGCTCTATGAGCCCATATTTTTTAAAACATTATGATAACTTGGCTTTGAGTGTGTGTGTGGGGGGGGGGGGGGAGGGGGGATAATGGGGATGGATTGAGGACATGGAGAATCTGTTTGAGAGCATGTTTCAATGTTTAGTACGGGAGGAGGGGGGGGGGGGGGGGGATAATGGGGATGGATTGAGGACATGGAGAATCTGTTTGAGAGCATGTTTCAATGTTTAGTACCTGGTTTAAGCTTCAGTCTTTCTTCGTCTTGGCGAGGCGTGTAAATCATGCTTTTTTCTCCTTCCCAGGTACCCTGGCCAGTAACCCATGTGCCGCACGGCCGTGCCAAAACAATGGTGTTTGCTCACTGACGCTCACTGGTTATGAGTGCGATTGTGTTCCTGGCTCAACAGGTGATAACTGTGAACAAAGTAAGATGACATCTGGTACAGTTCATTTACCTGTCTTTCCATGTACAACGGAAAATGTGAACATCCTTGATGATACGTTCACCGTCCTTTCCAGCCATTCACTGATTTTGTGGTGATAGCATCAAGAAATGTTAGCCTAAGTTGGTGCCGTTAGGTACAATTTCTTCATTTGGTATTGGTGCGTTCATGATATTCTCGCAGGCCGCCATGTTTAGAAACTGTTACCTGTTAGCCGACTTGGTCTGGTCGGGCAGGTTTGTCCGCGTCATCGGCCTGGTTTCCTCTGGCTGTACTGTTCTTGTCCCGTGGTGTTCTCTCCCCACACACTTAGACTGGTCTGTGCTCTTTAGTAGAAATAGAACAAAGCTTTCCCGGTTATAACCATTAAATTTTAGTGATCGCATTTTGTCCAATGTCTCCCTAGTCCCTACGTACAATATCACTGATGTAGTCAGCTGGTTGCACACTCCTTGACACCGTTCCACTTTCCTGAATCAATACTCTACCTAAAATGCAATAGGGAGACAGAGGCTTACTTATAATTGTACCTACGTGCCTATTGTGTGGGCAAACTCCAACTCGCGGTGTTGATCATCAAGTCGTACAACATGAACCTTAGATGCATGGCCTTCTGCTAGGAGACATCTGGATTGCTGAAGTCCACATGACTGAGGCTATTGGACTGAGTTATTTTATTGATATTACGAATCATCAAGAGTGCAATGGATTTTCTGTACATGTTGTGGCCCACGCATGTTCTCTTTGATATCCTTCTGCATCTTTGTCTTAATCAGGAGACCAAGAACCCGATGTACCAACAACTGAAGCTGCAACAACGACAGCCACCATGCAAGAAGATGTGACTACAACCATGATGGCAACCGATCCACCTACCACAGTTCCAGTTAATGACCCATGCCAACCTAACCCATGCAACAATGGACTGTGCGCGCGGGACATTGAACAGCCTGATGACTTTGTCTGTCATTGTTATCAAGGGTTCTTTGGTAACACGTGTAGCGAGAGTAAGTTCTTTGTGTGTGCCTTTTTTAGAACGTATAGGATATGCACCATGATATGCTGCAAGCTGAAATTTTGGGTTCAGTGTCATCGACAGGTCAAGGAGCACCTTCATGCAAGTTTTCATGATCAATTTCCGATCAGAACAACTTCAGACCTGCTGCCTTATATATTTTTTGGATTTAGACAGAAACACACCTCATATCCTTTTCGGTTACCATCCTTTCTGACTGTTATACAAATGATGACCAAATGGATGTCGTATTTTGCATTCCAACTCTTCAGTTATTCTCCTTCGGCCTTTGAGTGTCCAAGATGAAGACGTCTATCAGGTTACGCTCTTCGTGTTCAACACTGAGTCCGCAGGCGGATGGCTGGACAGGGGTTCTTATCCTAACTCTACAGTCGATGACTTTCCAGTGAGACTTAGTGCTCTGGCCAGTGGATACTATGTGGTACGTGTTGACCGTACCGACAAAGGCACTGTAACAGACACGCTAGCACTATCAGTGCATGGAGAGTCCGGTGAGTTGGGCAAAGAATGCTTATACAGCACTACACCAGTACCTGCATGCTCCCAATACATAATATCAGTAATTCTATGCATCAATTTTGCTTTCTTTCACCAGGGTGTATTGAATAATGGGTAAGCAGGGAAGTATTAGTATTTTTTGCAAAGTGCTGCATGCTCTATGCCTCTAGTTTTAGTAAGATTTTGATGACTTACAGTACATGGGTCTGATCAACTCACACTCATCCATTTAGTAGCTGTGTCTGTTTCTTGACCTTTATTTATGGTAGGTGGCATTCCTACAAATGAGAAAAAGTCTGACTAACTCACCCAATCAGTGGAGTTCATTTCTCTGTTACCTGTTTGTATTGACCCTGAAATCTGACGTGTGACATACCATGGGTTCATGAACAGTAACATGTATCAAACTGGGATGCCATTGTTTCGTGTTGCCGAACTTCAGATATATCCATACCAACATGGGCTGGAGAAGGCATTTTGAATCCCACCGAAAGCAGCTCTGGTCTTGTCAACGTGCAGATGCGTCTTCCCCTGTACGAAACCGAGCCAGGAGATGCCTGGATGGTGGAACATCGTACGGGATCAGCAGATTGGCAAGGCACCATATACTCTGCCTTGCAGCTGATTGTCACCCTCAACGATATCCAACATGGTCTAACAGCAGTGCGCGTGCGTGTGAGACAGTCGGACAGATACAGCCCGTATTCTCCAGAAGTCTTTCTGACTCTGAAAGGTACAGCTGTGGTGTCCCTCCGGATTAGCCTACTTTCCTCACTGTTATCTGTTTATAGCCCGTGTCCTGACCTGTTTCCAGATAGATCAATGCACTTAGTAGGACAAGAACATTTCATTGGATGTTTATGTGTTTATGAACTGTTTGTGTGCCTGTGTTCGTGTGTCTGTTTTTTTGGTTTCAGATTACTGTGAGGCTTCACCATGTGGAAGCCACGGTACATGCTCACAAACACTCTCCTCTTTCCAATGTGAATGTCACCCTGGATACACTGGGTCTACATGTACAGATGGTAAGACAGATGACACATGTAGATCGTGTTCCTTACCCTGTGTCTATTTGTACGAGTACAGATGGGCAGGAAAGGCTGTGTTCCATACACTGGGGGTAATGGTATAAGATGTGTGCCAACATTGAAATAGTGTAATATTCAAAAGTGATGTGATGGCTACATCCAGGAAATCTTTCTCTTTCACTAGACTGCAAGAGGCCCGGCTGTATCTTTCACTGTCCATGGTTTTAAATCCCAGCAAGGCAGTATTATTATGCTTTGTGGCATTTATTGGTATGATGCATCGTGTGTGGTTCTGTGTGTCGTTGTGTATGATGGTATGTACAGATATCGATGAATGCGGCTCTCAGCCATGTCGCCATGGTGGCGTATGTAGGGATGAAGTGAACGCGTTCACTTGCCAATGTGCAGATGGCTACGCGGGAACCACCTGTGCAATTGGTATGTTTGCTGATGTCTATAATAGGAGTTGCTTGTCATGCCATGTTCTTCTGAATCACCTTTAGTATTGGTATAGACTGATACAACAGAGACGTAAGAAAGTGTTTTGCATTTGTGCGGTCAGCCTGGAGCAGTGGCGTTTTGGAAAATTACAGACAACAATCGTATGTCGATCAGTCCAGGGAGTTGGGGAGTTAGTCAGGGAGTTGGGGAGGGAGTTACGAGGGAGAAATGGGGCACTGTTGTCAGCACCGTAGTATGTCCGAAACCCTGGTGGGATATTTGAATTAAGAGAGACCAGTGGTTGGTAAAAGCTAATACAAAAATGTGGATGACCAGAAAATGAATTCCTGTAGTTTAGCTATGAAAATAATTCACTGTGCTGTCATATCCACTCAAACGAAGCAACGTAGTAAGTAGAATCCAGAACGTTTTCTTGTGACCTTCTTCAGTGGAATAACGTCAATGATCAGTAAAAATGAAACCTGTAGTTTAGTTAACTTTTATCCGACAGGCCAGTCAAAAACCGGCAACTATCCGTCGATGACTTTAACTTAAACAAGCTGTACCTCACTCATTTTGTCTCAATGTGTTTGTTGTGTTCATGGCTTGCAGAGGTTGATGAGTGTCTACCGCAGCCATGTGAGAACAACGCACGGTGCATTGATGCAGTGAACGGGTTCACCTGTGAGTGCCAGCCTGGTTATCGTGGAGATATGTGTGAACAAGGTGAGAGAAATCGACAATGCAATCTTGGGTGCTAAGTCTGTATCCGGCTTTGTTCAAACTTGATCCATGACTAAATTTTGCCTGATTCATTTAGGTTTGGTAATGTTGAATACGAAAAGGACGACTGATGACACATTATCCAGACATTACGACGGGAACATGTACTGTAAATATACAAATTTTCGGCAGCTATTTAATTTCGCCTATATTCGGCACCGACCCAAAACGCCTAAATTAAAACGCCGATGAAATTTTTCACAGCATCTGTCGCACTATACCTTGCCCTCTACCCCACGCCGAAAATAAATCGCCGCCGAATTGTCAAAAATCGTAAAGTGCCGAAATTTTGCCGCGCCGAAATTTTGTATATTTACAGTAGGTTGGTGGAACGACATTTATTAGAGACGGGACAAAAGACCAAGACGAACGAAACGACTACATGTACATGGTGATTATTGAAGAGTGAGGAAAGAGAGGAAGAGATCAAGTCTGAACGGCAAGATAAAGGGTCTGGGTAGCTATGGCAATTATGGGCGGGCAAGTAGCTACCCAGGCCAACGGAACAAAAGGAGACAAAAGGTGAGTACGCAAGTGCATGCAGGGCAGCTAGAAAAGGTACGGGAGGAGGTACCTAACAGTAACAACCAGACAGGCATGAGGTCTCTGGGCCAGGATGATCCCTTTTTTTGAAAGTTCTGTGATTCCTCATTGACTATATTCATACACCTGTATGTGCATATATTCCCCATAATCATGTTCATTGTTGTCTGGTGTCCAGTATGTACTATAGTAAAATATCTACTGAGGTAGCGCGTACATTCGCGGTTCTGCGCATAATGCGTATACATATGCATTAGGCTACAACAGTGACAACATAGTAATAACCACTTGATTTGTCTGCTATGAATGTCATTACTTTTATGCCTTCACTCCACTATTCAGATATTGATGAGTGTGCAAGCAACCCATGTCAAAACGGTGGTAGCTGTAATGATGGACATAACATGTACACATGTACCTGCCCGGGTGGGTACATTGGACAACATTGCCAAGACGGTGAGTTGGTGATGACATTGAGGTCATGCGATTACATCATCAGTTGAGATGCTTTGGCAAAGTCGTGCAGCAGCGATGCACTAGTCGACTCCAGCTGTATACATAGCACCCATAAGCCGTCCCCGGCTGACTCACTCTGTATGCACAGCGTCCATAAGCGGTTCCGCTGACTCACCGCCCTGACACCATTGGCATAGCCTCAATAATCTTGAAAGTAACAACTCAGTCTGAGTGTAAAATTACTATGATTACCATGACATGAACTATGAACACCTTTGCCCAGAAGTGAATAATACCGTATGGACTTACTTACTGATACAAGCCCAGTCCACTGACATGTAGGTGTCATGACCTTGCGTTGTTGGGCAATTGTAGTAATGACCCACGGACTGACTTTGGTGTAACTGTTAGGTCACAAGGGACAGGACAATAAAATAATCTGACATGAGGTAATTCTTTGGGGAAACCGCATCCCCTGTTGATCTGCATTTGTTTCAGAGACTGATGAGTGCGCTAGCAATCCATGTCAGCATGATTCAACTTGTTTTGACGCTCATCTCAACTTCACCTGTGCTTGCAGTGAAGGATACACTGGCCGGCTGTGTGGTAAGTAACATGTGGAACTTTCCGTGTTGCCAAAAATCCCAGTGATGAAACATCATTATGATCCGGTATCATTGGTGGAATTTCAAGAACTTTGCATCACATAACGTTAGTGTATTTTATCCAGGACTTGTTTCGCATTTCTGTCGTTGTCGGTTTGGTCGACAAAGAATTGCAGTGAAGGCTAGAATGTCCAGCATACATTCATTGTGTCTGACCTACTGACTGATGTTGTATTATGATGTAATGCATTACGTAGCCATGCAAGAGCATGCGCGAGATACGCATCTCGCAGCTGCCTACTTTCATGCAGGATCCTTTAGATGTCGTGGTTCTTATGATTGCCTACAATGGCCAAGTGAGAATATAATCCTGTCGTAAACAACTAACTTGTTTACCCCGAAACATGGTGTCAGAAGTAAACTAAATAAACGCCCTAGAATTGTCGCAGTAGCGCCACCGGCGCAAGAGGTAAAATGGCAGAAGCAGCCGGATTTACCCCGCCGTCGATGGATTGGCAAGCCGCAGATTTACCTGACGAATTCGAGCGGTTCCAACAATACTGCCTTCTAGTTTTCCAAGGGCCCTTTTCCGACAAGTCCGACAAGGAAAAGGTCGCCTATGTCATGCTATGGATCGGGAGAACTGGTGTTGATGCTTTCAATAGTTTCGAGTGGGATAATGCAAGCGACAAATCCAAAGTAGCTGCCGTCTTCAAGAAATTTAATAAGCATTTGCAGCCACGGGTAAATGCACGACTGGCTCGGTTTGAGCTTCAGAAATACCGCCAGCAACCCGACGAGTCTGTAGATGATTTCTTTGCGAGGTGTAAGAAGAAGACGTCCAAGTGCAAGTTCAGGGACGCTCAGGAGACAAACGATCGCCTGATAGAACAGCTAATCGTGGGGACGAAGCACTCGAAAGTGCAAGAACGCCTGCTGGAGGGTGGTAGTGATTTGACTCTGGACGAAGCGCTTGACAAGGCCCGTACTTATGAAGCAACACAGCGCCACATGGAGCAGCTGTCCACCGCCACCAGCAGCAGCCGTCTACCTGAAACGGTTCACGCCATTTCCAAATCTGTGGGACACGCAGACTGCGGCAAATGTGGACGAACCCACCACCCAAGCAAGTGCCCAGCGCACGGCTCAACCTGCAACAAATGCGGGAAGGCGAATCACTGGGCAAACGTATGCCGTTCGCAGGGGAGAGACGAGGCACATGGAAGGGGCCAGCAACGCGGACGCTGGCGCCAGAGGAGCCCCAGCCCGTGGGAGCGCTACCCCCAGAGGAGCCCCAGCCCACGGAGACGCTTCGACGCACTGCATTTCGACGCCGTCATCATCGACAGCGTCGAGCGTCACCAACCGCCACTAGAGCGAGAGGTGTTCGCGACCCTCAATGTCAGCCTGGACAACACCAACAGACCGGCCACCTTGAGAGCCAAGGTGGATACGGGCGCCCAGGGCAATATATTGCCGCTGAGAGTGTTCTGCCAAATGTTCCCCCAGCACGTCGGACCAAACGGATACCCAAAGCCGAAGTCCGTGAAGCCGTCAAATACCACCCTCACAGCGTACGGCGGATCCAAGATAAAGCAATGCGGAACCCGTCCTATTCCGTGCTCTTACGATGGCAAGAGTCAACTCGCTGACTTCTACATCACGGACTGCCCTGGCACTGCTATCATCGGTCTCCCGACAGCGACAGCCCTGCAGTTAGTCACGCTGAACTGCGCTGTCCAGGAGAAGCCAGCGAGCATCCGAGACAAGGACGACCTGATGAAGCAATACCCGAAGTGCTTCGATGGCATTGGGAAATTCCCAGGCAAGTACCACATCACGGTGGACCCCAACGTCGTCCCGGTTGTACACCCTCCACGCCACCTCCACGCCATCGCACTGAGAGACGAGATCAAGACGGAGCTGGAGGACATGATCCAGAACGGCATCATCACCAAGATCCAGGAAGGCGAACCAACAGCGTGGGTGAACAGCCTCGTGTTCCGCCTCAAAGACAATGGCAAGCTACGCCTGTGCCTAGACCCCAAGGACCTCAATCACGCCATCCTGCGAGAGCACCACGTGGTCTCCACCATTGAGGAGATCACCCCGAAGTTGAGAGGTGCCAAAGTGTTCTCGATCGTCGACGTCAAATGTGGGTACTGGAATGTGAAGCTCGACGACGAATCCAGTTACCTCACCACCTTCAACACACCATTCGGGCGCTACAGATTCCTTCGCATGCCATTCGGCCTCAAGATGTCGCAAGATGTCTTCCAAGCAAGGATCGACCAGACGTTCGAAGGGTGCTCAGGCGTCACCGGAATCGCAGACGACATCGTCACATACGGGACGTCAGACGAGGACCATGATCTCAACATGCACCAGATGATGGTTCGCTGCGAACAATCTGGTCTCAAGTTGAACCCAGACAAATGCCGCATCAAAGAGGACAAGATCAAGTTCTTCGGCATCATCTGCAGCGCTGACGGAATACAGCCCGACCCGAAGAAGGTCTCAGCGCTGAAGCAGATGGAGCACCCCGAGAACGAGGACGAGCTCCAGACGTTCCTCGGGCTAGTCACGTACATGAGCCCGTTCATACCGAATGCCAGTACACTGACCGCGCACCTGCGTGAGCTGACCAAGCCAGATACACCGTTCGCCTGGACAGACAGCCACCAGCGCACCTTCGACAAGGTCAAGGCCGCCATTTCGACAGAAGTAACGCTCAGTTACTTTGACCCAGGCAAGGCAACGACACTACAAGTCGACGCTTCCATGAAAGGTCTCGGCGCCACTCTGCTGCAGGACGACAAGCCTGTTGCATTCGCCAGCAAGAAGCTTACCGAGACGGAGTCTCGCTACGCCAATATTGAGCGTGAGCTCTTAGCCGTCGTATACGGATGTGAAAGATTCCACACCTACCTATTCGGTCAGTCATTCACAGTAGAATCCGACCACAAGCCGCTGGAGTCAATCAAGCTCAAGCACCTCCGCGCAGCCCCGCCGCGTCTACAGCGCATGCTGCTGAAGCTGCAGCCGTACGACATGACCATCAAGTACCGCCCCGGAAAGGACATTCCGATCGCAGACGCGCTATCCCGACTGTCGCCAGAGGAAACAGAGCCAATTGAGGACCTCGACGTCAGTGTACACGCCGTGTTCCCGCAATTCAGCGATGCAGCGATGACGAGGATCCGCGAGGAGTCGGCTAAAGACGCCGAGATGTCAGCACTGAAGGAGATGATCTTCAGTGGCTGGCCATCAGAGAGGAGCGCGGTGCCGGCAATTCTGCTCCCGTACTGGAATTTCCGCGACGAGATGAGCACCGAGGACGGTCTCATCCTGAAGAGCAGTCGCGTCCTGATTCCCCCGCCAATGAGGGGGGAAATCCTCAGCAAGCTGCACGCCAGCCACCAAGGCATAGAGAAGACCAAGCTGCGAGCCAGAACGTCCGTCTTCTGGAAGGACATCAACAAGGATATCGAAGCAACTGTCTCATCTTGCACGACGTGCCAGCGCCACCAGAGCAGTCAAGCCAAGGAACCACTGGTGCAGCCCGATATTCCGCCAAGGGCATGGCACACCTTAGGCACGGACCTGTTCTACCTCGGTGGGTCAGAATACCTCATTGCCGCCGACTACTACTCCAAGTACTTCATCACCCGGAAGCTGCCTGCCGGACAAGCAACCAGCAGGGCCATCATCCAGCACCTCAAGGAGATTTTCGGTGAGCACGGCATCCCAGCCGTGCTGAAGTCGGACAATGGGCCGCAATACAGCAGCCATCTGTTCGCGGAGTTTGCTGCCGAATATGGATTCCGCCACAGTACGTCGTCGCCACATCACCCGCAGAGTAACGGGTTTATCGAATCGCAAGTCAAGATCGCTAAGAGAGCTCTCGAGAAGGCAAGGGAGAGCGGGACCGACCCGCACTTAGCACTGCTGTGCATTCGCGCCACCCCAGTGTGCCAGGGCTTACCGTCGCCGGCCGAGATGCTGTTCGGTCGTCAGGTACAGGACAACCTGCCTCGCAAACACCAGCGCGACCCTCGGGACGAGGCCATCCGACAGAAGCTCGAGGAACGGCAGGACCAGCAGAAAGTACACCATGACCAGCGAGCGCAGTCTCTCCGCCCCCTAGTTCCTGGTCAGCACGTCGGCATCCGCAGCCCGACCACGCACCTGTGGGAACCTGGTATCGTAACCCAGTCTGTCAACGGGCCACGGTCATACATGGTGCAGCCTGACCATGGGACAGAAGTGCGACGCAACCGTACCCACCTCAGAGAGAGGCGGGTCCACTTCCCGCCGGATGCCAGTCTCGCAGGCCCTCAGCCGTCGACGCGCAGCGACATTGGCGAGCCTCAGCCGCCGAGTGACGTGCCGTCGCCGTGGAGCGACGTTAGCCAGTCTCAGCCGCCGTCACCGTGTGACGTCAGCCAGCCTGCTGAACCTGCCACCCAGCTGTATCGAACACGGTCTGGCCGCGCAGTCGCACCCAGGTCAATCCTGGATGTGTAGGGCCAGAGAGGCCTCATGGACCTGTTCGCTTATGTCACAGTAGCTGAGGTGCCATTGTTATATTGTACATAGAGCTATTGTTGGATACTATGTCTCTGTATTGTTAGCACGCCGTCGTGTGCCATTCATGATTGTTATCTTGTACATAGAGCTATTGTTGGATGTTATGTTCTATATTGTGAACACGCCGTCATATACGTACGGTATGTTATGTAGGTTGTTAAACTCCTTTATGACGAAGGGGATGTTGTATTATGATGTAATGCATTACGTAGCCATGCAAGAGCATGCGCGAGATACGCATCTCGCAGCTGCCTACTTTCATGCAGGATCCTTTAGATGTCGTGGTTCTTATGATTGCCTACAATGGCCAAGTGAGAATATAATCCTGTCGTAAACAACTAACTTGTTTACCCCGAAACAACTGATACCATTATATGCTCTATGTATGTATGTGTGTATATGTGTGTGCAGATACTGAAGTGTGCTCGGTAGAATCGCCGTGCATCAATGGAGTGTGCATGTATGAAGTCGGCTATGGAATTCGGTGCCTTTGTGATCAGGGATATGGCGGCAGTATATGTGCACTAGGTAGGTGTTTTCAATGATTTCACTGCCAGTAACCCTATCACCAACAACTACTAGGGTGCATTGCTTGAAAAAAACCCGCAACATTCTACAACCTTTGCCTCCTCCACCCATCCTTGCTAAATGCCACTCAGATCAAAAGACAATTTTTTCGGTCAAGGTTTAAAAGAAAGTTTGGACAGGCGTATCACGACAAAGAGATCAAGAAAAGCAGGTCACAAATTCCAAAATCAACGTTCAACATGAGGTTTGAGTCCACATTCAGCCGAAATACTCAAAAGCCAATCTGAATGTACTGTAATCGTAATACACCAAATAATATGAGAATGGTATGCATGTGTTCAGAGCAGAGAAGGCATGGGTTCAGGCAGTTTGTCGATGCCGTGTATTATCAATAAGGTTTCCAACCGTGCTCAGGTTTTGCGAATCCAAGAGGTGAAATAACTGTGATGAAGATAGGTTGTTGAGTGTCGGCAGGCGTATGAAGTCAGTCACAGAGCAGTGACACATGAAATGACATTGACCATGTTGTTTTGCTCAGAAATTGACAACTGTGCTTCCAACCCGTGCGCTAACGATGCAACTTGTACCAGCAGTCTGGGCAGCTATTCCTGCTCTTGTCCTGAAGGATATACTGGACAGCGCTGTGACAGAGGTATATTCTGAAAATACAATGCATACATGTATTAAGATCATGTGTGTGTGTTGTTTTTTGCAAAGATCACATCCTCACATATGGCATGAAGTGCTTTCTTCCACTCCCACTAAGTTTGACATGGACAGAAATCTGAGCCATTGGTACCAATCATTCCTACCCTACCTCAATATTTGGCATGGGGAAACCGGTTCCCTTCTGATGGCTGCAAAGTGGATTTTGAAAATTGATTGGAATTATTGTTCCTGCATCCTGTAATTTTTGCAGCTGTCGATCATTGCTCCAGTCAGCCATGTCAGAACAACGGTGTGTGTAGAACCTCCCTGGGCGGTTACACTTGTGAATGTCCGGGTGGTTTCGAGGGAGATCACTGCCAAACAGGTAAGCATGGAACTATCAGTTCATGATTGCGTCTATCTCCACGATTGAAGCATGGCTGCAATAAGTAATGACAATAAAAATTGGCTCTAGGAGTACAACTTGGCACCTAATGAAATTTGTAGTTGGTTGTTGAATGCGCTTCATCGTTGCCATGTTGCTCCTATAATTTGCATTGTATTCCCTGTCCTATATTTTGTGTAGCTTCCTCGCAGCCCTGTGATAGTGAACCCTGCCAGAATGGGGGAACTTGTCGCAATGTACGTCGAGGATATCGGTGCTACTGTCAGCAGGGATTTGAAGGAGCGGATTGTGAAAGAACTGGTACGTGTGTATTGCAAATCAAACTTCCTGGAAAACAAGTTATATTGCCAGTTTGTAGTAATTACATTACCAGACAGAGGAATTGGAGGGAAATGAATTGCAAAGAGACCTGGTGTGTTATCCTGAACCACATGAGCTACTTAGTGTAAGGAAAGCACAATTATAGCTGTCGTTGATTATGTAGTAGTGTGCACATGTCTTTCACATTCTCCTCCTGCTCATGATTCTCCTGCTTCTCCCCTCCACAAACACACCTCCCCAAACTGGGAGACATTGTGCCATGTCTAATTGAGAAACGCAAGGGTGCACTGTGCAAAATGAACCGATGATCTGATTTCGCTGATTTCAGTAATGTGGTGTGTTGTGCTTTTGGCAGTTCAAGCTGGTCCTTGTGCATCGGCACCTTGTCGGAATGGAGGCTCATGCTATGCCAGAGGAAGACGCTATCGTTGCTTCTGCCGCCCAGGCTTCAGAGGCAGATACTGTGAAAGAGGTAAGAACAAGATGAAAGAACTATATTTGAAGGACACACGGTACATGTATGTCTTGGTTGCAGTTTGATTGAGTCTTGGAGAGTACCATCAATTCCAGATCTGCAAGGACATCTTGGTTGCACCAGTACTTTCGTCTATCATCACACACAAACACACAAGCACATGCACACATACACGCGTGCGCACACGTACACGCTCACACGCATGCACGCACACACACACACACTCCTGCCCATCGATGATAGCGAACAAGCTACGTTAGACAAAGCAGCTTGTGCTGGGATTATACCATTCAACAGCTTGCAAGGCTGATGAATTGACCGCCACAAATTTTAGCCTGGTCTACACCACACGGCCGATTGAAGCGGCTTTTTCTGGTCAGTGAATCCCTTTTTTTCATTTATTTGTACACACACCACACCACACGGCATGCACTGACTGTTGGTAACCACCCAGGAGAAGGAAGGAAGAGCTAGGATAATGAGAATGAGAAGAAATATTTTAGCAATGAAAAGTATGAATGCCGCAGACATCACCACGCAACATGACAATTTGTTCAAGGTTTGGTTTTGTGTGTTTCCAAAATCGATTTTCACGTTGCGATCATCAGTGGAAATACGCAACTAAAGAGATCAAGGGAAAAACAAAGGTTAAAATCCAAAGAAGTGTGACACATGACGGGTAACTTGTGGTAAGTATTACAAAAAGTGAGAACTAAAATAAAGAGTAAGTGTGACAAACGGGCATGAACAGTGCAGAAACAACTCATGAACACGGGGTGCAAACTCACGAAAATAACCTAAGTGCTAAAACATGTTCTTTTTGCTTACACAAATCGGGCTTATGCGTACGAATACAAACAGCTTCAAGGACCTTCAACTGCTGGACATAACGGGCACGACACAGTACAGAGAAGTGGGAATCATCATACACACTCAAACAATCGGGACGAGATAACAAATGCAAATACACAGCTGACTTCTTACGAATTTCACCCTCATCAGCTCCATCACCTTCCCTGCCACCTGACTCCTCCTCGTCCGTTTTATCACCATCACCACCAGCCGTCTCACCGTCATCCGCCTCGTCTTCATCCGCCGCCTCGTCATCACCCGCCTCGTCGTCATCTGTATCCTCGCCGTCATCCGCCTCGTCGTCATCTGTATTCTCGTCATCCGCCGCATCATCACCCAACTCATATTCACCACCAGTCAGTCGTCTGATACCATCCATGTTCTCCTTCCTACGTCTGTCCCGTGCCACTGTCCTTACCTCATCTACGTCCCGAGATTGTGTTCCGTTTTGCCCCCGGCTTCCGGTCTCCTTCGATGCTCCGCGTGGGCCTTGGCCATTCCTAGCATATATTTCGGTTGAATAATTGGCGGTCGACCTCCGTGGTCTCTGGACCCACGGATCAATCGCCGGAGGGTGCTGCGGTGTCCGCACAGCCGGATACTGTGTCAAAGAAATGGGCTCAATTTCTGTGATTGGCGGTACTGTTGTTGTTGCCGACTCCTCCCCAACCCCAGCCACCAACGGCACTGGTGGTGGCTCCGGTGGCGGCAAGGGCAACGGTGGAGAAGGCACATTCGGTTGGCTTAGTGATCCACCACTCTTCCTCTGCACCGTGTGTTCGACTTGCTCTGGTTGTGTCAGTGGTAGAGGGAGCGGGTTCTTGCGTGGTCTTCCCCGCTTCGGGCGCTTCGCTTTTGCTGCGTCCTGCAGCATGTGAAGTGGTACATGCTGCTTGATACGTGCGCTCAGGTGTTGAAGGGTCCTACCAACGTACCGGCTATCACAATTCCGGCACTCAAATTGGTAGACCAAGTGGCTCAATAGGTGGGATGGTAGGACATCCTTCCTCACCGTGAACGCACGTATCGTAGTGAACACAGGGATGAAGTGCGCCGCAAAGTATGTTTGTGTAACTAGCGTTTTGATTGTGCGGCACAATGTCTGTGATGCCTCTCCTTTCCAAGGTAAGGAAAGGTAGACTGGGCAACGACTTGGACCAATGATGACGACCTTTGGTTTTGATGCTGATTTTAGTAGCTTGTTTAGCAGTTCCTCCGGGTAACCATTTTTGAGAAACACAGATTTCAGAAAACCTAGCTCATCCTTGAGTCGAGAGGGGGAACAGATTCGCCGCGCTCTATCCACCAGATTCTTCACCAGGTTGACCTTATACAGGTACGAACAATACGAGTCAAACACGATATATTGTCCGGTAAATGTTGGTTTCCTGTATATTGACGTTACAATTTCATCGTTTGACTTCTCCACACGCACATCTAGAAAGGACAAGGTGTTGTTCTGTTCATGCTCAACCGTGAATTTCAGAGAGGGATGTAAGTTATTCAATCGGTCCAAGAAGGCGTCACACTGTTGTACTGAATCAAAATATGTGAACGAGTCGTCGACAAAACGAACGTAAAACTCCGGCCACAGTGACTGGTCCACAAGAGATTCGCAGTAGCCAACAAATATATTTGCCAACACTGGACCTAATGGTGATCCCATGGCTACCCCATCCACCTGCCTATACATCACGTTATCAAATGAAAACTCAACGCCCGTAGTAACAAGAGACATCAGTGTACGGAAGGCACTTCTCTGTACTGTGTCGTGCCCGTTATGTCCAGCAGTTGAAGGTCCTTGAAGCTGTTTGTATTCGTACGCATAAGCCCGATTTGTGTAAGCAAAAAGAACATGTTTTAGCACTTAGGTTATTTTCGTGAGTTTGCACCCCGTGTTCATGAGTTGTTTCTGCACTGTTCATGCCCGTTTGTCACACTTACTCTTTATTTTAGTTCTCACTTTTTGTAATACTTACCACAAGTTACCCGTCATGTGTCACACTTCTTTGGATTTTAACCTTTGTTTTTCCCTTGATCTCTTTAGTTGCGTATTTCCACTGATGATCGCAACGTGAAAATCGATTTTGGAAACACACAAAACCAAACCTTGAACAAATTGTCATGTTGCGTGGTGATGTCTGCGGCATTCATACTTTTCATTGCTATTATTAAACTTTTATCTCCACGTAGATTATTTAGAAGAAATATTTATGTGACTATAATCGTCGGGAGTTGAACCCGCAACCTCTCGATTGGAAATCAACTGCACATACCACTGAACCATATGGGACACGCACACGCACACGCGTGCGCACACGCACAAACACACACACACACACATACATACACAATCACACATACACAATCACAGATACAATTTGGTAACTTTATCTATTACCACGTTTCCGCCCATCTTACTGTGCAGAAAACTGCAAAGTTCCCGGTGAAGTGTTCAGCAGTTGCTCATCAGCATGTCCAGCTACCTGCGACACGCCACGACCATCATGTCAGGAGCCATGCGTCCCATCTTGTGCCTGTGACGTGGGACTGGTCTATGGGAACTTAACCAAGCTGGCCTGTATGCGAGCATCGCAATGCCCATGTGAGTCTCTTGATATTATATGCTATGGGGGGGGGGGGGGGGGGGTGCTGTATTAAAATCAATGGTTTGCCATGTGACGCCTACATGTATTTGCAGATTTATAGATCACCTTAGATCACCTAAATGAGTTCAGGCTCACTTCAAGAACTTCCCTTATTTTAGATGTGCTTATTTTAGATACGAATACGAGCATGTCTCTTTAATTGCCGCTTCAACTCTGTCGAACTTATAAATATTTCTCTTTCTTTCACCTCACAGATCCCAGTATTGAACCCAAGTCATCTATTCGGAAGCCTGGAACAGGAACATTTTTGCAATGCTCCGCCACCGTGCCGCTGGCCGACATAACTGGTTTCCGCTGGACTCGTGCCAACGGCAGTGCATTGCCGGCTGGTCGACATCACTACTTCACTCGCAAAAGTGTCTTGTATATCACCGATCATGAACGTGATGATACTGGCGACTATGTGTGCGAAGTCTTCACTGGGCTCATGTCGCAGAAGGCAACATCTCACATTGAAGTCACTGGTAAGGGGTGTTAGACATGCATGATAAGCATAGATAGAATGTGTCCATCATGAATATGCTTTTTGGTGAATTCAGCCACTTTTTTTCAGTAGATGCATTCTTTCTAAATCCGAAAGGCATTCTGGTACTGCTCTTCACTTTGTAGATGTCAAGGCCAGTATATCACCTCACAACATGCGGGCTGATCGCGGAAGTTCCGTTTCTCTTGAGTGCATTGTATCACCGGAAGAGGCTGTCGTTAGAAGAATCACTTGGAGGAGGTCGGACGGACGACCCTTCTCCAGCGGCAGGACAAAACTATCTGACGACAGGCGCGTGTTGTCGATTGATTCCCTACGCCGCAGTGACAGTGCCGAGTACAGGTGCCTGGTTGTGACAAATCTTGGGGTCACCGAAGGTGCTACCTCCTTTGTTGTAGGTAAGGCTCTTAGCTCTGCAGGGACTTTTACATCTTGAAATGTACTTCTTTATTGCAAGCTCGGGAGATAGTCATATGACATTATGCTGTCTGGTTATTTAAACAATTTTTGTGGAGACAGAAATAAAATTAACGCAATAAGTAAAGCAAGTTGCGCATTCAAAAAACACACACACCACTCGCACAGGTTAGATTTCATTGAACGTTGTCGTTGCCATCTCTACAAAAGGAATTTACTGGCAAAGGTAATTCAACAAGTGACACAATATAAATACTAAAAATGCCGTGAGGTGAAATGATACAAGTGTCAGTGCGAACAACGAGAGGTGAGAACAAAAGCAACTAATGAAGAACAGTTGCAATCACAAGCAAAGAGATGAAAGAACACCTTCAAGGAGGTGTAAAATACAACACTGAGAACTACTGATCTAAATTTACAAACAACTTGAAGGTGAACAAATTCTTCCTTTGTTTACACAAGATTGGTTTAGTTGTGAAGATGTAAATTCTGGGTAATATTGTTTTTTTGCAAAAGCAGCTTGAAGACAGGAAGTGATACTCACTACAGTGGTTTATAAGTACGTTTTAGAATCAGGTGAATTGATTCCACCAGAGTACGGGATATCAGTGGTGCTCCAGTGTTTCAAACTTAAAATTTAGTTCAAATTCCAAAGCCAATTGTCACTGCTATCTACCGTTCTACCTTTGAACCTGTACCGGTGTTTTGTTTTTGTAACATTATTGCTCAAATTGTATTGCAGGAGAAAAGGGTTGCATTGCGGACGGCCGACTACTGGGTGACGGAGAATCACGCTATATTCAGTCTACAGAGACAATCCGTAATGCCAGAGCTGCTGCTGACATCATCTTCTTGGTTGACGAGTCACGATCCATGGAAGCCGAACATGCCTGGTTGGCCAATGTCAGCATTGCGTTGGATAACTCGCTCATCGGCAATGGAATTGGCGGTGATGTCCCCAATCAGTTTGGACTGATTGGATTTGCCAAAGTAAGTAGTTCATTGAGTTCCCTCTACTTTACATTAGTATGTACTGGTGAGACTACTTGGTGGACTGATGTATCGGTAATAGGCAGCCGAGTGGTTAGATCATGGTTCCTCGCCTCAACCTGTCTGAAGTAGTGATGTGGATAACACAGAAAGTAAGTTACTGTCAACTGATGTTAACTGATGGATCAGAACACAAGAAATAGTGAAAAGCAGGACGTGGGTAAGAAATTAAAGGGTCTGGAGCTCTCACCTGGCAAAGGCGAGCCGGTGAACTACATTGCATGCTGCTGGGTAGCGAAGCTGGTGCCAAGATTGCGCCGCTCAACAGTCAAAAGACTGAGCGTGTGCGTCTGCACACAGCCTCTCTCAGTCTGTCTGTCTCTCCCTCCCCCTCTCCAATACAAACAGGATGTATTTACAGCTTGATCATGTCAAATAGGTAATAATGACAACCCTGCCTGGTATGAGTACCGATAGGTGTACGGATGCGGCAGTGCAACCAACATGTGAGTAACCGTGTCATACAGTGTTATACCAGTTTGATACTAGTCCTCTGAGTATGGATACTATGTATCATTTAGAATCATCAAGTAGGGGACACCGTGTCACAAAGTAGGCGTGTTCCACCACCATGGCCCTCTTCGCAGGTGATGACATTTGCAAACTGTCTAGGCCTGAGGAGAGCAGTGGCGATAGTGGTAGTGGTGGTCATGAGTTGATCCTTTTCAACTTTCAACTGAAAGTACTCGTACTGCTCAACATTTCTGTTTCTGTCAGATGATGGCGTCACACGAGAGTTGTACTGAAGAATTGGAGTTGTGGGTGTCTGTCTTTAACTTAAGACCTTTTCTCATCTTTTGGCCTTCAGGATGACCCGAAAGATGTCCTTGGCAGACCTATTCCCATGCCTGATGGTGGATGGATGGGAACTGCAGCTGAGTTCAACCAAGTACGCAGGCAGCTAGCGTTGAATGGCCGATCTGAGGATATGTACTCTGCTATTGAGCTAGCTTTGGACTTTTACCCGCTCAGACCTGGTAAGGAGGAATGTTGGAGAGATCAGTAAACACATCTGTAGTGTTGTTTGCATCTATACCCTCTGCATTTTGTATCCCATGCTTTATCAATTGGAATGTTTGTGGTTAGTTGCACTTGGATCAATAGGCGTGTCAGTAGCTTAGTTTCAGTGTCGATACTCTTGTGCCTTTGGTAATGTTTTTTTTCTTCTTCTTCAAATACTTTCTACAGGAATGGCCTGTCAGATTGTTGGTGTAACTGATGAAGGTAGAACGCCACTTGTGCAGGCTGATGGTAGCGCACCGCTCACTTGGCAGTTTATCCATGATCGACTGAAGGCCAGGGGCTGCTTTCTGAATGTGATCGTCAATGAGCAGATGAAGTCATTCGAGGACACTGGTATCGTGGATGCCCTGGGTGTTACTGGTGATAACACTAGCACTGTGGAAGTAAGTCATGGCTGGCATGTTGTGAAGGGACGTCGGAAGGTTATCTATGGTGGTACGGTCAGCCATCTGAAGTTCAATTTACTCGTGAGGAGGGTTCTGAGCCGAAAATGTTGGAAATTTTGAGCCCAGATCAGTGTATTTTATTGATTCACAGGGTACCCGGGGCGAAAGTGGTACGGTCAATACCGTAGTGACCGTACCGTGTCCGACGCCTCTGTAGCACACGGCACGAAAAGTCATAGATAGTATCTGTTTCTAGTAAAGTCAATTCAATCCATGTGAAGAAGAGGTTGTGGCGACTTTGGCGATGCCGGGGAGTTGTGTTTCGCTCTCTACGCAGGAGCTCACTCTTTTCCTGCGGATTGGAAAAGCGCAAGCTCCCATGTAGGGAGTAATACGCAAAACTTCCTTTCATTCCATTTGCTGGTTCTCATGAACGTTGCAGTGCTGAAACATGGTTTATTCCGTCTGCCAGCCTTCATTTCGTATCTTTTAAATGAGTTATGTGAATATTAATTCAGTCATTGTCTTCTACTTGGAAACATGTTGCTGAGATTGTGCGTTTGTGTGTCTGTGTGTGTGTGTGCGCGCACACGCACGCTTAGATTCCCGGAGGTGATTTCCGTATAGCCCGTGGAACTGGTGGACCGGTAGCTAGCAGTGGCCATGGTACAACTCACGAAGCTTATACTCGACTTGCTTTCAGTACTGGTGGAGCAGCGTGGGATCTGAATCGGCTCAGAGTCGGTGGTGACACGGCACGTTCCTTTACAAAGGGCTTTGTCTGGCTTAAAGAGAGGGAGATCAGCGAGCAGCTGTGTACGTCGTGTACATGCCAAGGAGGAGCAGAAGCAGTTTGCAGTCCAGGATGCATTAGTGAGTACACTCACACAGCATAGCTGCAACAGTACCGTGTATCATATCTGCACACAGTCTGGTATTAGTTTGGTGATGAGCTCATAGTAAAAAGAGGGGGGGGGGGGGGGGTGGGGGTGGGGGAGGTTTATACTCTAGCCCGCTAAGGTAGAGAACATGGTTAGTAGTGTACTCACTAGTTGATAACTGGTATGTCCAGAGTGCTCCACAATTCTACACCACAGACGTTTAGTAGCGATTTGATCTAGTGCATGCCAAAACCATCATAGGAGTTTTCACTCAATCTCCCAACAGCTAGCTGTTTCGACCTTGCTAGATCTCATTATCGGGGCTCAGATTTACTGGGCAAGCCGATCACAATGGTCAATGATAATAGTAGTTTTATTTAGTTTTCCTGATGTTATTGCTAATTTGCATTCGCGGCTACGTCTATGTACCTTCCTCTTTTGCTCAGTTGAGAAGCCACAAGTAATTATCACATCAACAAGTGCTGGCTACGGTAACACGCTTAGTGCAGTCAACCAAGGCGGACTGGCTGAGTTCATTTGTGAGGCAGACGGTGAGCCGCTGCCGGAATTCTCTTGGACCCTAGAAGGCGGTGGGGACTTACCTGGTGATGTGAGAATGTACGGAAGTGCTGGACGTAGTGTGCTTCAGGTATGACATATCCCACTATGCCTGCTTGCCATTATCATAAAGTGCCACCAAACTGTCCGAATTATCCGAAAAGCTGTCCAAAAATTCACCCCCTTTTCCGAAATCGATGTGAAGAGATCCTCTCAATCTTCAACAGGAGCTCCCAAGGATTGTACTTGATATAATACGTTATGGTTAGGTTTTTGTACTTGATACGCATACATGCAGGTTTTCCACATGAGGTGAGGGGGGGGGGGGGGGGATTTATTGGGTGTTTGTAGGAAGGTGTGACTGTCCAATCTTGGCTGAGAAAACAATATTGGGTAGCCGATTGGATAATGGGTAGCTGATTGGATATATTCCACTTCTCTGGTGGTGTATGTCTTGCATGCGTTTTAAACCTTGAAATCCAAATCAACGTTATCTGAGAACATCCCTCTCAAACATATGGCATTTAGTGTATATCTAGTATTGAGTGGGTGTCATTGACATTTGTATTGAAATGGTTCCCACAGAAATGCGACTGTGCATTAACCTGCTTGTTGTGTTTTCTCATTACCTTTGACTGCCCTTAGGTTCCTAACGTTCAAGATCGTGTTTGTGTGGAATGTGTAGCGTCAAATGCCGATGGATTTCTCTCTAAAGTCCAATGTGTGGAGAGCCTAGGTAAGCAGGTTGCAAGATATCTCTTTGTGGGAAAGGGGATGTGCTCCTGGCGGTTGTTAGTATGGTTGGATTTTCCATAGGATTTCATACCGCTTCTCTTCATGGAATGATATTCAACGTCCCTCTGTGCAGTCACCAAACTCATGGCGAGCATCACTCAGTTTGTGAGCTGGGATATTTTTAATTGTGTCATATGTAGATGCATATTGATTCCTCATGCTGTGGAGATAACCTACTACTTACTCCTCACCTCACAGGGCTGCCAAACTTGATATCCCTCTCTTCCTTTTGTGCTGTGTTGTCGTTGTTTGCACAGCAACGTGTACGCTGCAAGACCGGACTGTGGAGGTTCTACATGGCGACTCTGTCAGGAACTATTCCACCCATCGGGGTGATGACGTGGTGCGCTTGCCTTCCTCGGCCATTGTTGTTCTGGTGGTGGACGAGTCGGGGTCAATGGTGGGAGAACATCTGTGGCTCAACACCACTGTCCAGGCATTGGAAAGTAACCTTCTGGCCAAGGGAGTAGGAGTCGTGAATCCCAACCGGTACGCACTTGTGGGTTTCGCCAGCCCTGCAGACGTCACTGGACGCATTATTTCTCTCGCTGATCAAGGACACTGTGGAACGGCCGAGGAGATGAGTGGTGCACTCAACCAGCTTCAAGTTGACGGAACGTTAGAAGATGGCTATGCTGCCATGAGTCTGGCTCTGAACACCATCAGCTGCTTGCAGGTAGGAGTGTAAATATCTAGGCATGCCTTATACTGGTTTAGAAAGCATAACAAATAATATGATAAGTTTGAGATCCTCTGGCAGGTATTTTGCTGCAGATAGGTGAAACGGCACGATACCGCAAGGCGTATTCTAACTTGAGCTATGCCGTCTGTTCTTGTATGCTGTCTATCATAATAATAATTATTATCATGACATTATCACTGTCATTGATTGCAGCAGTATGCTGTGTTGCTTGACTGTAACCTTTAGGAGGCTCGTCCGAAAGAAGTTGCATGCCAAGTAATTCTGGCCACAGATGAAGGAAGAGACCAGCTTGAACCTGAAATACAGTATGATGACATGCTGGAGTCGCTGAGCCGAAAAGACTGCATTCTCAATGTTGTCATCTGGGAGAGATTTAGAGGAAGGGAACTGGCTACCCCGTCAGATCCACATCCACGCTGGCAAGTTGCGCTAGGAATTGACCGTAAGAACAGGGCCGTTGTTGCAGATGGGGACAACTTTGCCTTTCTCCCGGAAGGCAATGCCTGGACGATAACTGGTCGAGAAAACACACATCGGACATATGTGCAGCTTGCTACTCAAACCGGCGGTGGAGCGTGGGATCTTGAGAAGCTGCGTACGGAGCAATACAGGCAGGCCTTCACCAATGGCTTCATCACTGCAAAGGTTGAAGAGATTCAGCAGCAGATTTACGGCCGTTGCGAAGAGTGTACGTGCGACTCTGGACTGCTGCGTTGTAGTGTTGTTGAGGGTGTCAGCACAAGGCAGAGATGTATCAGTCCACCGGGTAAGTCTTACACTACACTCATATCTCTTTAACTGAGCCTCAAAGTTACGGCCACCTCAATCTAATGGGCACCCTGCGGATGAGAAATAGTGGAAAAATTACCGGACTTTTGTCAAAAGTTATGTGCAGTGCCTGGTCCCGGACCGCCAGGATAAGCGAGATACAAATGTACTTGCTTTTCTATGGTTAGTGAACTTGACTACTGGTCACTCTCAAGTCCTATCCTAAGTTCATTGTTTCATATCCAGCCTGAGTTCAAGCAATTGTTTATATAAGCATGCATTTCCGGACAACCTAAATCAACCGCTGGCACGTAAATTAACTGCCGGAATGCTGTATATTAAAATACATAGTTTGCACTTTCCTGTCCTTCAATCTGGTTGCTGTGAATGTACTGCAGATGAGTTCATGTTCAGTTTATATAGCAGAGACCAAAGATATACAGAATCATCCTCACTTACAGCTCTGTGATGTATTCATACACCCGGCTATGGCCCGGCTGCTGTACCTGAAGCCTATTTTGACTTCCAGTCACTGCTATTGCAGATACCTCTGTATGGTATGCATAACAACAAAGTGTCTGCCTACTAGTATACTTGAAAACCCTACACACACCATCATCAAATCAAGTGGTCTCTTTGCTTCAAATTACAATATCTCTATCAAATTTTCGGGGAGGAGCCATCATCAGGATATACTCTTCTGTAAAAAAGAATGACCTCGGAATTGCCTCGCTGAACCTGCAGGCCTGGAGTGTTTTTGTATAGAGCTATTATGTGCCTGGATGCCTATCTGATTTCTGCAGCAAACCGTCAACTTGGAGTTGTAATACTGCCAGTCACGGAGAGCCTGTCTGAGGGAGGAAGTTACGCCAAATTCCAGTGTTCAGCTGTGTTGCAGAACAGTGATGAAGACAATGTTACACCTATCACTGTCACCTGGGTGTCACATCCGGTAAGATTGGCTTTCTTAGCATTGCAGGGCATTGCACAGGGTATGTTCGAAAGTGGTTGCCGAATGCAAACTGCTTACGTATTGAATCCCTGCACACAGGCACGCATACATGCCCACACACACACAGAGGTTTAGGACATTGTTTAGTAACAGCATTCAACTTTTCAGGATCAGCTGGTTCACAGGTATGTCTTGAAGCAGTAAGAATATACCTCTGAACAGGGTCGACAAAGTTTGGCGGCTTCATAAAAAAAACGTTTGTGTTGGCATGCCTGGTTTGTCAATACTCTTCTTGAACTGCATACATTTCTTCATGGCATGATAGATATATACTGTATGGTACTGTACGTCTACACACTCTCTGAGGGAGACAAGCTTCTCACCATCCTAGTCATTGAGAACAATCATCATCATAATCATAACCCTGCTGTCCAAGTAACAAGAAGTGATTGTTTCCTCCGCACTGTTGTTCGTCTGTTGGCTGTGCTTAGATCCAAGCTGTAGTTGACTTGGCCAGCAGTGAGCTGCAGTTCAGTAACCTGACATCTAATGATCAGGGCACGTACACGTGTCAAGCACGCAATGCTGAAGGCTACGGGGAGGCCAGTGTGGACCTAATCATTGGTAAGTACAATCTTCGCTGGCAACGCCTAGCCAAAGTACAATAATATTGCACAATAATCTCCAGTAAAGCACCCGGTATGGGTCCTAGGCTCTCGCCGCATACATCTATATCAGCACAGTGGCCGAGAATATGGCCGATATGCATTATTATATTCAGATCAATGAATTCCCATCACTGTTGCACTGGTATCCAGCAGCGAGTAGTGGCATGTAAGGAGACAGCAGAAGATCATAGTACGCGAAGCGATGTACCTTGTAACTCCACTTTTGGAAGCTCTAGGTGATTTGTGGTCTATGCAACTCATGATCGCTTTCTTGACTTGCTGATCTATTGCCCTGGTAGGGACTGTAATGGGCAGCTCAGGGTCGAAACGCATGGCATTTAGAGTTATAGTGATGCGTGTTGTCTCCCTGTGCGCTAGGACTTCCTGGTGTCCAGTTAAGTCAGGCCTGGCACCATGAAGTGTGTTATGTGTGTGGGTGTATGTGTGTGCGCACACGCGTGTGCGTGTGCGCGCATGTGTGTGTATGCGTGTGTGTGTATGCGTGTGTGTGTATGCGTGTGTGTGTGTGTGTGTGTGTGTGTGTGTGTGTGTGTGTGTGTGTGGAGACCAAAAGGAAGTATGGATTCACTGGCCAGAGAAAGCCACTTCATAGCTGTGTCGTGTAGATCAGGCTCAATAGTGGCGGTAAATTCTTTAGCCTCGCAAGCTGTTGAATGGTGCAATCCCAGCACAAGTTGCGTCTGCTGTAGCTTCTGCTGTAGCATCGCTATCATCGCCTCCGGCGATGGGCGTCAAATGGTGAAATGGTGTGTGTGTGTGTGTGTGTGTGTGTGTGTGTGTGTGTGTGTGTGTGTGTGTGTGTGTGTGTGTGTGTGTGTGTGTGTGTGTGTGTGTGTGTGTGTGTGTGTGGTGTGTTGCACTATGTTGTATGATGCAGCTCCTCAAGACTCAGCACCCCAGGCTGGTACCACTGTATGATCTGACAAGACATGGAACTCATGTACCTCAAGTCATTCTGGCAATACATTGCAAATTCCAGAGTCCGGGATACTCTAGAATATTCGTCATAATAACCCTTAGCATTCTCATTAGATCTGAGTTGAGATATTAGTAGGAATATCAACACTATAATAGTGCTCTGCCAAACATATTATGTTAGCCGATGCATAGGCTGTGTCCATCTGATGGTATCAAAATTATCTAGCAAGCCAGCACTTGCCTGCTGTTGTCTGTAAAGCAAGAAAATTGTGCTGCTTGGCACTAGTTTGATACCTGGATAGCTAGTGGCTTCATCGTTTTGTGTACGTATGAGTACACATGCACATGTACCAGTTCCAGCGTAACATTGGCGCTGCCACTGTTGTCTCCTGAATTATTGACTGTATCGATAACAATGGTTGACACTGGTTGGCGTGTGCGTTTGCATGTGTGTTTGTGCGAGCGTCAGTATGTGTACCCGTCAGCATCACGCCAAGACGTAGCCCGTTCAAAGAAGTTCCCGGTTATCTAGACTTTGCATGCAGGGTAGGCTGAAGGTATTCCGTAAGTTATTTTAAAAGGTCTGCGATCATATTCCAACACCATACCCATTTCATCGTGGACATTCAATAGTAATACAGTCCTGTAGTAAGTAGTTATCATGATATCGATGGACAGAGAATTCCCATGAAAGAGGACTGCAGTGGATATACCAGTGCATGGTCATTTTGCATGGAGCTAGAGCTAAACCAGTAACAGTATTGCTGTTTACATCTTAGAGATCCTTAGTTCAACGCGTTATACTTGTACTGATAGCGCTGTTGGGTAGTCTACAAAGACTACATACATGTACATGCCTGTGTATACTATTATTATGGCAAGTGACAACGACAGCGACATTCTCATGACTGGATTCATGAGCATGTCGATCTCGTGATCGTCCGGCCTGTAGAGTGTAAACAATAAGAACACAAAAACTAAACGAAATCGACTCAACCTCGCGTGATGTTTCGCTTTCCGTGACCGACGCGACGCGCGTGCACGAGCTAGCTGCGAGACTCCCGCTAGACGGCCCCCACTACAACCCGAGATCCGACTGCATTTCCACAGTATGAGTGGGGATCATAACATAGAATGGTTGTTTTGTCATTGATAAGGTAGCCAACGACTCCAGGGACCAGAGTGCTAGTGGTGTCGCGACTTGCATGCTAAACTAAAGTCTAGAACGACAGTCTACAGCGGTGGTGTTGTTTAAAGAGCGACGAGAGAAGAACTTGCGCTGACTGACAGGATTTTGAAGACACACGTAGCGCAAGGTTTGCGGCTGCTGGGACTGCGGTGAATGCTTACGTTCCTTGAACGCAGCCTCGTAACGTTACCAGCGAGTGAGGCTCAAGAAAAGCAACTGCACAGGAAGGATCGTGTGACTCTCTGACGGTCGTGCGGGGTAAGCAAAGCTGAACTACAAAATAACTGCTGTTACGGTTACTTGCTTGGTTGACAGCATGTTACAAGGCGGAGGACGCACTGTGTTCGGAAACAGTGCCCCCGGCCTTACTAATACCATAGTGTTACTTGTAATACGTGTGCCTTGTTCCCAGCACGATACGCCTAGAATATCACCTACGCGTATACGGAGGACACAGGTGGTATATTTATTGTGTCCGTTAGTCAACAAGTCCAAACTACGTACATACTTGCAATGATTCACACTACAACTAGTACAAGCGGTCTCTGATCCCTTGTCAGTCAAACGGCGAAGTGAGATACGATGCTATTTCTCGATTTTGTTCTTGTCTCTTTCTACTTTTCCAAGTAGCGAATGAACCCATCGGAGGACGGTGGAAAGATTTTATCGTGGGTGGGATGCTACACTGTAGGGATCAGGACACCACACGTGCGTGGTAGGTTCTACGGAGGATAGATTCTACAATGACATACTACTACTACTAGTACTAGTACTTACAAGTGAACCTGGTCCTGGCCTTGGTCTCCATGTGCATGGCTTCACTGCACTCACGCCTTCCTCGCACTAGCACTCCCCGCAGAGCGACAGACAATATTTCAAAGTCGACCGACAGTCAGTATTTCAAGGACAGCGCTTTGTTCTTAGCTACAAAGATCACCTAGTTGAAGTCGACAATGATGCTTGTCGCACTGGAATGGTGGATGGACCGTGGCCATTGGCGGCGTGGAGATGGGCAATGGACGAAGAAAGACCCGACAAATGCTACCCCTACTATGCAAGGTTCGCCGAGCACCGTGTTTAGTTGGACAGTGCAACGATCATGAGTTTTTTTTTCTTGGCAAAATATCGGTGGACTCTAGTCTATAGGTTACTCAAATCTAGCTCTGTGTACTGACATCTTGCAAATATCATACGGATGGAAAATTCAAATGGAGATGTAATGCTCATGAGTCATGTCCAAAAGCGTGGAGGATTCCGTTTGATGAATGAAACAGTAGACCAGTGGAGTTGAGCTTACAGCTGAGTTAGAATACTCTGTCTACATACTACAGTCAGTATAGCCTATAGGTGCGCCAGACTCAGCGTAGTTTTGAATTTAGTGTGTATGATAATATCTAGAATAACGTTAGGTATCAGCAGTGGTACATGGTAAGCTTCCATTAGTTTTTTAAAATCATGCTGAAGCTGATCTGTTCTACAGTCGTCGCCAAAAACGGTAGCTGTACGTCGTTGTATGGGCCGCATGCACTGCCACTAGCTGCTACTACAGTACAGTAGTACCGACACTAGCCTAGTGCACGGCACATACCCTGCAGTCAGGCCTGCATACACTCGATGCAGTGCTCGACCCGACTGCAGCAGGCAGAGTTCAGCGCAAACTACTGTAGTCGATTGTTCATGCAAGCCACGATGCCACCATGAACGATGAAGTACCGCCGGTGAACCATGGTAAACGCGTACCATACCATTGTATCCATGGCAGTGGCCGGATTGTTTTGACGACGACTGTAGTACTACCGGTCTGGCAAATGAGACTTTAGTCAGGAGTGGATACGCACTGGGTGCTCTGTAGCCTTGTAACGTACATTCACCATTATTTAGCAGCACCAAAAATATTGCTTTGCTGAATCTGAGTCTGATTATTGAGTTCAAGGAGTTGCTATGGAAGTGGTGTTCAAGTAGCCTGCTGTCATTGCATACATCAATGGGCTGTCAGTGGGTTCACAGCTCGGATAGGTCATCTTGCTTTTTATAATAGGTGGTTCAACCATGCTGGTGTCAATTGCTCTTGCTTGTTGGTGTCGACCCTGCAGCTTTCCAAAGATGGCATCCTTGAAACACAGATCACCCCAGGATATCCTGTCCGGGCAAATGAAAAAGAGCGTGTCTCAGCCGAACTTCTCGAAAACTAGAACTGTGTAAGTAACCGGGCACGATGTTATCGCCAGTCAACTCCTTATTTAGTGTGAATTTCTGCCAAGAGTGTCTGTGATAGGCTTTGGCGGATAATGCTCGAAAAGGTGGCAGATTCTGCTCGAAAAGCAGTGAAATTGGCAGAACCATACAAACTTTATGGCGGGCAATTCCTCGAATTCTGCTCCATTTCTTTATCCACATACCAAACATGCATGAAACTTACCAGAAAAGTACCGAATTCTGCCAATTTTTCTGCCGGCATTATCCGCAAAGGCCTAGTCTGTGACGATACTATTGTATCATTATCACTGAATAGTGTGACAGTCATTCGACAAGTAAACCTCATCACCATCATAACCAGTGTGAGCTTTCAGAATCGGACACTCCACTGTCTTCATGCAATGAAGTAGGAAACACTAAATACTTGTGTTGTTCAAGGTTCACTTCTTTGAAAGAAATGCCAACTCCAATCGCCCCTATCTGCACCATTGGATTCAATCAATGCCCTACTCCCGTGTATGGGAAGTCTTCTTTTTTAACATCACTTCCAAGTCTTACAAGGAGCTTTGTCAACCTCCTTCCAGAAATTGACTCTGTCTACATGTGGTTAATTGTGTTTGTGTGTTTGTGTGTGTGTGTGCTGTGTGTGCCGTGTGTGTGTGTGTATGCCATGTGTGTGTGTGTGTGTGTGTGTGTGTGTGTGTGTGTGTGTATGTATGTGTGTGTTGTATGCTACACTGCAGTGACTACAGCAATGTGAAGAGCCGTTGTGGATCCACGGTGAACGCTAGGTAAAACCCATCAGCAGTATTCCTGTCTTAGTATCTGACAATTAAAAGTACAGTGCACTACATTGAATGAAACAATATGACCAATTTGACCAATTTGCTCACATATCCACGTATCGGCTGTATAACACATGCATGCAATCTTTTCAATTAAAAGATAATTTCTTGTAAAGATTCTAGGCCATGGAGCCATGGAGCTCTAGCACTTAGTGTCAAATCTAGAATGCAGTGATGAAATTGAAAACTTATCTTATGTACAAAGATCAGCCCGAGTCCCATCAGCCGTACATCCCAGTGTTTGTTGTACCTTGAGCCATGCAACCTTGGCCTTAGTCAATCTATCCATGAGGATGACAAGGTTGTTCTTCATTTTCTCACCATTGTGTGTGTGTGTGTGTGTTGTGTGTGTGTGTGTGTGTGTGTGTGTGTGTGTGTGTGTGTGTGTGTGTGTGTGTGTGTGTGCACTTGTGTCCGTGCATGCATATTTCTGCATGCATGTGTGACTGCTTGTGGCACGTGTCTGTTCAGTCACAAACCAGGAGGTGGCATGAAGAAGATTGCAACGGCAAAGGTCGATTTTAGTGGTGTCGAGTCGAGGACCTCATCAAGGCATGGCAACTACGTGGCAGGTACGAGTGGCCAATTGATTTCCTAATACACACTGTTGTGATATCTAGCCAATGACTGTACTGATATATTCAGCGATGTTCCTAAAAGGTCAACACGGATATAGCACAAAATAGTGGTAGCGACCTCGGCGATAATTTTATAATTAGTTGGTTGCTCCCACACTGGAGCTCACACCTTTCCCGCCGACCTGACTTGACACTTTTAAGTGCAAAAGTGACTCACGACTGCCATCCAGAGCACAGAGAAGTCCATCCAAACTTCGACTCGGCAAAACTGCTAGAAAGCAGCACTCCCTGCTCAAAGTGTGCCTGAAGAGCAAAACTTATAATTGTAGTGCTCTCCAGGCCAGCCCTCACCAGGTATACAGACTTACAGTGACGCTCCGTTTCCAGCGCTACAAACACCTCGTGAACACCAGATAGCAGCGTGAGTCAGTGTCGCTCATGCGGGAGAGATCGGCGGGGAAAGCGCGAGCTCCAAAGTGGTAAGCAACCAACTTTCTTATGGAGATAGCATTTGCAAAATTGACAAAATAAATAATATGGCCTGTACTGACTCTGACATGCAAACTGCAATGGTGATGGGTTCTGAGTATGGTATTTGCAGAACGGTTGTGTTCTATTGACTTTCCACACGACAAGAAAGAAGGAAAACATAAGAATCCAAATATGGACTTGGTCCGGCTGTGTGTGTCGAAATTTCAAAATTAATCTAATAACAATAGTGATTAATTTCACCGTGGGTGTTAACTGAATGGTCCTGTTTGTTTTATTTTTGAATTCTTTTTTTCTAACCTTGGTGCGCGGTTCATGTTCACTGTGTGGGCCTATTTTGGTTGTCAATTCTCACTTAATACCGTATGTCAGCGCCTTTAAAGCCATGGCCTTATATTCAAAACACCGCTGCTTTCCTAGATATTTTAGATGCAAAATGACTCACCCGCTACGCCATGCAATAAAAGTCAAAGTCCACACAGAAATTTTAATCTAAATCTACTTGTTCACCGTTGCTGCTGGGCTGTAAGTTTGTTAGCATAGTACGTATTCCTTCATTTTGGAAAACAGACTTCGAATGTCAGTTCATTTATGAAGCCCATGGCCTTATAACTGAGACTGGCTTTATAATCGAATATACCTCCATGGCTTTAAAGGTGCGGACACACGGTATATGACCATCAGTGTTGGTAGCCATTATTCTCATGGTAAACGGGTGTGGAGGCGTTTACTTTAAATGTCCCTGCTTCCTGGATTTATCCTGATATTGATCTGCTCGCCACAGGTGGCGGCAAGGTTAAAATTGTCGACAAGCCGGTGAAGTTAGGTCGTGTTACGTCAAGGATTGACTCAGGAAAGTCAACACCGGTGAGTAAGTTTGAAGGTCTGCAGCTTACCATATATACATGTGTGCATGTAGACTGGTGAGGGATTGGCACTTGCTACTAACACAGCTTACCTCTCCTGCATGTCTTGAATGGGTTTGGAGTTATGCTATTTAGCTTACTTTGCGTATGGTGCAATCGTTGTCACTGCAGCACTTCAGGCCATCGGATGTGACACCCTTGCCATCCTGTGTATCACCGACATCATCTTTGACCGGATTGACCCGCTCGAAAAGCGAATCATCTTCTCCTAGCACATTGCGTCATGTGCAAGGCCATCATGTGGCGATGACACTACATGACCATGAGAAAGTTCAAGAGCAGATTCGTAAGCTATCGGTAGAAGAGGGTGCACATGAAGAGAGCAGCACGTCACCTGGACAGAGCCCGACAACAGCGAGGAAGCCGTATCGCAAAGGGCCATCCTCTGAGAAGGCAGTAAAACTGCCTCTTGGTCTTCGCCGCTTTGCCTCGTCCACCTCTTCACTTTCTCGTCCAGTGGAAAGACTGAGTGACACATCAGGTAAACTATATCTTTATCATAGCATGTCGTGTGATATGACGTAATCTGTTGAAGTAATAGTATGTTGGCAATGCTCAGTTTGTGACAGACTTGCTCAGATTATATATACCCTTGAAGTACATTGTGTAGTAATCTAACCAGTTACGCCAGGATGTCAACTAAATCACTGGTGGCTTGTGAATTGTCAGCGGGATTGTGGCGTGTTACACATCATCAAGACGTTTTAGTACTCTTCTGCAGTAGGCAGCGCTTGTAACATGCTTGTCAAGCCTACGCTACTCTACACATTCTACTACCACATCAAGTTACTTTGCTGCTGTATCTAAAAGTGCGTGGCAACTGTGTACCCCACTGTGACACACAGAGCTTTGTGCGTTGGCTACATTTTCAGATGATTGTGTACGACACGGACGTCTCTGTTGTTACTGTAGCTGTGTGCACGATAATGATACTGTCCAAATGTACTGCACGTTGTTACCACTCTTGTTGGTTGGACTGTAAACTAACGAAAGAGACAGGAACATGTGGCCATTGTTTTGCCAAGAAACCTGGAAGGAAATGCATTGACTTTTTATGTATACTGCTACCATATCTTCCAAATCCATTCCACAGCTCAAATGAGGCTCGAAACATCCAGAATGTTCGACCATTTTACCAAGTATAAAAGTCTGAAATAATGTCATAGTTAAAAAAAATGTTTATTCACTGCTCACCCTCGAGTTACGCATCACCACCAATCCTTGTGTTAACGACAATTTCTCTTTTCTAGTGTTTTTCTGAAGAGACGACACCGAAACGTTGAAGGCAATGGCATTACTACGTATAATGTGATTGTCAGTACATAGATAGCTTCATTTATTGCCTTGAACTCCATAGCTGTTATTTTTTTGTGGATTGTTCCTCACCTCTTGTAGGCGCTGGCAAACGACTTACACGGCACACATCACTTGACCCAGCAAGATTTAGACAAGCAGAGGAAAGAACTATATCATACACATCTACCCCATCATCGGCCGCTGTGAAGACTGGATCCCGACTTCGAAAGTACGGCAGTGCAAGTTCTGGCATAGGTAATAGCGGCAACAGCCGTAAGAGTGGTCTCTCCTCGGTTTCGTCGTCTGGTTTCCACGAGAGAACGACTAGCCTTGATGAGGACCGGCTCGGTAGAGATTGGATTCGTGAACAGGAGACAGAGGGGAGTGAAAGTGCTGAATCCGTTTCAGCTGCAGACCTTGTTACACAGTCACTGACCTCATTGCCAGAAGCCAGTGTGTCTGAGAACGGGCAGGAGTTTGCACATGCCTCCCCTACATCAGGTGAAAACAATCAAGAGTTGGATATTGAAGTACATAGTGAGCCAGCAAATGAGAGGTCACACACTTCCTTGCTGTCACCTATCAGGGAGGCGAGTATTGAGCAAGGCGCATTTGATTCACTTCAGGCCTAAGTTGGCCCTCCTGAATACTTGAATTACTATTACATCACAGGAACACACTTCATGTTTTTTTTAAATGTTCACTTGAGTGCTTTTTTGATCATTTTCAGAACAATTAATATTTTAGGCCCGATTCACTTTCCGGCTGTCATCTCGGACCAGGATATTTCACTTCTCACGTATGGATGTATTCTTGAATTGCCACGCTAACTCTACTTGTAAGAGGATAGTCTGATGTGTTATTGAAAGGTCGCCGATGTTGCAGTTTGTATGCATGATGCATATGTGCGTGATACGTGTATGGGAAGCCGGGTATGCCTGTGGTCGTACCGTGCGACTACTTTTGTTTTGAATACAGGATGAAGTGTGGCTCGAAAAATCACGAGCTGTACCATGTCAAATGAGAAGTTTGTATGTAGTCATTACAGCTCGGGGATCAACGGATTTGATTTAGTCATTACAGAATATGATTGTACTCTGACAGCTTTGAACACACTGATACCAGTACTCTCTCTGCAATTCCTGAGTTTGTAATAGGAAGCATCAATGCCACCATGCACTTAGACCACCTCATTGACAAGGCAATGCAGTTCTGGAAAGACAGTGATAATCTGCATGGACTGATATACACTTTCAACTCTGATGTTGATTGCCTTTTAATATCTAGTCGGGTGGGTACCCATGAGTGCAGAAAGTGTGCCTCGGGCTGGACTTCTTTCCACAGCTGAAGCTCCGTGATATCTTTGGTGTGCCCTATCTAGCATAAGTAGGTAGTTGCAATATGTTTTGAGCAAACGCCACGAATAGACAATATCGAACTCTGCTCTCAGAGACCTTCGCTTTGCTGAACAGCACGTTATTGCAATGCAGCAGTGAGATGTCGAGCCTGAGGCCTGATCTGGAACGGAGAAAATGAGACTTTTGGTCCATGGCCACAGTGGTGAAAGCTGTGTAGCTGGAAACTGAAGTGCGTTTTGGATCATGAAAATAACTCCGCAACGTGATACCCAATTAATTATTTTTTGTGGAAAATCCTTTGTCTTTTCCAACCACAAAACTGAATGATCCATGCATGGTGCACCGGTGATTTTGATATGGGGTTTCGGAGCACTGTCCTATTCGGCTTCCCGTATGACAATCGGTGGATGGAGTGGCCGGCTATCGAGTATCGTTTACCATGGCTTACCATCGATCCTTGCTTACGGGCCGGCGCGGTTATCATGGTTATGGCTGTTGCTCAACACGAACTACCGGGTCGGTAGTAATACTAATAGTATGATAGATAACAGAAGATCCACGTGCGGTACATGTAGCCTTGAAGATTTGCATTCGTTCTAGTTCTGCAAGTGTGTCGGGCGGACATGCTCACTTGCGACGTAAGTAAATTATAATAATTATTATAAGTCAGTCATAAGGCATTGCTGATCACCGCTGTGCTCGAGCCTCGGGCACGCCACCCAACAATGTAACTTTATACTTGTAATGTTCCATCTCGCATATCGATCATACCTGTGTCCTTTGCTAGCTCAGCATGGATCATCGGCGAGCACTTTGGAGTGTGTTCCGTAGCTAGGCGTAGGCGTGAGTCGACATTCGGGAATCGCAGATCTTGATGTTGCGGACGTGCAGCCGGAGTCCTGTCCTGACCATACCACTTTCAGCCAACATTCCGTCGTGCATGACATGAATGCATAGGACTACAGTGTCAGTGTTATTTCCTTCCACGAAGCACCCGCCGCGGAGCACTTTCGCCATGCCCACGTGTTTGTATTCGAATTTCAGCTCAAATACTGAGCTTCATACTGGACCTTGGCAAAACAGGAGCGTTGCTTCAAGCCGAAGCATCAAAGCCCGGCTGCTGCAGATACGTCTCGGTACACCAGAAAGAAAGCCGCCACCTTGTACCTGACCTTTTGAGCTCATGAAGATGAAGGTAAGAAGTGTGACCAGTAGTGCTATTGTACTATTCAGTCATGTACATGTATTGTGTGAAGGAACATGACATTGTGGACTTGCAAGAAGTTAGACCAGCGACTATAGCGTAACTTCAAGTAATAATCCACTGTGCTTAGGTAGTGGTCGATGAGGGCCGGGATTGTGGCGCCCAGGCTGAAGGAAAAAACAAAGATACGACAGAAAACTGACTTTGGATAGTATTTCGGGCTGGCGGAGTGAAGTAAACGATGCCGTGGGTGGGAGGGACAGGGCATTAAGTTGACCTCCGGAAACCTTTCAAAAGAGAAGAAAATGACTTTCGCAATCATCGCTGTTTCGACCATTTTAATCATCAGTGAAGGTTCAGAAGACTGAATGAAACAGCGCTGTAGGGAGGAAATTTTGTCAGTATTGGAGTCATGTTGCCGGTGTGATGAGGTCGACCAGAGAGTGCATGCGGTGGAGGTGGTATTCCTTCATTGATAACAGGCCGAAAGCTGCTGCTTACCTTTTCAGCGTGACTGTTGTTGTTGTTGTTGAGTTTTATTTAAAGTCGCAACACAAACAGGCGATGGCGCCTTCTTTTATACATGCGAGCGACTGCATAAATCATTTTTCATAACAACTGGGTGGACTGGCGCAGATACTATTTCCAAAGTTTGTTAGGGAATATGAATTGCAATACAAATGGAATGGCTACCCGGGTCTAGTTTGTACTTGTAAAATTTAGTAACTCTTCTATACAACCCCATAGTCATGTTTTACACCATCTCTAAGTGTGAATAACTATGCCGCAGGACCACACAAAATCAATACGTTGGGTTGAGACTCTTCACTCAGCGGCATTGGTCTGTCGGTTTCTTAAAACAAATGGCAAACAATGTGCAGGTATGCTTCCCAAATTTGACACGATCTAGCTCTATCCACACGTGAGTCGTCGCTGTCAGGGTTCCACCAACCCTAGGTCTCTGATGAGCTGAAGCCTGCAGGCAATATCACTATTATCTACCAACGATAGGTGAGGGTTGTTCTTCTAGGACTTCATCCCCAATGATATAATTATGTATTGCCAGTGAGACAATGTTGGCTCCATGATGTATAGCAAGTCCTCTGGATCCACAAGTATGCCAAGAAACCTGATGCTCCAACGCCCCCATGTATTCCAAGTACTTTAGGGGCTTTGCGCATCAAAGCCTAGTTAGCCAAGGCACACGCGGCTCAAGGCATACCCTGCACGATTTGGAGTTGGACATAATTATAATGTTAACACTTGGAAACAATCTACTACGTGGCACCTGTGCCAGATGATGTACTTTAGGTGTTATTGGACTTCATGGAGGGGGGGGGGGGGGGGGGGGGGGAGGGGGCACTATTATTGGCCAGGATCAGTTTTGTTGCTCCTTGGGTACTTTGTGGTAGATTGTACTATACTACATACTGGTACAAAACCTGTCGGTCTTGGTTGGTCTTCCGCGTAGTGATGATGTTGTGGAAAAAAGGGGCAACACCCTCAGGTCCCTACTAGTACTAATAGTACTATGCTGCTAAAGTACCTACTACTTAGCCAGGCTGAGCACTTCTACAGATGGCCAAGTACTGTGGCTACTGACACTGTGCTTCTGAAGTCCCCAGCCATATGGCTATGTTTAAGATAGCCGTGACTTTTACAGATAACCTCACACTGTAACACATCACAGCCATCAAGGGCTACTGCAGTGACTGTATGGTTGGCATGCACGATCACTTGTTGTAGCCGAAATGTGTTGGTCTAGTGCTGCTTAGCAGCAAAGTGAAGTGTCTTTGTGATTAGAGCACTACTAATCCACTCACTGACTGCAAATCTGTGTTAGACTTACTATTCCTGTCATAGTATGAGTGGTGACTCGTGTTGCTGGGCTACTGACAGACACCACTTGCCTCCAATGTGATAATAGTATGCTCTGAGAGTCAGCTAAGGATCACTTGTGGACTTCTCGGTGTGTTACTTGTAGGTATATTTACCTGACATAGATGCATAATATTATACACAAACAAGAGCCTACATAATTTGTAGGGCAGATATGTCCTGGCCTTGTCTAACTGATATTGAGGAGTCAATGTGGGATTTCCCCAGTTGGCATGGCAATGTCCTATGCCGCAGCTAGCCATGTATTATGTTACACATGGCAATGAATTACAGGAGCTAGACCATGATGTCCAATCATCATTACACAGTCCTTTGACTACCTTCCACCATTGACAACTTCATTAAGCTATTTAACAAGACTTAGTATACATGTAGTTAGAAGAATGGCATTCGAGCTGACAAGCTCAATCCCATAACTCTGCAAAACACTGAATATCAACGTTTCCGCATTTCGCCATCATCAGGTCAATGCGCAAGCTAGGCAAAGGATTTGCAAGAAGCATCACCCTTACTTCTACATGTGTGTATAATTAGGTTATAGTAATTGTGTGTGTGTGTGTCCATGTTTGTGTATGTGTGTGTCCATGTGTGTTTGTGTGTATGTGTGCTTGTGTGTATGTGTGTGTGTGCATGTTTGCACGCCTGCGTGTGTGTGCATGTTTGCACCCCTGCGTGTGTGTGTGCACGCGCGCACATGTGTGTATGTTGTGTATGGGTCATGTATTTGCTCTCTGTGTGCGACCATCAGGTTTTCTCCATTGCAGTCATTGTGGCTTGGACATGCCTTAATGCAGTAAAGTGTTTCCCTCAAGGTGGAAACAGCGTGATCTCGCATTGCAAAGACTTACGCCCTGCTCACATAGGTGCACCACAAACAAGCAGTGCACCATACGTCATTTCAACTGACATTGATACCGTGGCTGGCTATACACCGGAGGAATCATATACAGGTAGGCTGATCAGTACAGTACGTGCATATTATTTTGCCTGTTCAGAAAACCTACTAGTAATGGATTGTTGAACTCTGAAGAATCACACACCCAGCTCGCAAGGATGTGCAGAGTAATTTGATGCAAACTGACCTTGGCTTGTTGTAGTACTTCTTGCTTTGCAGTCTTGTACTGCAGTGTGCATGCCAAAATATTAAACTTAGCTGGTATCAAAATGATACCACAAAGCCTAGTTTTGCTTGAAAAACGACATGCCTGGCCTGGCCTGAAAGGCAAAGTAATCGCCTGTTGTAGCAGCATGAGCTTCCCTGCAATGTCTAGACTGGTGTTTTAGACTTCAGTGCTGGTAGCCAGACTGGTGTTGTAGTCGTCAGCACTGGTAGCTGCGAAGTGCATCACATACCTCCGAGAAGTGCATGACCTCTTCTCAGAATTTCAATCTGCGGTTACACCTGCTCTGATAATAATTATAAAAGTCTTCACCACCAGTTACCTATCACCAGGCTTCACACATAGGTGGTTGTATTGATTAGTCCCAGTTTTTCTTTTCTTATCAGTTGGTGATTGATTTGGCATGAATCTCTGAGCCATAGCTATTGTCCAATTACTTCAGAAGTAGATTCTTCTGTGTTCTGTATGTTTGACTTGACTTGTCCTTGACTAGTTACTCTTCAAGCAACAAATGCATCTGTCTATCCAACTCACGGATTCATCATCCAGTTCCGAAACTCTGACAACTTCACGACAAGAGGTGTTTTCACCGCCTGGAACTCCTCCATTGCAGCTCAGGGGGACTGTGACCGGCTTCAAGTAAGATAGATTCATTAGCATGTCTATGCTGCATGTGATAGACCTAACCACCATGCCTACGTGTCAACCATAATGGTCATGTATTTGCAAGGCTTGATTTGCTGACTCATTCCTAGAGTACAAACCTCACGCATAGATGGTACTGGTATGCTATTGATTTCAGCATGCATTCTGCACAAGAATATCGGTGCTCATCCATTCTCTTGCAGTAGGTTTGTTTATTGTCACTGTGAGAGAGAAGCATCATCACATCGCTGAGATTGTTCTGGACTAATGAATCCGTGTCAATTGGTTTTATGTCTGACCGTCCAGGATACTATTGTTCAGTTCAACCCGAACAGAGTAGATTTACCAGAGGTAATCAATTTCACGTGGCAGGCACCTTCCAGTGGAGCGGGACCGCTAAGAATTTGGTAAGACAACAAACTGGCCAACCTCATCACTGTGCCTAAGCGGGACACGCAATCATGTGCAACGTACGCTAGTGCAGTTATCTCCCGTGCCAACTGTATGAACATGGTTTACTGTAAAAGCCGTATATATAACGAAGTGCTGATTCTAACGAGTTAACGAGGAGAAATCTGTCGTTAAAATAGAAATCATTATACAGAAATCGATACATATACTGTTCTATTGACTCGGTATTGAGCGTTGAGAATGGATGAGAATCGTTACCTTTTGTACACGTAAACCAGTCAATTTTGGGAAATCGTTATAATTATATGCGCCTCGTTAGAGTAATGGCTTTTACAGTAGTCCGATGCAAGACTTCCATGCTCTGAATAGAACAGTGAAAGGGCATGGGACAAGGGCAGGAGTGATCGGGAAATTTCCACTGTCATGCAGTGGAGTGCAAGTCGATGTGTTTCCCTTGTCCTTTTTCACTGCAGGTCTTCTTATGTGGTTAGCTATCCAGTATACTGGATTCACGGCTTTGTGAGCCAAGAAATTGCCGAAGGAGGAGGTGTAAGCTACGCTCAAAAACACTATTGTCATGTATTCTTATGCATATACTTGTACGGCATATGCCTTACAGTTGTTAAGGCGGCTGGAGGTATTGTGCTCTAGTATCCTCAAAATCAGAAGACCGATTAGACAGCAAACTATGAAGCAAACTGCGTGTTGTAAGGAAGCGCATACTCGTACATGTTACCCGGAGTTGCTCAAATAGCTATTCACATTGGTGTGTGTTTTTTCCTGCTCTTGCTAATTTTTACTATAGGCGGCCATCACCACTGATGAAACACCAGCCAGTGTTGTGGTAAGAAAGGATCAATGATAAAGTACCATTTCTGACTCGCCGGTAGGCTAGGGGATCATTTCGTTGTCTTCAACTTACAGTTAAACATGGTGTAAGCGACCTCTGGGTTTAATGATAGCTTGCATAGACCTCGGTCCTACCGGTAGGACCTACCGGTAGGACCATCATACACAGACATGCTGCATGGCCTCTGTTCTAACATTGACCTAAAACTTGACCCTAAACTGTTGCTCAGGGGCTAATGAAGGAGTCCACAAATTTTAGACGTGATCGCACAAGGCAGAGCACGAAATTCCATGGTAACAGCAAATGGTAACCATGGAAACGGTGTATGGAATTATGCATTCTACTGCCTTGGCAGACTAATAAAAACATTAGTACCTCACCACGATTGATGTGCCATGGTCAAAATTCACTTTGGACAGAGTTGCTAGCGCTCCGACAGGAGTATGTGCGGCCATTTTGACAATTGATAAAATTGCGCGCATGCAATGCACTGGACATAGTCTTGCATTTTGCGCCATTACTTTGCCTGACAAAGACCTCATCTCAACAATTGTTTCAAGAAATTTCTCAACCAAAAGCACTTTTGCAGCACGATTTCTTGGGTCCTACCGGTAGGACCCGTGGTCCTACCGGTAGGACGGCATGCAAGCTATCATTAACAACCACCTCCTCCTGACGACCCTTTTTCCAAGCACCGACAGTTCTACACAGACACTGTGGGACCTGGTTCTAAAGACCACCTGGCTTTAACGACCGCTTTTGCTTGCACCGTGGGGTGGTTGTTCACTGTATTGTCAATTCAAGAAGCTAGTGCTCAAGGCAGGAAAATGAACTATTTGGTTAGGGCCACATACGTTTATACCCCGGGCTTCATCAGCGGTAACAGTGCTTTAGCTGGGTGAACGATGATGCATGGTGTGCTCTTGTGTGCTTTTGTGTAGGTTGACCTGAGTATGTGCGGCGAAACAAAGGGTTGCTTCCGCTACCCGCCAACATGTTCCTCCCAGTCAACCTGCCAGTATATCTACACACAACAAACAGGCACGGCTATGAGTGGAGAAGAATATGTCGAGATTGAGCTGTCCAGCACTGATCCCGGCTGGGTGTCGGTTGGTTACAGTGTTGATAGGATCATGGTGAGTTGTGTATCACGGATGCGCTTCCTTTCGAAGGCTGTTCCAGTTGCTTCGGCTGTTCACTCTGTCCTGGGACAGCATAATCTAACTCACCCAACCCTAGTTTTGTTTTGAATGAGCTTAGTGCGAACTTTGTGTTTCAATGGCTATTGCCTCTCTGTTACAGGGTGGCTCAGATAATCCGCCGGATGATGTACTTGCTTGCCAGTACTCCGGCGCATCCGTGGAAGTCAAGAATGGTTACATTATCGTCATCCCTGGCAGTCGCTTCCACCTGAACGACAATGCTACTGTTGTGGTATGTTTGTCCACGTGCATTATGCAACAGCATTTGCGCTTTTGTTTGCAAGATCATGGTGTTCGTGTGTGATGGCTGTAAGCGATGGTTGGTTCTAACCCCGTACATATTACATATTGATATCCTCTGTTTCATGTGAATGGCCTGCATGTGAATGCCTTACAGGGAGCAGGTCTCACTGTTCTTGGTGCATCATACTCCAATGGTGTCCTGGCCTGTAGGTAAGTGCCGATGGTACTGGTTGATGTGAGCCATGTGCTACAATATAGACCTGGACAATGCTATTGTGATAAGCAGGGTTGCAGCCAAAGCACAGCAGTGAGGTGCTGCACCCTTTCAAAAATCAAAAACAGCCGCTCAGCAATGAAACGTTTGACTCCCCCTTCCCCTCAACCTGTTTTACCAAGCGGTATGGTGTGAATGTAGGCATTTGCTACCTACTTCATGAAGGTGGCCGGGCACGAACGAAGCCACCCACATAAAGTTGTATAGCCAGTGGCGCCTCGGGTGATCGAAGTATGCTTTTGTGGTGTTGCAGGTGTGCGAACTGTAGTTGAGTGGAGGTGCAAGTGTGCGAACTATGCTTTAGTGATGTTGCGAGTGTTAAAATTGTACTTCCGTAGTGTTGCGAGTGCGCGAACTATACATCTTATGTAGGCACGAAAAAGTAGAGCATTGCTGTAATTGAGAAAAATGGCAATAGGTCTACATTATCATGCTGTACTCCATATGTGGAGGGATGCAGATTTCCGCCACAATACACAAACTTTCCCAGTCGCCCCTCTACTATTTCAGTTGGCCTAAAACCCTGGAGATGCTGGTATGGCAGCAATGGAAGTCTTGCAACATTGGCACAGAAAATCTTCCTGTCAGCAGTTGGTGGAGGTTTGCTTCGCTGCGCCGAGTATGCTGATTGTCGGCTTTCTCTGTGACAAACTTCGCCTTTGTATTTCTTGTTCCGTCTCTGCACTTTTGTACAGATTCCGACGCAATTTGTACACCGGAAGTCCTTTCGACAAAGATCTAAGGGAATCCTATTACCAGTTTTACGTGTGGGATCCAACCCCAGGTGAGTCAGAGAATTATTGCAGTTAACCTTTGTTAGCGCTCATCACAGACTCGCACTGCTCATTTTCCTCATGTTCCTTATGCAGAGGCATGTCCTTTTTTGCCTTTGAGGATCTACATACATATGCAGCGTATGCACTGCTGTACATGTCTGGGCACGCTGCACTGACTGGGGCGCCCAATAGGCACCCTGATGCGCCTGCTTAATTCAGCAGCATGTAGGTATAAGGTACACAGGGCCGTGTGCCTGTCCCGGCTCTGGATCACACTTACAGCTCATCGCAGCATGCAGGTATAAGGTACACAGAGCTGTGTACCTGTCCTGGCTCTGGGTTGCACTGAAAGCTGAGGGATCAGATACAGTCGTCCCTCTCTAATCCGGCACTTGTTAATCCGGAACCCTTGCCAACCGGCGCACTTTCTGATGAAACCGATTTTTTTCGTTCAATTCCTACATCGTAATCCGGCACTTGAATTCCGCCTCCGGCAGTGACTTTTTGAAACGAATCCTCCAAACTGCACGTAGTTTGATTTCATAATCCGGCAGTCGTAAATCGCGTACCGTACAGGTGCACTCCTTGCCAGGCCAGTCTGGTCAGTGCCGCGCGCGTGGTTGGTTGTTAGGACTTTTCCGAACCCGAACTCAATTTATACAAAGAGAAAGACCAAGGAACTACAAGTTACGCTATACTGTCCACTAACACCACCAGTTACTAAACAATCAGCGACGATGCACGACACTGACCGACGGTACTGACGTTCTACAACTAACTGGCTAACAGCTCTAGCACATCTTGGATGCGCACTCCAACACGGCCTTCCAACTCTGGCACAAGCATCCCGTGCACTTGCTGATGCAATTGTTTGCTCCGAAGGACATCCGTCGTTCGACCTGCATGATGTCGACTGCTTGCGTGGCCTTCTCAAGAGGGTCAATGTTGTCCAGGAGACAACTGCTAAGCAGTCAACCATACTTTCTTTTTTTGGCAAGAAGTAGTGTCCTGCCAATTTTCAGGTCTGTGTGTGTGTGTGCGTGTGTGTGCAAGAATACATGTGAACATGTTCTCTGTTTTACTTTATCACTTTATCACTGTGTATATTCCTGGAGAACAGTTGAGAATATAAAGTTGTGCACCAAATACTTGGATCGACACGGAAAAACCCTGCGTTTTGACGTATGACACATGCATGCAATTGGGTAGGGCCGGGTCAGAGGGCAGGATTTCTTAATCCAGCACCCTCGTTAATCCAGCAGAAAACGCCGTAGCAAAAGGTGCCGGATTAGAGAGGGACGACTGTATACGATTTATATTACAGCAGTTTGGAGAGCTCAAACTGTTTAGTTGTTGTTTTCTGGCGCTTCTTGCTCAGCAGTAGTGGTTGGCTTGTGAATTCTTTTTTCCCGCCATCCCACCATTACCACTATCTATATCCAGAACGTCACTACCAGTCCACTCTTCACAATGAACACTGGGGGCTGGCACAACTCTTAACGGCAAAGGTTTAAATCGTGCAATCACTCCGTGCTCTATATTGAGCCAACACACGCGCTCTATGTTGAGCCACTGTACCCGCTCTATGTTGAGCCACTCACTCTCTCTTGCTCTTTGTTGAGCCACTCACCCTCTCGTGGTCTATATTGAGCCACTCCCTCTCTCGTGCTCTGTGCTCTCGTGCTCCGTATAACTCCAAACTCTACGCCCTGTGTGTTGGCGTACTTCATAGCGGTCTAGCATCTGCATGTGCATGTGGGATGTGAGCTAATGGAAAGTAAATTGGAACTCCAATCATGGAGGATCTTCTTTGGGACACAATATACTGTGCATACTTGAGAGTTGGTGAGGGGATGAGAAGACAGACAGAGAGAGAGAGAGAGAGAGAGAGAGAGAGAGAGAGAGAGAGAGAGAGAGAGAGAGAGAGAGAGAGAGAGAGAGAGAGAGAGAGAGAGAGAGAGAGAGAGAGAGAGAGAGAGAGAGAGAGAGAGAGAGAGAGAGAGAGAGAGAGAGAGAGAGAGAGAGAGAGAGAGAGAGAGAGAGAGAGAGAGAGAGAGAGAGAGAGAGAGAGAGATAGAGAGAGGGAGAGCAGAGGAGCGAGAGAGAGAGAGAGAGAGAGAGAGAGAGAGAGAGAGAGAGAGAGAGAGAGAGAGAGAGAGAGAGAGATAGAGAGAAAGAGAGACTCAGGCGTTGATTCTGCCAGAAAAATTTGGCTTTGTTTGTTTCCAGGTGGTCTTGTTGCACCTCTGAATTACCATGCATTCAACGCTCCGATCATTTCCAGCAGGATTCTATCCGTGAATGCCAATGACACAGACTTGCATATTGGTAAGCAAGGAAGTTCTTTTTGTGAGTGCTTTGCTGGATTTTTCATTCCATCCTTGACTGGGATAGACTAGTTCTTACCAAGTGCACAGGTTTTACTACCATTTATCTCAAGGTACCGTATTTTCCGGAGTATAAGCCACACTGTAATTATACACCAGCAATTCACCCCAAAAAAGGTGGTGCGGCTTATACTCCGGAAAAAATAAGGTACATGTGCAGTGTACTAGCATTATGTAGCTCATGTACCTTTTGTAAGGGGCCATCCGTAAATACATGTATTTACTTCAGGGGCGTAGGAAGCAGTTTAATATTGGTGCGGCGAAATTGTGAGAGGGGGTCCAGGGGTCCTCCCCACGGGATTTTTTTTGAAAATTGGGCCTAAAAGACCATATTTTAATGATACAGAATATTATGAGAAATAAGAATATGCATGCTGATGATACACCACATTGTCGATGTAAAACATGGTACCTGTTCAAGAGTCGACAAGCCATCAACAAGGTTGAAATGTAAAAATATATATATATGTCCGCAGATTGAGTATTTCGCTCCTGCTCTTGTAGCAGTTGAGCACTCTTGCGTGGGGTAGTGCCTTTGCTGTTTGCGTTATGCAGAGCTCACTGACTTGTCAGTTTGAGCACTCTGGCAAGGTACGTTCGGGCCTGATTGGAAATTTTTATTTCCATTGCTATCAGGTTCGGCCTCATTTCTCTGTGCTGCGCTGATGAGTTCAAAAAGAACGAAACAGCATGCTGTCCGCAGATTGAGTATATATATATATATATATAGAGAGAGAGAGAGAGAGAGAGGTAGGCGAACAAAATTTATATACACACAACAACAAGGTTGTCAGTTTCATAATACCAAAAGCTTTTCACCCATTTTCATCAGTGGTTACATGGGAATGAGCAAGAACGAAAACGAAGCCAGAATTTATACTGGGGGTAGAGAATCAGCAAGAATATTCTTACGCGCCTCAAGTTCACACTACACTACCATAAGAATGTATGGAGCAGTGGAAAAATGCGGGGCCACCAGCCCGAAACAGCGCGCACCGATTCACACTGGAGGCGCTGTACATTCGCAGTTTGAGGCCAGAACTGTGTCGACAAAAGAAGCACATCAAGGTGCTACGGCTGTTCAAGCTGCAACCGGACTGACAACTTTATCACGTGTTTGTTCTGGAACTGCATTCCCCTCATGTGTTGTTTCCCGCATTTTGCCACTGCTCCATACATTCTTATGGTAGTGTAGTGTGAACTTGAGGCGCGTAAGAATATTCTTGCTGATTCTCTACCCCCAGTATAAATTCTGGCTTCGTTTTCGTTCTTGCTCATTCCCATGTAACCACTGATGAAAATGGGTGAAAAGCTTTTGGTATTATGAAACTGACAACCTTGTTGTTGTGTGTATATATATATATATATATATAAAATTCGAAAATTATTGGTCCGGCGACTGCCGGACCTGCCGGACCGGTTCCTACGCCCATGTACTTAGAGACGTCTAACATGCGTTTCTTTCTTGACCCACCCACCCTAAGAGACGCCCCCCTCAAAATGCAGAAAATACCACTCATAATAAACACCATACTATGGACACATATACAGTACAGTCGACTCCACTTATAACGAACTCGCATATACATGTAGCAAATCGAACCCGGACGGGCCTTGTCTATGTCCCTGTTTGAACTTTGAACCCATACGAAATTGACCCTTTACAGCAAACAGTTATGTGTCCCTGTCTCCCTGTCTACTCTGCAATGACGCGTGCAGTGCAGTGTAGTGCAGTGCGTCTCAACGCCTACCTGTACTACTTCAAAGTACCTGTAACACTAACAGTGCTACATCATGTACATGTACACGCGCGGTATGGTAGCATGCACTCCGAAATGTATTTTTTAGAAACGCCTTGGAGGCGAACCCACCCACCAGAAATGCCTGTTAGACGTCTCTAAGTAAATGCATGTATTTACGGACGGCCCCTAAACATAATAATTATTCCTTATAATATACGTATACACACGTGAAGAAACATTAGACGGTATGGATCTGGATAAAGGCGCATTCCGTCGTGGCATTTGTCCAGTGGTTTAATCAGTACAATTGAAGTAAGAGTATGATTGTCCTGTACTTTTTTTCGTATCGCCTTTGGAATCCTTTGGCAGATGCCACTAGTATTTGTGTTTGAGTATTGAGTTTCAACTGTGGCTACTTTATCTTCACACCACACCATAAAATACGCACAACCGCTATCGGGCTGTGGGTCGCAACAAGTATTGTTATATTCCACATGAATAGTGAATAGTGAAGAGCTTTCAAATCTATTCCAAGTGATTTTCCATGTACATGTAGGTGGTCTTCGATCGGTTGGCTTCAGACACAGTCTTGAGTCGGATGATGATTGATTGTAATTTGAAGTACCTTACTGACCATCAAGGAAGGGCATGGGAATACGATATCATGAAACTCTACCATCATTGGTGTTCAGGGTCAAGGGTATAGTGTAGAAGTACAATGTATGTCTTCTGCCTTGTGCTGTTGTCTCCGCATAAAGCTGGTTGCCAACCCTGGACTGAATGGAGTGCATGTTCGGTTTCCTGTGGTGGAGGTACACGCCAAAGACAGATGCCTTGTACAGCCAGCAATTCCACGTACGACCAGGAAGCGTGTGCCACTGCTGAATGCTCAGGTAGGAACTATAACTATTATGTGTAGCGGGCACTGTGTATCCACGTGCATTTCTAGGGTACTATGAACACAGACTAGTAATAAACTGATAACACCAGGGATGGGGTGTGCTGTTCAACAAATGATTAGGAAGCAACAATTATCACAGATCATACTTCCTTTAGAATCAATTAGCACGGAAACTGACAATAACGAACAAGAAGAGAAACATTGAGGTTATATGACAGGTCTTCAAAACATAAGTACTAGTATTCTGTTTTGTTGTGGCAGTGCTTTGATAACATGAATGTCTGCACTCGGTACATGGATGTCTATAATTATATACGATGTGTGCGTCATAATTATGTAGAATTGATCCATATCTTCTTTTCCCTGTACATTTACATGTATGTCCTTTCCTGTTCTCAACAGGTGCTACCAGGTTTGCAATGACAATGGGGAGCAATGCTCTAGCATTGGTACTAGCTCTCCTGTACCTGTTCATACAGTAATACTAGTCCGGCACAACATGGGTCATGGCTCATGGTCTAAATGCTGGTGTTAGTTATAGACTTGGCTTGGCTGTGCATAGCTTGCTTGGCGGAAGAATGTTTGCTATAGTATAGAAAACACCTCAAATCCGAAACCGGCATTGTATCATCATTGTGTGCATAAACTGCATTTCTAGTGACCACCTTAGTCCGGATCGCGGAGTATGCAGTTTATCACCGCACCACCAATACAGCACCAATCCTTGGTCGTGATCAGCTACAGCTCACTGATGTTTGTTCTGAACGGAATCTGTTTGGTTTCGTCCATGATTGCATTGGCAGATTTTCAAGTCCATTTCTCTGCGGCAGAAGTGTTTGTGCTCCTCTCAGCTGCTGCACCCCCCCCCCCCCACCCCTCCTAGGCCCTACTTTGCTCATGTCTACTTTTCGAAAGGTTTAGTTCTCCCCAGTATCACCTCATGCCTTAGGATAATCTCATTCCATCTTCTTGCCCGCAATAGGTCGAACAGCCATCTGTTTACTTTTACTCCACTTCCTCACCGTACAAACTCTGTCATTATAATTATTACCACTTCTGGCACGGCTGGCTCAGGTATTACCCTGCATTAAAGAATGTAAAGACTTTAAAAAAATTGTGCGTGTGTATGTGTGGGGGAGAGAGAGAGAGAGAGCTACCAAAAACGTTTTCTTGTGACATTGGGCTGTTGGAAAACATTTAAAAAATCAATTATTCTCTCCATGCAGTTAACTGTTTATTGGTATGCAGTCAAGCTCAAGACGAACGACTTCGGGTACAACAGCACCTCCCGAAAACAATGACACAATCTTCCGGCAGACCCAGTGACCATCTGACTGCATGCTTTCATTGTTTCAACCTCACGATGGCAACTCTGTCTCTGAGTAATACAGTCATGCGCTATAATGACTATTTTCTCATGCACGCTTGGGGTTAGGATTCGTAAGTACATGTAATACCGGTACTAGATTGGCTGCTCAGAAAACAGTGACCACAAATCTTCTTGATTTCAAGTTTTTGTATGAGATGTGCCGCGGCGTGGAGGTAAACACCCACAGGAGACAACCGAATCCCATACTGCATAGACTTGCCTTCTACATGAACCTCATGATACATGTACTCTGATCATGTAGCTCGGCCACTACAACTACATGAGTCATTGACCTGGGAACACCGCCATTGCCACTGGCAAAGAATGCGCGGGGGCGCGTGCTGACTTTGCTGAGTCAGGAGCTCGTCTGCAATATCATTACAATGATTGTCATGTCATCACCCTGCTTCCGCTTGCCGCTTTTTTCCTGTATCAGGTTTGAGATTCAGAGACGGAGGATCAGGATAAAGGCCAGTTTAAACAGGCTTACTTTTTTGTTTTGGGTGCACAACTGACTACCGGTACCACCAGGTAAAAAGACTAGACAAGGTACAATGAGGGTCAGCATGATCTGACACTGTATACTAGTAGCGACATTAGCGGAGCGGACCAGACATCAGTGAATGATGATGGGAATAGTGTTACGCCACACGTGTGCCTGGTGATATACGATACGCGATAAGACACCACTTGGCCCTGTTCAGGCTCTTGGCTTGGAAACTACTGCGGCCAGTACTGAAATGACTAAAACTGACTTTAGTAAAAGGTAGAGTAGATCTACTTAGTGCAGTAGTGATTGTACAATCTAGTATAAGTAACAGTAAAGTATAACTATAAGAACGCAGCCAACCAACAAAATAGGAACGTCCCAGGCTAACCCCTTGGAAACAAAGTAAGTTCTTGGACGCAGGACTCTACAGTAGGAACTAACCTTCTCCTTGTCCTACGCCTACGGGTGCTGTGCCAGTGTGCGGACTATTTCTTGGTGGACATCATTCCCGGAAGCGGCAGTGCTTGATATCGGCCGCGGAGCTCCACGACACTCCAGAAAGAAGAACAGGGTAAGCGGTTCCGTTCGTTCACGGCTATAATCCTTTTCTAAGGATTCGCAGTAACACGTGTAATCATTTGCCCTGCGCTCTTCGAAAACTGAAGCACCTTAGCCTTAGGCTAGGTTGGTTTTCGCAGAGCACTGGCCATTAATTAAATTTTGTTTCCAGTTGCAGTTGCCCGTATATCGTTTGTACATGTATGTGCTGCATGCTGGGATAGCTGAAGGCTTCTCGCTCCACATAATTATACTGGCATACACAGAGAGTCTGAGACATAGACAGCAATAGCGACAACACACAAAGTGAAGGGTAGTTGGCCGCAGCCAGATGTGAACCGGATAACGAGTGAGATATGGAAGCAAGCAAGGACTGAGAACAGAGTGTCTCAGATAGAATAGTCGTGCCAGTGGATAGCAGAAATAGGCCATGATGCAGAACCACTTGGGACCGTCAGATTAATTTTCCTGGACCGAGCCAGCCGGGAAAAAACCCTCGCGCCGACGGACGCATTTGTGAGGGAAAAAACCGGGTGTATATCCCCAATGGCGATTAGGCATCATGTAGGCATGGCAAGCACATCACGGCAAACAGTGATAAAAGCATTGATAATATGCACAGAAATAAAGGGTGGGAGGGCAGGGACACTGGTGAGACTCAAAAATGACTGAAGAAGTCAGGAAAAGAAGCGACAACAAAGAACACACCAGATGCCATATTTGCAACTGAAAATATTTCGCAAGAAATCATTTCTCGCCTATCTCGCTGCGCTCGGCCGGCGAGAAATACAACATCCTTCGATTAGGTACTAGTACTTGACCCAAACAATAGGGCTTGAAAGTGCTACGTCACAGCATAGCAACAATTTCAAAAATTCAAAAATTGGATCCACTTGGATCCAGTTTTTGTATGGATCCAAGCAAATTTCAAGCCGTCTTACTCACAGTTCTGTCAACAGTTCGCCAAGAATAGTCAAGCTACACCGTCGTCGGATGCAGATCATCGTGATCTCGCCATGCCTTCTTCTTCGGAAACATTTGCCATCCGCCCTCTGTCTATCGTAGAAGTATTCAGGGCACTGTCGACCCTAAGTGTGCGAAAGTCTACAGCTGGCAGTCTTCCTAACAGGATCCTACGAGAGACAGCAGAAGTGCTCGCCCAATCCCTCACTGCTCTCTTTAACCGCTGCACCACTTACCGATCCCAACCCCTTGAGTGGAAAGTTGCAATCGTTACCCCAATTTACAAGGGTAAGGGAAGTCGCAATGACCCTGCTAACTACCGGCCGATATCTCTGCTGAATGGTGTGGCAAAATGCTACGAAGCGTTAATCAGCCGCCAGGTGTATGCGTTTGTAGCGAAACACAAACTGCTGTCGCCGAAACAGTTCGGGTTTCGCCACCACCGAAGCACGGTTGACCAACTTGTGTATATCACATCAACTGTCAGCTCTGCATTTGATAACCGGGCCCAGTGTGATGCCGTCTTTCTCGATTTCTCGAAGGCATTTGATCGTACCAGCCATCGCCTCCTAGCCTCATGTCTGTCCGGTTGGTGTGCACCTGACTCATTCGCGTGGCTGATGGACTTCCTGGAAGGCCGATCGATGTCTGTGCGGGTCGGAACCTCCTTATCAACCCATATGTCGCTCACCGCTGGTGTGCCACAAGGCTCCCACCTAGGCCCTCTATTATTCAACCTTTCTATCAACTCCCTTCCCAGCATTCCCCAATCCAGCGATCTGACTCTGTTTGCGGATGATTCCAACATGGTCTGCGTTTCTCCGCCTACTGTCGTACCCGCCGCGCACACTGCCTCCCTGCAACTAGACCTTGATAGATGTGTGAACTGGTCTCATAAAGCTGAAGCAGTTTTCAATGCTACCAAATGTGTCCATGTTCCCTTTCGCAGACCTAAATCAAACCCACCTGATCCCAGGACCGTCACCATGGCCGGTACGTTACTGACCCAGCCCTCTTCCCACCGCCATCTGGGCATCACCCTCACTCCTTCACTCAATCTGTCCCTCCATATTCACCACATTACCAGCAAATTTCGAGGTCGGGTTTTTCTTTTAAACCACATGTCCAACTTCCTTCCTTTTCCTGCTGTGAATCTTTTGTATAAATGTTATGTTCGTCCCCTCCTTGAATATGCTGTTCCCGTTTGGATGTTTTCCGTTTCAGCCACCATGTCCACAACCCTTGATAAACTGCAGGCTACTGCTGCTAGAGCATACTTAAATAGTAAACTCAAGCGTCGGCCTGACTGGACGACTTCCAAAGAAGACCTCAATGTTCTGTCCTCTTGGGAGTCTTTAGCATGGTGACGGCAGATTCTTGGCCTTGTCTATTTCCACCATGTATTCTCCCAATACCCCTCCTTGTTGTCTCACTTCCAGCTACCCTCTTCCCAAAGCAGTCGTCACCCTTCATCCATAATTCTTCCTAAAGCTGGCACCTTCTTTCGTAAATCAACCCTTTTTTCTTTGAGTGTTGCCTGGAATAAACTTCCTGAAGATATTCGTTCACTCTCTACAACAGCGAAATTTAGTATTGCTGTTCGTCGGTATCATTCGCAATCAATGTTTTCTTTGAAAGGTATTCCTGACTTTTGTGTCTAGGCTAACCACATCTATGATAGTTTCAATAGTTTGTGTATATGTCAGTTATAGTAGTCCGCAATGCTGCTTTTCTAATTCTCATTATGATTAGCATGCAATGTACTACCCGAAGTACTGAATTTACTTCTTCTGTAGTCTATATTCTAATGTATTTTCTACCTCTTTTCCCTTACGAACATACTTTCACATTTTCCATACTTAGGAGACTCCCTTCGATAGGCATCTATTTGCCTCTGGAGGATCCGTGAAATAAAAATCAATCAATCAAATCAAACAGCAAGGTGATGTAGCCAGTGAAACTGACTGATTTGGCTACTGGGGGCGGGGTTACAACTGGTGGCGAAGTAAAAGTCACCCCTGCATACGACATGAGTAGGTTGCTATGCACCCACATACTGAGGCAATAGCAAAGTCACACCTTAGTGGATTCAAAATAGAAATCTGATGTCAACTTACTACTCCCTGGCCGTTTTTGACGTCATCACTTTCAAGCCCTATGCGGGATGTGCATTTTTGAGGGACCGCCTCGATCTGCATGCTTTGCTCATGCATGTAGGTCTGCTAATCAAGTAATAGAGAGGTTGCCCACAGAGAATATTCGTAGCACTGTAACTAAACCTTTTCAACGAAAAAAGCTAAAGCGCAATGAACAATATCACTTCTGCAATGCGATGAGCGTCGAGCGAAAGTCTTTTTCGAATCGCACGAAGAGTCTTCGATGCACAAAGCACGGCACGTCGTTGCAGGGCATACACAGTCCAAAACTACACGCGAGATGTCACGTGCGCCCGCCGTGTAGAAAGCGATGCGCATCACTCGTCGCTTCTCAGAAGACAAGTGGCAGTTGAACTATGCGCGATGCCCAAGCGAAAGTCTTTTTCGAATCGCACGAAGAGTCTTCGATGCACAAAGCACGGCACATCGTTGCCGGGCATGCACAGTCCAAAACTGCACGTGAGCTGTCACGTGCGTCCGCCGTGTAGAAAGTGATGCGCATCGCTTGTCGCTCGTCGCAGAAGTTGAACTAGGCTCAACTTCCCGCGATGAGACCTGCGACAACCTGCGATTCAAAGTTTTGCAGAAAAAACTCTCGATCGCATCCCGCTCATCGCGTCGCAGAAGTGATATTGTGCATTGCGCTCTAGGCTCAACTTTCCGCGATGAGACCTGCGACGGAGCTGCGACAACCTGCGATTCAAAATTTTGCAGAGAAAACTCTCGATCGCATCGTCACTCATCGCGTCGCAGAAGTGATACTGTGCATCGCGCTTTACGAATATTTGTAAGCGTTGAGGTTGCGCACGTAAACCTTTTCGTAGTGGGTCGACGCAGCAGATATCTGGCTACGCTGGTGCAAAGAGTCAAGACAGGAAGTTGTAAATATGTATTTTAGTACATGTACTCCACCACACAAAGACAATATTTCCGTAGATCTGCTCTGTTTTGGTTGCATTTGGACTGATCTTCAGAGCAACTTCTGTTACTCGAACCCGGACGGTCGAAATCTTACGAATTTTCATTGAGCACAACCTCTCTATTAATTCGCGCAGTTTCTCGCTTTTTGGCAAGGCTTTTGGTGATCTTCTCAACGCTATAGCTACTAGTACAGTAGTAGTGGACCATTTGCTTACAAATCCTAGTACAGTACCTACTGTGTTCTTTTCTGATCTTGGCTAGAAACGAATCACCAGTTTATGCCGTGCTTCAGGTTCGTATTGAAAAGTCACATGATTTCTGGAGTTATGCGAAGTGTGCACTAGTATGAATTCTGCACAGCGGGAATTCATTTGCAGTGGGGTGTTGTCAAAAACTCAAAATGCATCCCCAAACCAAGGGTAATTTCGAGGCCCTGAGATGGAGTGTGCGTAATTCTTGTGGTAATGCCGAAGAGACATGATGAAAGCAGAACGGGATCTTGGATAAAAAGTAGAAGGACAAAAATTAATGGTATGAGTTATGACTACCGTAAAGTCGCGGATAAAAGCCGGGCTTATAAGCACATAAGCCGGTTTCTGCATCAGGCTTTAATGCAAACCAGGCTTGTATGCAAACCATGCTTATATGCACTACTGATGTTTTTTGCCAGGCTTGTATTCACGTTTACTATGCACTGTAACATAATGCATGCACTCTTGACCTACACGATCCGCGCTTGCACAGAATCCAGGCTTCTACGCGCGACAGGCTTATATGCATTTGACCCGTTTGATTTTCAGGCTTTTATCCGCGACTTTACGGTTACTGTCCACCAACGTAGCCAGATCTTATACAGTCAGCGAGTGTGACAAGAAGGCACAAAACTGACAAGGAGTACTCACCACTGAGACCTTCAACGACCTGACACCTAGCTCTAACACTTCTACGAAGCGCAAACCACAACCTTCCAACTTGTATGTGTGTGCGTGTGTGTGTGTGTCTGTATGTAGATGAGTGTGCTATTTCAGCTCGGTGTTATTGTGGCCATGCTGGGTGGATATCCTCTAGTCAGCGCATTCTCCCAGGGAGGTAATGCAGTCGGCTCTCACTGCAAAGACCTAGCACCTTCTCACACGGGTACAATGCGGCAAAGTGGTGAAGCACCGTATATCATCAGTCATGACATTCCTGCAGGCGGCTACACACCAGGATCGGACTACACTGGTATGTACTATGCACCCAATATTAATTAACTTTCTGTGCTCATCGTGTGTACTTGCTGTGCTCAAGTCGACTCTTCGCATTTGATTCTTAGCCTTGTCTTCTGTGGAGAGGCAAATAAACATGGTCCTTTAAAAAAACTTTGAAGTGACCAGTTTAGGATGGACCTGCAGATCATTGGTTCCAAAGCTTTGCTTGAAGCTTTGATAATAATCATAACATGCTTGCCCCGGTGATGTCAGTATGCGCAGGCAGCATATGCGCAGTCAGCATCACATACGGCGCATTCCCCTCCTCATTTATTGAAACATCAAAGGTGCATTGTTGATAAGAATCTTGAAATCGTTTACGGGTAAAGCAGTTTGACTCTAGTTTACTGTACTCTAGTTTACTGTACGAGGGTAGCTACACTAAACAATGCTTCCACGTATTTATGGTGTGTTTTGTATGTGTGTGTATGTGTGTGTGTGTGTGTGTGTGTGTGTGTGTGTGTGTGTGTGTGTGTGTATGTGTGTGTGTGTGTGTGTGTGTGTGTGTGTGTGTGTGTGTGTGTGTGTATTCGATATTTCTGAAGACTGTATTATTGTACCACAAGGAGCGTAACGATTCCACAAAAGGCGATCGTTCAAAGCAGGTACCAACAAAGAGCAAACTAAACTCAAAACCAAAACCAAAACAACAACTGCACCAGCAAGCTCTTTCCTTGCACTAACTACAAATACATCAAAACCAAGCAGCAAAATGCAAATCCGCACGCAAGTTTGCCGGAACTGAACCTCCGTAGCGCAGCTGATCATTGCGGCTGCACGGGACGACCTTCCCGCCACAGCAGGGCAAAGAACTATGCATGGAACTAGCAATGAATGCATGGAACTAGCAATGAATGCATGCAGCACACCAGCATGCTGTCCCTACGCAGACGTCTAGTCTAGCGTGAGCAAGGATGAATAGCATGAGAAACATGATATGACACATTGACTCCTATGATGCATGCAATGTATACAACATACCCCCCACCTTGAACGAACCAGGGGAGAGTGAAACTACACCAAAGGAAGATACTAGCATGCAGCACACCAGCAAGCTGTCCTTACGCAGACGTCTAGTGTAGCGTGTGCAAGGATGAATAGCATGAGAAACATGATATGACACACGACTCCTATGATCCATGTAATGTATACAACATACCCCCCACCTTGAACGAACCAGGGGAGAGTGAAACTACACCAAAGGAAGATACTAGTATTTAGCACACAGCACATAGAGGAATAAGTGCCTACTGCTCTAGAAAGCAGTGAGAAAATGAGGTGACGAAAGTGTACTGTGTCACTAACTAACGTCTGTTCCATTAGTGTCTTACTGCAACTCATCCAAGTCAAGGGCTGACGACTGAGATACCGCAGTGGCTGCTTCAGCTGTCAGGATATCGAGCGACACTAGGTATCGAACACCACGCCGATATTTCTTGCCGTTGACCTGGATGTCCATGACGCGAACAATGCCGTCCTTGCCAGGGAACGTGGCCTTCACGCGTCCTAGCGGCCATCTGTAGCGTGATAACGCATCGTCCATGACGAGGAAGACGTCTCCAATCTCGACCGTGCCCGATTGGCGGCGCCACTTAGTCATGATGTTCATAGCAGAGACCATTTCTCTTAGCCACCGCTTCCAAACATCTCTGCGGAGCTGCTGGATAACTTTCCAGCAATGGTATGGGTGAATTGGCGTCGACTCTGAGTCCGCCGCCGTCTCCAGAGCTGTTGCGACGTTGACATGACCCACGACGAAGTTTGCAGCTCCTCGTCGGTCAGGCTAGCCTTGTACAGGACTGACTGGAGTGCCCTTTTCAAGGCCCCGACCACCCTCTCAAATGCTCCGCCGAAGTGCGGCCGAGCTCTTCCCCGCGGTGGTACAGGAGGTAGCGGCCATGGAGGTTTCCGTGGCGGCGGCAGAGGTGGCGGTGATCGCGGTGGATTAAACTGCCATCTGATGCCTTGAATCACCAACCCAGCTGTGATGTTGGCTTGATCCAAATCCCTCAGCGCTTCCCGCAGTTCACGATCGGTAGCAACGAAGTTACTGCCGTTGTCGGATAGGATCAGTGTTGGTCGACCTCGGCAATGGCACAACCTTGCCAAAGCCATCTCCATGCCCTCGACAGCCAGAGAACGCACTACCTCCAGGGGGCACGCACGGGTCTGCAGACATGAGAACGCGGCTATATAGCGCTTCTCTTGAGATCGTCCGCGTCCCATCTTGACCAGGAAAGGCCCAGCGTAGTCTACTCCAGTGTGAGCGAACGGTCCGCTTGTCCGGATGTTAGGCACGTTCCCCATATTGGGCTCAGCGGCACGTCTCCACAGCTTCTGGCAACGGACACAGCTGTGACGGTAGGATTTAACGACCTGGCGACCCTTGATGATCCTATACTGATCGGCCAGGTTAGAGAGCAGATGGTTTGTGCCTGCTCCGTGTTGACAGCGTTCATCCTCATGCCCAACAATTAGCTGAGTGACGCGATGATTGGCGGGCAGTATCACAGGGGACCGGAACTGGTCAGACAGGTGGTGTGAAGTCCGGAGCCGTCCACCAACTCGGAGCAGCGGTGGACCGTCAGTGTCCAGGAACGGCTGTAGCTTCGTTAGTGGTGCACTGGGTGGAAGAGGCTTCTTGTCCTTCAGCGTTGACACTACCTCTCCGTAGCACTGCCTCTGCGCATAGCTTATCCAGAGCCGCTCGGCGCCTTGGAGTTCTGTGACCGTCAATTCGGGAACCGAAACAGCCTTAGCACTCTTGAGAGATACTTGCACGGTAGCACCTGCGTTGCTGTCACACTGCTGAGGTCGGCCTCTGGTGTTCTGAAGGAACCGTTTACACCAGGCTGTGACCCGCAGAAGATAGCTCCAGGACGAGACGTTGTCTGGGTGCAGGCGGCACGTCGTCTGCTCTGCCTGGATCTGGCTAGTGAGAGTCATCGGGCGCGACTGCTGAAGCAGTGCCGGAAGAACCTGGGGCACTATGATGTCTTTGTTCGGCCATCGCTCCGGACGCTCTTGCAAGAACTCTGGGCCACTCCACCATTTGCCGTCATCCTGCAAGTGCGAGGCCGCAACTCCACGACTTGGTAGATCAGCCGGGTTCAATCGGCCGCTGACGTGCTCTTGCCTTCTGCTGCCGCTGCTGCTGCGCTCTTGCCTTCTGCTGCCGCTGCTGCTGCTGCGCTGTTGCCTTCTGCTGCCGCTGCTGCTGCGCTCTTGCCTTCTGCTGCCGCTGCTGCTGCGCTCTTGCCTTCTGCTGCCGCTGCTGCTGCGCTCTTGCCTTCTGCTGCCGCTGCTGCTGCGCTCTTGCCTTCTGCTGCCGCTGCTGCTGCGCTCTTGCCTTCTGCTGCCGCTGCTGCTGCGCTCTTGCCTTCTGCTGCCGCTGGACCTACTAAACCTGGCTAGTCTGGGTTCCATGCGAGTTCGAGGCGCAGGTGAAGGTGCAAGAGGCGCATATGACACACGTTGAAGTTGAACTCCTGCCGTTCCAGGCGCTCCTACTCCATCAAGTGCAGGCTGATCAAAACTACAACTAGTTTGTTCTGCTGCCGAGATCGACATTCGGCTGTCCAATCTTCTGACAACACCTCCTGGACTACCACAAGTAGCACTCGTCTTCCGCGATCGCGGTGCAGGCGTTGGTCGTCTCGGCACTGCCACTGGTACTGGCACGGGACTCGGCTCTGCCGTAGATGTACGTCCATGACGCTCACTCAATCCACGCGCGATCCAGGCTGCATGCAGCGCTTCCATAGAAGCGGTCTCCTCTGCGATCAGGAGTTTTAGTTCCTCCGCTCGCCTATTCAATTTCGCTAAACTCAATTCGAGCTCCTCTTTATCTGACTCCTCAAACCCATATCGAGCCGAGTGCCAGCCTTTAGTCTTTCTTCCACTACGCCTCGGTCCGATCGCCCGCGACTCACTCATCCTTGTGAGGTTATAAAATGAACCGCGACTAGATCCGGCTCGAAGGACCACTATGTATTCGATATTTCTGAAGACTGTATTATTGTACCACAAGGAGCGTAACGATTCCACAAAAGGCGATCGTTCAAAGCAGGTACCAACAAAGAGCAAACTAAACTCAAAACCAAAACCAAAACAACAACTGCACCAGCAAGCTCTTTCCTTGCACTAACTACAAATACATCAAAACCAAGCAGCAAAATGCAAATCCGCACGCAAGTTTGCCGGAACTGAACCTCCGTAGCGCAGCTGATCATTGCGGCTGCACGGGACGACCTTCCCGCCACAGCAGGGCAAAGAACTATGCATGGAACTAGCAATGAATGCATGCAGCACACCAGCATGCTGTCCCTACGCAGACGTCTAGTCTAGCGTGAGCAAGGATGAATAGCATGAGAAACATGATATGACACATTGACTCCTATGATGCATGCAATGTATACAACAGTGTGTGTGTGTGCGCGCGCACGCGCGCGCGTTTCCCTTTTTTGTGATTACTTGTGTACGTGTTTCTTTGTGAAAACGTGTGTTACTCCAGTGACTGTAATGGTCACAAATAGCAGCATTCCAATTCACGGATACATTGTCCAGTTTCGAACTGACAATAATTTGACAATCGGTGGTGTATTCACCAGCTGGAATTCCTCACTTTCTGCCCAATTGGATTGTGACAGTCTTCAGGTGAGAAGAAGAGAGAGACCTGTTAAAAGAATAAAATGTATGACCAGTTCTGTGTGGATTCAAATCCAAAGGATCAGTCGGGGAAATGACCTGCCTAAAAAGAGAAAAAAGTCCTCCTATTGAATGTTCTCAAAATGTATCACTTTTTCACCTCTGGTAGTAAGTTCCAGAAACTGACCGTGGGTGGTCCCCTGGGAAAGTGAAAAAGAACCAAGTGTCATCAATATGTGTGGCACGTATTGTGAGCTGTATTCGGAGTGAAAAACTTGTTAGCGCCTTCTAGGTTCGGACTTTCCCCATAGCTCAGATGGCTAGAGCATTGCTCATGACAAGCAAGGTCCCGGGTTCAAGTCCTGGTGGGGTTCGCCTTTTTTTCTCTCTTTTCAGACAGTTCACTTCCCCGACTGATCCTTTGAATTTTTGACACGTACAGTCAGACCCCACTTATCCGGTCCTCGTTTATCCGGATCCCTCGCCATCCGTAAGAAAATCGCTAGTTACCGATGTGCAGCATTATGTTATGCATACAACATAACCGGACCTCCCGATCTGCATGCCGGTGCATGATTTTGTGTACAAACTGGTTAAAATGTGTACAAAAAGCTTCGTCGTATCCGGTTGCACGTGGCTTACAGAAGCAAGAATCAGGGAGCTGTACAAGCAAATGAGGTCCTTGACCTGCTGGATGCATGCGGATAGCACTCAGTTGCATGCACTTGTCATTTGTCTCGCTTGTTTTACATACTGTGCACGCTAGTTGTACTGCATAGGACCCGTCTACATGTATGTATGATGCCACTGCTTTTGACATGCCACATGCATATCCAGTATGTGTGTTCAGTTATCCGGTTCCCTCGCCTATCTGGATATTTTTATGGGAAACAGATGTGTGCGGTTAAGCGAGGTCTGACTGTACTACATTTTGAAGTCGAGTCTGGCAAGACTGTGCTCAGTATCAATCCTTGTATGTAAACCAGAGAGGCTGTGAACTCTATCCGCCACATATTCCGACTCTGGTCCATGTAGTTTTCCTGTTTCCGGGGTACGAGAAATGCTGAAGTTCTGTGTGTGTGTGTTTGTGTGTGTGTGTGTGTGTGTGTGTGTGTGTGCGCGCGTGTGTGTGTGTGTGTGTGTGTGAGTGTGTCGGGTTCGTTCGCACATGCGGCTGATTTTGCAGCCCTTTCTATCTGCAGGTGAACACTCTGTTGTAGATTTCTTGGAAGACTACTTCCTCTGCGTCATTAAAATTGTCGCTTCCCAGAGCGATTTTTCAAATATATTTTGTCCACTCGAAGCGCAAAGTAATCAGCTAGAAATTGAGGCAAAGCATTGTCGACGGACCAAGCTTTAGTTTGTGGCATCCCGCTTCACTGCACTTGCAGCTAAGGTCGACGTCTTCATCAGAGTTAGAGGCAGACGCTTCAGAACTCAACAATACGCTGAACAAGATGCGCGTTCAAATTCAGGTCAAGAAACTTAGTTTTCAAGCGATCCATGCCTCCAGGTGGCAGGCGATGACGGCAAACTATCATTTTTCAAGTGCACTGTAACGACCTTCCAGCGGGATAGGGTAAGCAGTTCCGCACCTTCTTTCCTTGGCAAGCTCTTCGCTGATTTTGTTGGTGTTTTCAGACCTGCTACCTTCGCAGCAACTTGCACCACACGTAGCGCATTTTAGGAATTTGAGAACACTTTGTTTCTGCCATCGTCAACTTCAGCATTTCGAATTCAGGAGAGATACCAGGATTCTTATACCCGAGCTTGCAGTCTTGATAAATGCTTACAAGAACGATATGAGACGGCACGAACTTCAGAAAAACGATATGCGCTCTAGGGCGGAATAGTGCGGAGCGCGATGGATTTGTTTGGTGCGGAAGAGAGCTCCGACAAAGTCCGAGACCACCACGGCTTCAGTAACAAGTGGACATTGCGCAGGAAGGGTCGCACCAATGTTCGAACGCAGAAAACAGCGATTCCAACAGTCTGACTAAGACGAGCAAGTCACAAACATTGCGATGTGCGAAGTGACAATTTTAATGACGTGGAGGAAGTATTTCACTCAGTATCCTGAGGACTACACCTTTTGAAATTGTATTGAAATTGTATTCAAGCTGTGCATTCCGACTCCGGAGCAGTGCACACAATAGTATTGATTGTAACTACATGCACATGACCACCGGATAACTCAGCACCAAGACAACTATACTCAAACTTGAAAGGCAGCACTTCGAATTCCCTCTTGAAATGAATGCAGTTTAGGCATCATATCAATCTTCTGTATCATGAGGTTCTCCATTTTGCCTACATGTATTTGTCAGGACTCCATAACACACTACAACCCACGGAGATTGGATTTGCCAGAAAGTATTTCATTTGTGTGGCAAGCACCTATGCCTGGCACTGGACCAGTCCGCATTTGGTGAGTGCTTGTTCAAGCGTGCACCTATGGGATGGAGGGGAATCCCCATTTTATTTATGCTTAAAGTCCTTTGCGGCTAATTACCGGAGGCCTATTCTCGATAAAGTACCTGGCGGGACAGTGGCCAGACTTTGCCATCTTCATGTCAATTGTACTGCATCGGACGTTTATAGGCAATCTTGATAATGCTGGCAGGAAGTGAGGATCTGGAGTTTTTGTTCCTGGGCCACAATTCAGCAAGCTGGCGGCAACTACGCTGCATGTCTCCATGTCTACTGTAGACTTCAAGTCGACCTTTTCGACAGTGAAAAGGGTGTCTTGCGATTTCGCGCAATGGATGCCTCTCTCTCTCTCTCTCTCTCTCTCTCTCTCTCTCTCTCTCTCTCTCTCTCTCTCCCTTCTCTCTCTGCATGACTTGAGCACGGGTTTATGATTATGCTAAGCTATGGTACGACTACCATGAGGGAATAACAGACTGGCACAGGATTCAAGATAAACATTGATTTCAACCGTATCACATTCTCACGGCTGTCTTACTGACTCTGAACCTCAGGCATGGGGTTGCGGCAGCTCAGTTTTGGTGAGGTTCAAACTTCGAACTATGTAAAAAATTGCATAACTTGTAGTTGAGGCTCGTGAAGGTCTATCGCCATTTGAAAAAGCAAGGTTGCCCGGTGAGTTGTTCATGCAAGGTCCCTTCCCTCGTTTGGATGTGGGAATTCGGAAATTTCTGGGCCGATATAACTGACCAGTAAGTTGGAAAGCTTTAACTTAAGGAATGCAATTGAAGAGCTGCAGTGCAAAACCGCTAAGGGGCCATCCGTAAATATAGATAATTATTAAGAAACGAAAACTAGTCGTTTAGGGGGAGGGGGTTGAGCACCTGTTCGTTTCTCGAAAAAATATCGATGCACATTTTGCATGTGTGAGCATGTCCAGAAAAAAGACCAAAAATATCGATACTATGTACCATTTGTATGTGTTCGTTTCTCAGGGGGGGGGGGGGGGGGGGGGGAGGGTTGAAGAGAAACGACTAGTTTTCGTTTCTAAATAAATATCGGTATTTACGGAAGGCCCCTAAGCACCAAAAACGATCATGATACTGGTTCGAGCTGAAAGCACTCATTGAGCTGATTCTGATTTGTGGTCAACTGGAAATGAAATATGGATTTAGCCCCATCCCTCACACAAACAAGTCAACAAAGAGGCATCTTTGGATTGAGGAGTGCTGGTTTCGAAACAACTGGTTTGAAGCTCAAAGTAGAGCTGGTGTTAGCTCAGAGCAGAGCTGCTGTTAGCTCAGAGCAGAGCTGCTGTTAGCTCAAAGTAGAGCTGCTGTTAGCTCAAAGTAGAGCTGCGGTTAGCTCAAAGTAGAGCTGCGGTTAGCTCAAAGTAGAGCTGCTGTTAGCTCAAAGTAGAGCTGCGATTAGCTCAAAGTAGAGCTGCTGTTAGCTCAAAGTAGAGCTGCTGTTAGCTCAAAGTAGAGCTGCTGTTAGCTCAAGGTAGAGCTGCTGTTAGCTCAAAGTAGAGCTGCTGTTAGCTCAAAGTAGAGCTGCGGTTAGCTCAAAGTAGAGCTGCTGTTAGCTTAAAGTAGAGCTGCTGTTAGCTCAAAGTAGAGCTGCGGTTAGCTCAAAGTAGAGCTGCTGTTAGCTCAAAGTAGAGCTGCTGTTAGCTCAAAGTAGAGCTGCTGTTAGCTCAACGTAGAGCTGCAATGCTAAATGGATGTAATATAGCGCAAGGCAGAGCCGCAGCAAATAGCTAGATAACACCAGTTGTGAGAGTGGACCCGGTTAGTGGGTACGATAATATTATGATGGTGTGAATAAGTTGGATAGGGAGGGATGGTGGGAAAAGAAACACTGCTGAAGCACGATCCGTTGTCTGGAAGAGCACAACAGGGCAAGCAAGATTTGTTTTTCTTTTCCGCAAAAAATGGGCTGGTGCCATTTGTGATTACGCAGCAAAACAAAGCGCATGACGTCAGTCTTGAATGCAGTACACAGCAATGCAGTGCAGTGTGTGCGCTAGTTCGGATTGTTGCTAACAAGTACTAGCACAGCTAGTACACCATTAGCCCCATCCCTCACACAAACAAGTCAACAAAGAGGCATCTTTGGATTGAGGAGTGCTGGTTTCGAAACAACTGGTTTGAAGCTCAAAGTAGAGCTGGTGTTAGCTCAGAGCAGAGCTGCTGTTAGCTCAGAGCAGAGCTGCTGTTAGCTCAAAGTAGAGCTGCTGTTAGCTCAAAGTAGAGCTGCGGTTAGCTCAAAGTAGAGCTGCGGTTAGCTCAAAGTAGAGCTGCTGTTAGCTCAAAGTAGAGCTGCGATTAGCTCAAAGTAGAGCTGCTGTTAGCTCAAAGTAGAGCTGCTGTTAGCTCAAAGTAGAGCTGCTGTTAGCTCAAGGTAGAGCTGCTGTTAGCTCAAAGTAGAGCTGCTGTTAGCTCAAAGTAGAGCTGCGGTTAGCTCAAAGTAGAGCTGCTGTTAGCTCAAAGTAGAGCTGCTGTTAGCTCAAAGTAGAGCTGCGGTTAGCTCAAAGTAGAGCTGCTGTTAGCTCAAAGTAGAGCTGCTGTTAGCTCAAAGTAGAGCTGCTGTTAGCTCAACGTAGAGCTGCAATGCTAAATGGATGTAATATAGCGCAAGGCAGAGCCGCAGCAAATAGCTAGATAACACCAGTTGTGAGAGTGGACCCATGAAACCAGCACTCCGTTAGCTAAGCACTATTGACGCACAGCAAGGGTCAATTAATGTCAGCACAGGCAAGCATTGCGCAGCTAGAGTTCAGTAGCTCATTACTCACCCGAGTTGGGGATCATGGCATCCATGGCACGGCAGCAAGCCGGGACGATAGCTGGCGCTATGCGCTTGTTGTAGTCTGGATGTAGCATAGACACGCATCGCTCTTTCCACTGACCTGCCACTCGGAAGAAGGAGTCGGGGGCACTAGCCATAGCAGCGGTGGTGGCTGCACCAATGTGGACCGAATGCCCAGAGTAGTTCGACTGGGATGGTACACCGGCCGCAGCGACAAGAGACCATACTGTTACTGTGAATGCTGCTGTCTGTTCGAGAGTGCGAACAAGAGTTGCTCCGGTCCCTCGCGACGAGTGACAAATGGGTAGCTAACAATGGCACGGACCGGGCAGTACGGCGGTACAGACGGGCCAATGTCACTAGTAACGCCTTTACCGAATGGGTCCGTCTTGGATGAAAGCAGGAAGAGTTGCAGGCGTCCGTCACCAGGGGAGCTAGTACAGCCCCGTGTGATGCCATTAGTGAATTCAGCGCACCGAAGAAATCCAAAGAAGCAGCATGGCGGCTTGGTAGAGCAGCTTGTCATGGCCATTCAGGATACTACTTTTCCGGCGTGCATCCGTCAGGTGTCGTAGGATTGGCATAGTTATAGGAAGGCGAGGGGTGAGTGCAGCCGTACCATGGCATCGCTGGATGCCCTTCAACACCCTCTTCAGAAGCCACGCATCTACTAAGGGGCCGGCAAACCCATTCTCAAGGTGGGCTTTATGCACCGCACTCGCATACACAGATACAGTTCAGGGCACGCTGATCATAGTTCACGCATGAATGTGTGTCCAGGAACGATGACTCGGGCAGCAAAAGTGAGCTTCCCCAGGAGGGACTCGAGTTGACGCTGGCCGATGCTGCGCTCGCTGATAGTAGCCATGAGTGGCGCACGGATCTCGGACAGCTTGTCCTCTGGTAGCCGAGCTTCGTGGCGCTCGCAGTCTAGGACAATACCAAGGAAGGTCAATGATGGTGATGGCCCTTCGAGCTGGGATGGAGCAAAGAGGAGTGCCGAGATACGTGAACGCCCGGAGGGGGATGGTGAGTTGCTGGTTGGCTGCAGCCAAACCAGTGGAGATATCGAGAAAGTCATCGAGGTAGTGAAGCCGTTGATCTGTAGCAAACTCGTGCTGCATGATCCAGTTGACTGCTGTGGCTACTGAGTCAAAGACGGCTGGGCTGGAGCGGAGGCCGAAAGGCAGAAAGCGCTCGTAGTAGTAGGAGCCTTCCCAGAGAAGTCCTGACGGCGGACTGGGATCTGCCGAAATGCACTGCGTACATCGAGCTTGGACAAATACACAGGCTGTGGGCATGACATGATGATGTTGATCGCGTTGTCAATGCTCGCGTAGTGCAGAGAGAGCGGCTCGGCAGGAATGCTGTCGTTCGCGCCGGTGCCTTCCGGACTAGACAGATGGTGGATCATTCGCGGCTTGCCGTTCTTTTTGGGGATGGCACCAATACCAGAGCGGCGCATGAACTGAAACGGAGGTGACGGAAATGGGCCTGTGGTCTCGCTGCGGGCGCAGGAAGCAGCTAATTGCTCGGATATAAATGCCGAGTGAGTGAAAGCCAATGGTAGATTATTAGAGAAAACCGAAATGTCGTGTTGGCCGGCAGATCCAAGAGTAAAGCCACGGCGCAGGCCATGGAGAACATACGCAACACATGATTGATCTGAGTGGTTACGTAACAGGCGGGCAAAGTGGTCAGCTAGCAGTGTGGTGTCTGCAGAGTGTATAGGAAAGAAGCTACGTACCGAGTCAAGCGATTCAGTAGCCATTCTGCTAGGAGCGGCGGGGTGGCGGATTGGCTCCGCGCTGCTGCTGGTTGCACATGATGCATGGGTGGTCCTTGCCACACTGGCTGCAGGTGTGGGAGAAGCGGCACGACGACGAAGAACAGCGACCTCCATTGAAGTTGCGGCAGATTTCTTGGCCGTCGCTGGTATGGTTGTGACCACTGGAGGTAAATGCTGCTGGCTTCGGGACGAAAAGGACACAAACCGCCCCTGGATGGACCGTCTTACATTGAGCGCATTTTGGGTGTGCATGGCCTGTGACAGCTATCTGCCATAGGTTCACGTCGATGGTGTCCAACCTCTTCGTGCCTGGTTACTGGGCCACGAGCATCCGCAGCTGGCGGTCGTACTCTAGCCATGCGCTTGGGAAGAACTGGCAGTTAGCAGTCAGGATCAACTGCTGGTACGCAATCAGTTCAGCAGTGCGGTGTAGGGCAGCAGCCGTGATAACAGACATGTATGTGGTCCATGCCTCGAGCCGGGTAGCTACATGTGGAATTATCGTGAACCTTGCGACGCACCTGCTTCGCGTCATCCGACTCAACGATATTTAGTTGGCTATCGTTATTCGGGCTGTGCACCAGCCGGAATGTTGGGCCGGAAGTGTGCAAGAATTTCAGGCAACAAACTAGTTACTTGAAAAATCTACGAACTCCCCTCGCAAGATACGTTCTTGCACAGCCTTGGGCACAGCTGGTGCAGGTGGCTGATCGGGTGGGTTACAGGAGCTTGGCCTGGCGTAGTGGCGGCAGCTGCCGCATTGCCTTGGCCTTGGGTGAGGAGCGGCACAATGCTCTCCGATAATAATAAAATGGCGGCCGACAAAGCCGACTACACCTCGTCCCGTACGGGAGCGCAGAGATCCGTTGAGCCCGCGTCACCTGAGCTGGCGGAGGAGGCATTGGTGCACGTCGGGCTTCTGGGCTCGCGAGCCGTGTCCGCACTGTCATGTTGCTGGTTCTCCTGGCCGGAGCAGACCTCACTACCAAGGGCTAGTTGTGCCAGCAAACGGTCCTGTAAAATACTTTTACTAAGTTTCCTTTCGGATTCAAGCCGCGCTGAGAAGGCTCGCCGCGGAGGGCTTGGCAAGGCATTGCCTTGACAGTGTCGACAGTAAGGTCAGACATACTGAAGAAATACAGTGTCGAGGTGACACTCGGGCTGGCAGCAAAGCTACGAAAGGAAAAGAAACACTGCTGAAGCACGATCCGTTGTCTGGAAGAGCACAACAGGGCAAGCAAGATTTGTTTTTCTTTTCCGCAAAAAATGGGCTGGTGCCATTTGTGATTACGCAGCAAAACAAAGCGCATGACGTCAGTCTTGAATGCAGTACACAGCAATGCAGTGCAGTGTGTGCGCTAGTTCGGATTGTTGCTAACAAGTACTAGCACAGCTAGTACACCATTAGCGGGTTTTGGATTCCAGCTCTTCAATAATTGACATACCACGTATTACCCCTCATTCAGCGATGTTACGTATGATTTACCTTGCCAGCCTTGTCATGTCTTGTTGCCTTGGATAGGTCAAGCATGGTTTCTAGCTTTGTCACCTATTGGGTCAATGGCTTTGTCAGTGACGAGATTGCTGAAGGCACTGCAGTGAGTACTGGGGTAACTCATTGTGTATACCACTCGGTCCAGGGTTTGATTGATTTGATTTACGGCATGCCATATTTCAACGGTCTGTTTCTGTGCTATGGTGTTTTTGGATTTGCCCTCAGCTTGCGTGTATGCCTATGACAGTTGTAAACACTCTGTATGCGTGTGTACACTGTCCCGTGCTCTTGTCTCCCTTTTTGTAGGTAGCAAGAACCACTGTACAGCCACCCACTCCGGTTACGGTAAGCAAGACTATTCAATATCACTCTGCTGACACTTCACTGGGCGTGTGCAATCTTTCATTTCCCCATTCCAGACTCTGGCAAGGTAGTATAGAGAGATTTGACACCAAGCACCTCCCTCTTCTACAATGCAATGTGGTAGTCCTATGGTTGAATTGTGCGACTCTGTTTTTTTCTCCGCTAGAAAGAAATTTGTACCAGGATGTTGTTGACGTTCATGATGCCGCAGTTGAACGGGATGCAGTATGCTGAGTTTCTTGGAAGAACGGTCACATGATTCCAGGCAAGTGTGTTTCTGATGTCGTGCCTGTTCGATTCCTATCTACAGATTTCCTTGACTGGCTGTGGTTCGACTAAAGGCTGTTATCGCTACCCATCAGCCTGTGCTACTCAGACAGAATGCCAGTACATCTACACACAGCGTGTTAACAATGATTATATCGAGGTTGAACTGTCAACTAATGTTGCTGGATGGGTTGCCATTGGGTACAGTGTGGATCGTATAATGGTGAGTTTGGCCCTTTGGATTTGTACTCGAGTACTGCTTTTTCAAGTGCAGGTAAAAGAGGATCATGTCCTCCGGGTACGAGATGTTTGCATGCACCAATAGACCGATCCCCTTATTATTGTCTGGGTTCGAGCAAGGGGGCAACTCCGCAGTCGCGTGGGATCCTGCTACACACACGCGACCAACCTCACCTCGGCTGTGCGTGACTTCTCGCATGCGAAGTGCAGAGCACGCGAAATCTACACGCAGTGCAAGCCTGTCTACAAAAAATGTCACAAGGACTTTTGATTTGAGCTGTTTTGTTTTTGTTTAGACGTCTTCCTTTTTACGACTTCAGGATGCCTTCTCAGGATCATTGCTGCGTTCCTCACTGTCAGAACAGGAGGACGAAGCAAACAAGTCATTTCACTCCTTTCCTCGTGTGGAGCCACAGCGGCCTGGAGCAAGCGGATCCAGGCTATTCCCCGTGAGGAAGGACGTAGTTTTAGGGTCACTCTGAATATTTGAGTTGCAGCGATCATTTCGATCCCGAAGTCGAAATCGTTTTGCCCAGCTCTACAAGGGCAGGATGAGTCCAGGAAACCAAACAGCTGTCCTACGGTACCAGGTTTGCTTTTCGCAAGAGAGTGGAGTCTGGACTCTCTGCTCCCCATGCTCGCAAAACAGTATTTTGCTGAGCCTAGTGCAGCTCGGTCATGGAAGTGCAGCGTCTGCATCACGAGCTCCCCATGCCCGCAAACCAGTATTTTGCTGAGAGGCAACGACATTTTGAGTTGGAAAGGAACCTGGCTTAGTGCAGTTTGGTCCTGTAATGGAAGTGCAGCATCTGCATCAGGAGTTGGCAGCAAGTAGAGCTCGTGTACAGAGTCTCGTGGAGCAGTTGGACGATGGGGTGAAGAAAGCCGAAAAACAGCTTACGTACAACAACATAAAGAAAGACTCTGAGCCGCTCCAGTTTCTGACTGGTTTGCCTTCAGGTGTTTGGACCGCTCTGTGGGACTTCTTTGAGCCTAGCCGAGAAAATGTACTGCGCCGAGCCAGATCTGCGAAGACGGAAGCTGAGGGACGGCGGATACAGTTGGAGGTGGCCGTAAATCGCCAATGAGCATATAATGGAGGATCAGCTGCTATTGGCATTGATGTGTCTAAGCCTGGGCCAAATGGAACAGAAGCTGTCATGCGTGGCACAAGTTAATCATCCGTTTCACGGTACATACTATATAGCTAGCTGAGCTGGAAATGTGTTGTTCCTCCGTTTGGGCATGATCCCCATTTGGGCGAGCTGGCGAGATGTTCAGTCATCAATGCCATGTACCGCAAGACATTCTGCATTGTGGATGAAACAGTTCTATTTTGCCATGCACTTAGGGTTCTCGCACCGGCACAACAAAACCCAACAGATCCTTGCGCTCTTATTTTCTCCCATGGTAACATTGCTGATCACAACACCCGGTAGCCAGTCGCAGATGCAACCAAATCAACCAGGTTCTCTTACTCTTTTTTTCCAATACTGAAACCAAAGGTATACCAATATTTGCATCGAATGCAGTGATGATTTCAATACTGTCCACTAGTACAACGCATTACCAGACTGGCATATAATCATGATAATATTATCCATTTCGCAATCACTGTCATTGCTTTCTTAGATCTTCAATCATGAATATCGGACCATAAACCGTCTAACATCTTATATTATATCATCATTAGTATCCTGCTACTATCCTCCTCTAACGATGAGCTCGAAGAAAAGAAACAGCGGTCTAGAGGCGTAAACAATATCTGTCAACGGAAGTGTCCTTGCTGTGCTGTGTGTTTATGCTTCGTGCATTAGTTTGGCCAAGAGCGCATGGTGGTGGCGGGTTGAGGATGTTAAATATACTAGAAAATAGTTCACTCTGAACATGCAGGGGGGTATATTCATAGGTTCGAAAGAACCGCACACACACTTTGCTGCAGACAGCGGCAAGCTTTGGTCCTCGTGCTTCGAAGAGGGAGCAATCCACTGCGCTACGCTTGCGATTAACAGCAAGCTTCGACTTTTCAAAGGTACGACTCATCATTGGCTCTGGGGTAATGTTCCTGGAACAAATGCCCCATTGCCAACTGAGGGCCAGGGAGCGCGCAATCTGCCTTCCTGGGCGAGAAGTGTTCCAGCACAAGAAGCAGCACGAATACATGCTGACAAAGACCACCATCACCACCAGCCGGCACACAGCACACTGTTCTTCAAACACCATCCACTCCGTCCATGTGTTTGCACTGTCCTCCTCTAGCTCTTCACGCTCAACAAATACCACGCACTGCTCATCGGGTTTTTTATGCTTCCTCTGGGTTGGCTAGCCCTTCGACTTGACAAAACAGCGATCACCACTGCACTGCTATCGTCACCTGATAGCAGTCGCTTCCACCAGTGGCTTTTCCTGTCTTTGCAAGGTGTCCAAGGATGGCTGCTGTTGTCACTACAGGCAAATCAGAAGTACTTTAGTGGCTGATGTCCAACCAGATCGTTGGAAAATCGATTTTTCCACTTCACGGCTGCTGATCGCGACTTGCTGATTTGGCAGCACCACGGTTACCTTCATAGAAGATGGCTCTGGAGAGGAAAAGACAGACCAGAAAAAGGTTACTATTATCTTCAGCACCGATCGCAAGGAGAAAGAAATATGGTCTGCTGTAGCCTAGGCACAAAATAAATCTCACAACACGATTCGCGATTCGAATATTTCAACAACAAAAAAACTCACCTCTGGAGTAACGCCTGTTTGTGGCCCGAGATCGTTCCCTCCCGCGCCTTGAAAAAATCCTGCAGCGGCATCACAGTCCATGTCTCTCTCGGAGACTCTGCTCCTACCAGCAGGAGGTTTAGCACCGCTCGAAGCCATCGCAAACTACTTGAACTAAGCAGAAGACATTGCAAAACAAACCTGAAACACACTGTCAAAGATGCTGTCACGTTCAAAAACTAGCTCGATCGCGAGTGAGGTTGCCCCCGTGCTCGAACCCAGTATAATAAGGGGATCGGTCTATTGGCGTCTATCAGCATACAATCATGTTGGCTTGTGATAAGTACATGTAGGTAGGTAATGTTTGCAAACTCTGATTTGTTTCCAGGTCAGACCTGAATAATTTGTCCCACTGTATCAATCTAATTGAATAATCCAGGGCGGAGTGGACAATGGAACTGTCTATAATCCAGACGACGTACTGGCTTGCCAGTACAATGGAGACCGAGTTGTTGTGAAGAATGGCTACATCATTGTGTTCAATAGCCTACGCTGGCACGGCCTGGACAATGTGACTGATGTGGTATGTAGTAAGAATCAATGTGTGTGTCTGGGGAGGGGGGGGGGGAGGGGGGGGGGGGATGTGTGCGAACAGTTCTCAACCACACTGTAAACAGCTGCAGTAGAAACTCTTTTATCTTGACCTCCAATACTGCCAGGACACCTCCCTCAACTCGGTAGGTGCTAGCAGTCAAAATCTTGAAAATCTTGCTCTTTCCTTGGTGGTCATATTACTGTGTTGCCACACCTGCCGACATGTCGGTAGACTGCCGATTTTGGAGGCTTGTCAGGACCTGGCGACAATTGACCTTCTCCTGCCGACAATAGCCCTGAAAAGTCCAATTTTGACCTTCTTGGTCTAGAAAACATGGTTCAGATTTTTTTGTTTTTTCTGATCATCACGAGTATTTTCCATAGACAGCTCTCTCCTCAGGTGCTAAGCGATATCATCGTCTGGCTCGAGAAAACCTGGAGTCATCAAGCAAAGTAGCTTTTATCCAACTGAACAAGACCGGGACACTCAGCCTTCGAACAATTTGAAGTTCGATCGGACGCTCTGACTTTTGTCAGTACGACCGTACTCGACTCATACGCACTGCACTTGCACTCGTGCCGGTGCACCGGCATGCGGCAGTGCATGCATGCACACGTAGATCTACTCGTACGTAGTCGACTACAGTCCATTCAGAAAAAAATGAACTTCTAGCTTTTGGCCATAAATGGGTCAAACTTTGAGTTTTTTTAGAATTTTTTTCTGCAATCCCCTATGGAATCCTCTTCCAATTATGTTTCTGAAGTCTATTTGTCCAAAAAGCAAGCCATAACAAGAATAGGATATCGGCCAGGTTTTGCCCCAGAAGCATTGAATTGGAAAAAAACCATCAAAATCCAGGCCGTTTGACCCTGCCTGCAACAGTGCATTGTGGGGTTCGAACCCCAGTTCAGGTACCCTTTTTGGACTCTTTTTCAAAGTTCAAATTTCGCAGCACTGCACTGTGTACAATGAAATCACGAAAAATCGCCAAATACGGGAGCTCGCCAGAGCCAGAGCCCATCTTTTTCTGAATGGACTGTAGTCGTAGTGTGCAGTCACTGCAGTGCCCCGCATATCGCGCATGCACTCGGCCCAGTGCATGCAGTGCATGCACGCGGCCCTGTGCATGCAGCGCCAGTGCCAGTGCAGCCAGCGGCATGCGGCAGTCAGTGTGCAGTGATCCGTAGATCTACCCGTCGCGCTTTGGATCGCATCCGGATGCTAACTGGGCCAGTCCGATCGAGCGTGGGCCATGCAGTAAGTCTACTTTTTTTTGTAGAACTCTCTGTAGCAGTGTCTGTACACACTGTAGGTCACACGATACGTGGATAGTCGATACCCGATACTCCGATAGTGCTAAGTGTGTCTTTCTTCTTTCATGCACTGGCGCCATGGCACAAGTCATAGATCTACATGACATACATTGTATGCTGTGTTTGCATGCATGCACCAGGCTGTATACAACGAGTCATGTACAATCAGACTGATGAGTGATGTACTGCATGCACTGCTACGCGATCCGGTGCATGCACAAATAATTCAATACAAGTACAGTAGTCAATAGTGTAAACTGAGACTTTCGCTGACTGTTCATGCGGTACTGTATTCTGTAGATCTAAATAGACTGAAATACTAGTACTAGTAGTAGTCACTACGTGGCAGTGCGCATTTAGGCCGCTTGTCCTAGCAATAGATCCTGTCAGTGCTTTAGTCTAGACCATCTTATTCTACATGATGCAGACAATCATTACCGGTATTCATAATTCTGCTCGGACAAGCCCGTGCCGGTAACACCATTGGCATTCGCAAAGTCGAATACAGTACCTCGAGCCCTTCAGTCACGCAGTGGTGTCCCGCCCTGGCCATACATGATTCAGTCGTAGATCTGTCTTGCTTGCTTGCAACGCAGCTAGCCAAGAGGAGCAAGAGACGTCGCCCCTCCACGGCTCCAGACGTACGACCTGCGAGGCGAAATGGGTGCCCCGCCCTGTCACAGTACCGGTAATACAGTCATGTTCAGTACGATTCAGTCACAGGAGTCGACTCGTATGACTTGCGGGCTTGGAACACAGCTAGCCAATCGTCTTCGGACATACGATATCACCCGCGATGTGAAAAGAGCATCACACACGTACACTGCCACTGGATATGTCGCCCATTGTCGGTATGATGCAGCCCACCAGGCGCAGGTGTACTGCACCATACTGGCGATGAATAGATCAAGGCAGGAGTAGGACTTTTGTGGTGAAAACAGCAACCAAAAAAACATGCCAATGATGCAGCGCGCTGGTGCTCTGCAGCGTATAAAGGCGGAGTTGTGTCCTTGTGAAAAGTACCAGATGCCGGAGCAACGAGACTTCTTCTTCCTCTTTTTGTTTTGAGTCGGAGGTGATGTAGTTGACTTGTGTAGCGTAGCGTGCTGAGAAAGAAATACCGATAGTTTGCTTTATCAGTGTGATGTCTAAGTCTGACTCTGACGGGGAAGACTCCCCGCCACGTCCCCTAGCGAAAAGGAAGAGAGTAAAATGGTCCCAGGCTTACATGAAGGAATGGGAGGCCGAACCGGAGTTGTCTGGCTGGTTGACAAAATCCAAGCGGACTGAAGGAAAGGCCTTTTGCATAGTCTGCTGCTGCGACCTTAGTTATCACAACGGCGGAGTCGCTGACTTGAAGAAGCATGCGGGGCGGGATGTCCACAAGGCCAATGTCCGAAGTCGGGAACTGCATGGAGATTTGCGCAAGGTGAAAGCTGGCCCGAAGCAGCGAGATGCCATGTCAGTGGCATGCAGCAACGCTGTTTTGCAGCTGGGTTTTTTCCTCGCTGAGAATCATCTGGCAATTGCAACTGCAGACCGCTTGACACCGCTGATAGCCGCTATGTGCCCGGATTCGAAGATCGCTGCAGGGATGAAAGCTGCGAGGACCAAGATGACGGCCGTGGTGCACACAATTGCGGAGGATATGCACTCCAACCTCCTCCAGATACTACGAAGATCGTACTTCTCGATCATGCCCGACGAGTCCGCGGATGTTTCTGTACAAGAGCAAGTGGCTGTTGCGGTCAGAGTGTTCAACAGCGATGAGGGCTGTGTCCGAACCTACAGCCTAGGCCTGCGTCCCGTGGACCAAGCCAATGCAGAGAGTATTTTCGGTGTCATCTCGTCCATGTTGGAAGACGGTGGACTGAGCTGGGACAATGTCATTGGGTACTGCTCGGACGGTGCCAATGTCATGCGAGGGTCACGCAATTCTGTTATGACCCGGATCCTTGCCAGGCAGCCCCATGCGTACACCCTCCATTGTGTATGCCATGTTGCACAGCTGTGTGCACAAGCTGCGTGCGATGCCCTGCTACCGGATAATTTCCAGGACTGGCTTCAGCGTGTGGCGTACTTCTTTGACCGGTCTCCAAAAAGAACTGCCGCCCTGAGGAAGGTGCAACAAGAGTATGATGTCAAGCAGCACAAGCTAGTCAAGCCTGCGCCGACGAGATGGCTGAGCCTGCATGCATCTGTAATGCGGATGCTGGAGCAGTGGGAGGCCTTGCTCCACTACTTTCAGTCGTGCCCGGATGTCTGCCAACTGCAAAACGTAATGGACTGGGTGTCATTGATGGAGCGACCAGAAACGAAAGCGTATTTGCTGTTTCTGGGAGAGGTTCTCCCATTGTTTGTCACATTCAACCTCAGTTTCCAAAGTGAAGACGTGAAAGTTCACTTACTTTCAAAGTCCCAGGCCCAGCTGCACAGAATGCTCCTCTTTAATTGCGTGAAGGCTTCCGCAGTACGTGGCGCAGATGGCAACGTTGATACGGAGATTCAGCTTGACATTTATGATGATGAGTTGGAGCTGTCAAGGCGAGACATGATTATTTCGGCAGACGCTATGGCATTGCTCGCCACATTGCCGGACGAACGCCGAAAGCGGTTTGCAACCAGAGTTCGCAGTTTCTACCAGACGGCTGTGGTGCAGGTCAGGAGAAGGCTGCCGCTAACGTGCCCAGTGCTGCGTGGGCTAGAGTTCCTTTGTCCTGTAGCTGGAAAGGACTGTGCTGCTCAAAGTGTTGCGGATGTGGCGCGTGCGTTTCCGCATGCTGTGAGTACCGGCAGCCTGGATGCGTTGGTCCGAGAGTGGCAGTGCTACCAGTGTACCACGCACAAGAACCTTCCCACGGAAGTTGACCGCTACTGGCATGCAATTGGGAGGCTAACCGGTATCAACGGCGATGCAATGTTCCCAACGTTGTCGTCATTGGCTCATGCTGTTCTTGCTCTGCCACATTCAAATGCCGACATTGAGCGCCAGTTCTCAGCAGTGACTGCGGATAAGACGAAGACAAGGAATCGAATGCAGGAAGACCTTTTGCAGTCGCTGATGACCATCACACAGAATAAGTCCTCCCAGGGGTTCAGCCCGACGGAGAAAATGCGTGAGCGCCTGCCTCACCATGTTGCTGTCGCTGCAGGCCATGCCGTAGGAAACCAGCAGCCCGTGGACCCAGAGACCATTGCTATACCTGCAGCACACGCAGTGCCCGAGCCGGAATTGTCGAGCAGTGATTCTGCGTCTCAGGCCCATCCACCCAGCACTGTACCTGCTAATGTGTCGCTGCCAGTCAATGCCGCACCTGCTCAGGAGTCCGTGCCAGCCAATGCTACGCCATCTATGCATATGCCTGCTGTTACTATCTCCAGGCGGATTTGGCGTGTTGGGCAGCTCTGTGAGTACTATTTGCCGATGGAATGCTCACAGAGTTGTATAGATGGCAGAAGTGGTAGCAGTGCTTGTGCAGTGATTGCTACGTATGTTGTGTCAAGAGCATTACGTGGCCAGCTTGAGTTGCCTGCCCCAGGTGCACCACCCTCGCCTGCATGCACCAGCACCTTTATCGGCTGCATCCGTGATGGAAACCGCACATACGACGCAGCTGGATTGAGCAGTGCCTTCCTATCTGTGTATGATGCGAAGGACCTCATGCCAGCCTCCCACGGTGTGTGCGTGATGAAAGATGGTGATCTAGGTATCCGCAACAATGCAGCCTGTAGAAGTGTGATGGAGAAAGCTGGCAACATGGCCATGAAGTGTGACCGCATCGTTGCTGGAGTGCTCGTGCACAACCCGTTGTGTATCGCCATTGTCTTCACACCACATGGCTTTGCTATTGTGTTCGACAGCCACCGTCACCGTGAGAAGGGACCAATGGTTGCTGTCCTGCGGCACAAGGCATCGTAGTCTGCCATGGGTGAGTTCATCCCGGGGCTGTTCCCTGGTAGCAAGCTGACTGACGGTCACTTTTGTATTCTGCAGGCATGTTGACTCATTTTGCTCTTCATGTAGTTGCATCTGAGTGCCAATTATCATTCTATTGTTGTTATTCGTTTGTTTAGTTTGTTTTGATTTCTTGGTTTATCGGGTTGGTTTTACTCTTTCAATTTTCATTTTATTTTTGGTGCTCTATTAAGCGCTATGTGGCTTATAATTTCCTTATTCTTCATTTTGTATTTTAGCGCTTTCTGGAGTTATCATTTTCGTTTTCTTCATTTTGCACCACATTATTATTTCTTGCAGATGTTTTAGTGCTAAGAAGAGGTTGGTGCGACTTCGGCAAGTCGGTAGGAAAAGCGTGAGCTCCCATGTAGGGAGCAACACACCCCTGTTTTAGTGCTACATGTAATTATTATAATATTGTCTTTTGGTTCAGTTTGTATTCTGCCAATTGTGTGCGTACATCAGTAACCCAGTGGATTTTCTGGTATGCCTGGTATAAGTTGCTTTCCACTCTACTTGAATAGTGAAATATGATGGTATATCCCTGATAAAATATCTTTTGTTAATAGCTATGCACAGCGTGTTAATGCAAATGGGTGGTGAGGTGGCAGAGGACATTGATTGTTATGTAGTGGCATGTGTGTGTAGATAGTGGCGGTAGCGGGATGGGGGGTCGGGGGGCGAAGCCCCCGGACGATGCATTTTAGTTTTGAATCCTACTGATATTTGGCTAAAATGGTGTGGCAACACTGATATTACCATATAAACGGTTCTTTCTAGCTCTCCGTTTCTACGATGTTTGTGTGTGAATGGTATTAATATTGGCTCTTGGAGCCCAGTTGAAGAGAATCATGTGGCATGTCCTTAAGTCTTGGTCTGAGGAAGCTGAGATCCTCCCTTCCTCCTTTATCAGTTCCCAATCAAACTCGCCACTTCCACCGAAACTGGGTGACTGCGCTCTACTAGATGGGGATTTGTATGCAAAATGTCACTGAAAGCACCATTTCATTATTATAAAAGCATGGACGAACGAGATTGGCCCATATGTTGTAATATTTTGAATGCTGAGTCAACTGGTATATGAGGTTTAGCTGACCCTGCAGGCCAAGGAGGACATCGAGTGATCGACCATAAAGTGCTAAAAAAAAGCTTGCCTCACTGAAAGCACATGAAGTGAAAGTGGCCATCTGCCATAAAAAGTGTTTGTTTTGCTTGCCAGCTGGGCACGTAGATAGGAAGTACTCAGGCTAGTTCTTGTTGGGGCTGTCAAGAACGGCCAAGGTGAAAACGCCGCGGTGCAAGGCCTGCTTACTCAACTCAACCAGCCGGTGGGCATCCATAGGGGTAGGGTCAACGGTCACCACTCTTACTCTGTGTATAGTGCTCCGAAATTGCGGGGAGAATTATACTATAATGATATGAACCCATCTTGCCTAAGCACCGCCTAAGAAAAACCATAGGCGGTGTTTAGACAATGACGTTCGTCCTAGCGGTGTAGAAAAGCGTGTTCACCGGGCTAAGGCGTATCGCACGTTGAACATTGATCCCATCTTGCCTTCCTCTTTGATTTGTGTCTGCAGAGTGTCGAATTGACCAGTCTAGGGGCGTCCTATTCCAACGGCATTCTTGCGTGCAGGTACTAGTTTTCTAAGTATAATGATACTGTGCACTAAAGACGTGAGATGGTTTCCTGTTAGACTTGTGTAAATCAAGTGCGAGTACTTCTTTCCGGAGTACTGTACTACAGGGAATGTATTTCGCGCAGGTGTATTTGCTCTGCAGTCAGCGCACGTTTTTAAAAAATTTTTTTTTACAAGATACACAACTCACCAGCAGGTACATGGGGCTAGCATGGGGTGAGATGGTGCTGGTGGGGCCTGCTATGCTCAACCGACCAGAGGTCTCGGCATCTTCAAATGGCAGGCGCACCGATTTTGGGAGGAAAGCATGAGCATGAAGGGGAAAAAACCGTACGAAGTCCTAGGCAACACCTGTGACTTCTGTAAATCTCTTTTCCCAATCGTAGTTTCCCCATAACCCGGGGCATCATCAGAGATGCCCTGATAGGGTAAACTTCGGAAGAGATTTATTGAAGTGGTGTATTCAAGGACGAAAGAAGGTTGTGCGGTGACTGCAGAGCAATGACTAGGCTGAAATGGAGTTCCAAAATTCCTAAAAACATACTTGCTTTTCTAAGAATGAAATTTTCCAAAAAATCCAAAATATATTTAAAAGAGTGAAGGGTAAGACCATTTTCAAGTCAATGTAATCCTGCTGTACGATCGTTTCTTTAGTCTCTGTTGAGCTGCACTGACGGTTCCTGCAAAACTAAATCAGTGTGCAAGTGTTATGGTGGATGTTCGTAATGCCTTTCTTTCGTCTTGATTTCAGATTCCGCCGTAGCCTGTACACTGCCAGTGACCGCGACAAGGACCTTCGGAAACCCTTCCACCAGTTCTACGTGTGGGATCCTACTCCTGGTGAGATCTATTGATGGGGATGTGGTGAAGACTATGATAATTGTACGTAATTAAGTAGCGTGCTCCACTGTCCGAAGAGTGCTCAATACCCATATAGGGCAGAGCCTTCCACACAAGAGAGAGAGGGGAAGCTGTGTTGCAACTCCAAGTTTCGCGTAGTCATGCCTGATGATCGTGACTACGTGAAACTCGGAGTTGCAACACAGCTTTCTCTCTCTCTCTCTCTCTCTCTCTCTCTCTCTCTCTCTCTCTCTCCCCCCCCCCTCTCTCTCCCCCCCCCCTCTCTATATCTCTCTCTCTCTCTCTCTCTCTCTCTCCCCCCCCTCTCTCTCTCTCTCTCTCTCTCTCTCTCTCTCTCTCTCTCTCTCTCTCTCTCTCTCTCTCTCTCTCTCTCTCTCTCTCTCTCTCTCTCTCTCTCTCTCTCTCTCTCTCTCTCTCTCTCTCTTGTACATGATAATTTTAACATTCTGATATTGTCTGTAAATCATTGCATGCCCAAGTTTTCCGCGAGACAAGTGGACACACTTCCCTTGTGCTATCTAAATGATTTTTAAAAGAACAACTGAAGGTCTTCTCTTTCCCAAGTTACGGCACTGAAAGAGGACACACAATATAATACTCATAGCCCAACACAATAAGTTCTTTTAGATGGATTGAAGAAGAAATTCATCAATCATCGCAGGCAACATGGAAACGAGAGAGCTTGGAAGCTCAGCGCCCTACGCTATGCTTTTTGCCTAGCTCATCATGCATGTTATCAGAACTGATGGAAAGGTACATCGTCCACGACCTTGATGACCTAGGCAAAAAAAGTATAGGGATGTTATAAATTTTTCATTCCTCCTTTTTTTTCAAGACATAACCTTGCATTCGAACCCGCACTATCGCCCTGCATGAATTCCCCCGATACACTTCGCATACATACTCATTCTTCCAAGTTGCTTCACGTTATGATCTGCATTTGAAAGCCCTATTTGAATATTGTGGCCAGCTGTCTTTGATGGTACGGTACGGGACAGGTACAGGATAGCGCCAGGCATCTTTTCCGTTTGCCGTTCTTCGGCAACAGCTCTCGCCTTCATCTCTGGTGCGGGTGTAATCTAGTGACTTCGTACATGCGTATTAATAGACCAATGATAATTATTATCCCTTTGTCTGGGTTCGTGAAAAGGGCCACGCGTGCAAGTCAGCTCGTGTGAAGTGCAGGGTTTTGTATTTAGTTGGTATGTGGCAGCTTATGGGACAGAGAGACTTTTGCTCCCCGAGCTTGTGTATGTAAATAGTGTTTTACGTCGACCACGACGGCTAAAATGCCCAACCATACCACAACGAACTGATCGGCTACATCATTGTATTGCAAAAAGTTTCCATCTGTTCGAATAACATGCATGATGAGGTAGGCGAAAAAAGCATAGCGTAGGGCCCTGCGCGAAATAAATAAACTTTCTCTCTGCATTCGAGGGTAGTACGACACCGTCTACCACCTTGATGACCTCGCCAAAAAAAGCATAGGGATGTTATAAAATTTTCATTTCTCCTATTTTTTTCAAGACATAACCTAGGATTCGAACCCGCACTATCGCCCTGCAAGCATTCCCCCGATGCACTTAGCATACATACTCATTATTCCAAGTCGCTTCACGTTATGATCTTGCATTTGAAAGCCCTTTTTGAATATTGTGGCCAGCTGTCTTTGGTGGTACGGTACGGGACAGGTACGGGATAGCGCCAGGCATGCCGACGGCACAAACACACAAACATGGAATTAAAGCTGTGTGGACCCTGGCTAGCGCCAGACATTACTAAAGTAACGTCTCTTGCATAGCTACGGGAATAATTGCTTGTAGGTGCTTAATCCAATTCTGTAGTTTCCAACCCTTATACATCGATAGAGTTTTCAAGTCAGGAGTAGAGGCAGTGCAGAATAGCAGTTGTGTAAAAGTGTGAGCGCAAATACAGATGTACGGTTACAATTTTCACAAGCGGATACCTTCCCAATGCTGTCACTGGCACTCAGTAGTAATTTTCTTAGTCATTTTCTACTGGCACATGGCGTAGTTTTAGTGCTCATCTGCATGCATGCAGTGTTGAACTATGGCCTTTATTGGTTTCTGAGCTGCAGTCCAGTTTCCACTCAGATGCCATTCCCTGGATCGCTTACAAAAAACTGCCTTATCCATGTCAATAGCATATCGCATGTGAGTGTTGATACTCCAGTCTTTTCTAAACACTGCATTGCTATCTGGCTGTGTCCTGTGTGCAGGTGGTGCTCTTGCTCCTCTCCCCTTCCATGCTACATATCGCCCTCGGATCTCGAGTTCCATGCAGTTTGCCAACTCCACAGCCGAGCCAAGTTAGTCCCAGCCATTTACTGTACAAGCAGAAATATTCGTCTGGAATTTAATTTCGTCTTTTTCGTCCAAGGAGCTTTGGGACTAAATTAAATGCCGGACGAATGTCGATTTGTCCAGCGTTTCAATACGCCGGTATAGTACATGGACAAAATTTTCAACCGGACGAACTCCCTTTCTTTGGAGTTGGACGAAATTATTGACCGACGAAATTTTTTGCCCGTACAGTACATAATAGTCAATGAGTTTTGGGAAGCAAGGAACGAGATGAATGCAAAACAATAGAGCTACCTATGTACACACAAGACGGACTATGCGATTAGTTATAATTGATGGATGTTGGCCAAGAGATTTGACTGGAACTAAACCTAAGTGCAACGAATTGTGGTGATTAATACCTGTTGGGAAGGCCGTCGCGGCCATGTGTTTTTTATGATGTATTTACTATTTATTCAATATTTCCTTCAGGATGTGAAATATGAAATGTCTCAGAAATTCAGTTTATTTTGGAACGCAATTTCGCGTACATGTAGTGATTTAGCCTACAGTTAGTTCACGAGTCATTTCGTGGGTTGTTTGTTTCTTGCGTTGCACAGTGCAAGACAAGAAGTTGCACATCTGCACAAGAGTATTGACGTTGGCTCTCAAAATGATTCTTGGTCGCATTTTGTTTGTTTCTTCTAAGTTTTGGCAAAGGGACATGTATTTTCGTTTTGTCTTTTCTCGCAGTGTTTCCTTTCGTTTCTAAGCCGCGACGCCGTCGCGTACTGCGGTACGACGGGTCACGTGCTGCCAACCTACGGCATTCTTTATTCACCAGTTTTCACGGCTACGCTGCATGCATTGTATAATGACTCATGATTATTTTGTGCTCTGCGCTGAATCCCGTACTAGTGTAGTGTAGGGCTTTTTCAGAGTTTGTTGGTTTTTCGATGAGGCTCGGCAAGCAATGAGTTCGGTTCTTCGAAAGGAAGAGAAAGAGTTGTCTTTTTGTTGTTTGCGAAATATCTATTTTACTACCACGAAGTGTTCCCGTTGCGTGTGAGAACCTGCATGACAAATTGGTAGCAGAGGATGGTTGTCAAGTAGTGGTTCCTTCACCAAGCGCAGTGTGGTAGTGAGTAGCATTTCGGCTTTTCGCTGGACAACATGGATCTTGAGGAGTGCAAGAAGGCGAAGGCCAAGGCCAAGTTCCATGTCACACGAAATCGAAACTTGTTGCTCAGCAGGATCTACGAAGAGGATGCGACCTCGAAAGAGATCAAGAGGTTGTTGGATGACGTGACTGAGAGTGTTCACAACGCTGTGGATGTGTGTCTAAAACTGGTAACTCGGTACGCAGAATTAGGACTACCCACAGAAAAAGTGCACGAGGAGATAGAGGTCATCAACGTCGACTACAGCGATGCTGTCAGCAAGACCAGCGACGTGCTGGCAGAAATCAGCAAGAGGCCAAGTCGAGCCAGAACGGGTGAAAGTTCGCCAGCTTCCATCACCAGAGCCAAGAACATAAGATTAGTAAAGGCAATGTTGACGCAGAGCTTGGAGAATCCCAGAGCAAGTGGGAGGATGTTGACACCGCCACACTCTCCTAGCAAGGCCCTTGAGGAAAAACAGAACATGTGTGCTGAGAAGAGTCTCAGTCGTTTTGGGAATGTGTCTGCATCCAGTGTCAGCCAGAGTGCGACTGTTGAGGGGACTACCCAGCCGCCTGCCGTTTCCTCGGGAGCACCTCTGGGAGCAAATGCATTGGCACTCCCCCTGGGAACTCCAAGTGGTGACCATCGTGATAGACAGGACGAACCGCCTGGGGCTGACATGACAAGCGTCAGTGACAGCCAGCCAATTGTGTCGTCGTCAAGTGCAACCATGGCAACCAATGTGAGTACAGACAAGTCACGCACAATCAAGGTGTCCTTTCCGGTCTCTTTGTCGTCTGTACCTACGTTACCGTTTACGGCGGAGCTCTTGTCAAAAGTTCACCCGGTTGCCATGGCAACCGCCGAAACCATGGCAACACCGCGGAACATTGGTCATCAGTCTGCAGGGAGTAACCAGGCAAGTGGCATTGCTCAGTCTGGCGCGCAGCAGGCACCGGTATCTACGTCGGCAGCTTCGGCAAGAAACGTAATCACTGCCCCTAACCGTAGTTCAAGTGGGGTCAGTGTACCACCCAGAGCATTGTCGGCCACGACCATACTCGTGCAGTCAGCCCAGACGCAACCAACTCCAGCTATGCAGCCTCGTGCAGTTGCAAGTCATACTCTCTCGGCTTCTACACCTGCATTTGTGCCGGGATCAGGACATTTGTACGTTCCACCGCCGACCCATTCTGGACATCCATTCTCATTTGGAACACCACCGGGTTTCTTGTCGGCACCCGACTTCCCGACGCACGTCTTGCCGAATCAGTCTGGAGTAATGTCTACACCACCAGCGACCCAACCGGCTATGCAACAAATACCAGTTGGTCAGCCAGGTCACGCGTCACACCGTGAAGATTATGGTCTTGTGCAGCCGAGCAGTCTTCCAGTTGCCATGACATCGCCGAGTGGTCTACCAGTGCAAGCGAGTAGTTCTGGTAGAATCGAATTGTACCGACATTTAGAGAAAGTATCAATTCCAACGTTCAAAGGCGACAAGCGGCAATATGAGACGTGGAAGGCGGCGTTTGAGATGTGCATTGGCTGCGCTAACATTCCGGATGGGCTGAAGTTATTGCAGCTCCGAAAATACCTCGCGGGCGATGCACTACGGTCTATCGACACTCTTGGCTACTCGGCCGAGGCGTATGAGGCAGCACGACGTAGGCTGGAACGCAAGTTCGGTGGTCAGCGACGTCTAGTTGCAGTGCATCTAGAAGCCCTTGAGAAGTTCCCAGCGATGAGATCTGCAAACGCCCAGGAGTTGGAGCGTTTTGCGGAGCTACTCGATGTCGCTGTGGTGAATTTGAAGGCGAGTGGTCAGACACAGGAGTTGGCTAACGGGACATTTTATGTCCGGCTAACACAGAAGCTGGGGGTGTCTCTTCTGCTGAGCTACCAGAAGTGGATACACCAGACAAGCACCTCTGAATCTGTCGAAGCGCTTCTGCAATGGGTGGAGCTGGAAAGCGAGTTCCAAGTACGAGCCCAGGAGACGATCCAAGGTATCTCCACGGCAACTCCAGTAGGGTCCACTCAAACAGCAAAGAGTCACCCGCTGAAGGGTCCGGCCAGTCATGGTGGAGTGAAGCATCAGGCATTCTTCGCTGACAAGCCCAAGAAGGCCCAGAGCAGCAGCAGTTGCCCGATCTGCACGAAGATCCATCCCGTTTGGAAATGCCTTGAGTATCGGACGCTGTCAATTGCAGAGCGTTGGCAGAAGGCCCGGACGCTCAAGCTTTGCTACCGTTGCCTAAACTCTGGTCATTTGGGAAATAACTGTCCCAGGTCGCAGCCCTGTGGTGCAGACGGTTGTACAGAGACCCACAACGCGTTGCTGCACGGAAAGTCTAGTACTACTACAGACTCGAATGGAGCCTCACAGAAGCCAGTGCTCCAGGCTAGCGCCTCCACAGAGGGGGGTGACACCAGTTCCATGGCCACTCATATGAGTAGTGTCGGCGTTAGAGCTGTCGCACTGCGAACCGTTCCCGTCATACTTCGCCACGGCGACAAGAATGTCACGGTCAACGCGCTGCTGGACGACGGCAGCACGCAGTCTTACCTTAATTGCGACGTTGCGGCACAGCTAGAGCTTAGCGCTCCCACACAAGAAGTGTCAGTGAGCACGCTGAACGGCCGCATCGAGACCCTAGAGACCATGCCAGTCGACTGCCACATCGAGAGTCTGGATGGCAGATTTATCACACAGTTCTCTGCTCTGACTGCCAAGAATGTCACCGGTAACCTTAGACCTCATGATTGGTCGGTAGATCAGACACGGTATCCGCACCTCAACGGCATTGAGTTTCCGCAATGCCAGAAGAAGCGAGTAGAGGCGCTGATCGGCCTTGACCACGCTAGTCTCCACAGGTGCATGGAGGAAGTCTATGGTGAGGCTCATGACCCATTCGCACGCAGAACGCCACTCGGGTGGACATGCGTTGGCAGGAGCACCAGACCGCAACAGACGACAAATTTCACCCGCACGTACTTCGGAAAGGACGTCGACCTGAATGCACTGGTGAGAAGGATGTGGGAGGCGGAGGAACTTTCCCAGTCGTACGAATTCTGTGCAGATGATCAAGCCGTTTTTGATCAGACGGTCCAGTCGATGACCTACAAGAACGGAAGATACCAGGTTTCGGAGCCGTGGATCAAGAGACCACCTCCGGACAACTACAGTCGAGAAACTGCAATGAAGCGGCTCATCGCAGCAGAGAGACGCCTGGCGAAGGAGCCAGACGTCGCTGAGGAATACCGAACCGTGATTCGCCGTCACTTAGAACAAGGGTATATCAGCAAGATCAGCAACGCAAGTGATGGCGACGGCTGGTATCTGCCGCACTTTGCTGTTGTACGACCTGGGGCTACATCCACAAAGGTGCGTGTGGTCTTTGATGCAGCAGCAAAGACGAAAGGCAAGTGTCTGAATGACTACATCAGCACTGGGCCCAAACTACAACGGGACCTCACCGACGTTCTCCTGCGGTTTCGGCGACACCCAAACGCACTGGTAGCCGACGTGGCAGAGATGTATCTACAAATCGAGTTGGAAGAGGATGACCGACAGTTCCATCGATTTCTTTGGCGAGAAGATACGGAGGACCAACCGGCCGTTTACCAGTACAATAGAGTGGTGTTCGGGATCACTGCATCTCCATTCTTAGCTCAACTGGTCTCGCAAGAGCATGCGCGGCGGAACCAGGAGGAGTTTCCTATGGCAGCAGAAACCGTGTTGAAGTCCACGTACATGGACGATTCAATGGACTCGACAAAGTCAACAGAGCTAGCGATTCAGCTGTACCACGAGCTTACGGCGCTGTGGGGTCTCGCTGGAATGCATGTGCGAAAATGGATTTCCAACAATGTTGAGGTGCTCGCCGAAGTCCCCGAGGAGGACCGAGCCAAGGAAGTGGACCTCGCTAATGGAATCCTGCCGACGACCAAGACTCTCGGAGTTAAGTGGCGAGCGGAGGAAGACGAGTTCCTGATTCATGTCAAGCCGCCATCAGACATTGTCACCAAGAGAGCTTTCTTGAAGAACCTAGCCACATTGTTTGATCCGATCGGATTCGTACTGCCATTCACCATAGTTGGTCGGATGTTGTTCCAGAAGATGTGGCTAGCAGGTGCTGACTGGGACGACTCTCTGCCGCCAGAGCTAGGCGCAGAGGCGCAAAAGTGGTGTGCCGACATGGATGCACTCCAGGATGTCCGAGTTCACCGGTGTCTTCAACGCGATGAAGAGGTGGTGGAGACTAAGCTACATGTATTCTGCGATGCCTCGCAAGATGCATATGGAGCAGTCGCTTATCTCTGTCATGTGTACCAGGATGGTACGAGGTCCAGTCGATTCGTCATGGCTCGAGCCAAAGTGGCGCCGTTATCAGCTGTTAGCATCCCCCGACTCGAGCTAATGAGAGCAGTCATCGGATGTCGTCTTGGTGTGTCCGTAGCCAAGACTCTCGCCATCGCAATGGAGAATGTCGTGTTCTGGAGTGACAGCATGGATGTCCAAGTGGTGGAAAGAGTACCCGGATCTCAGTGTTGGTGACATCGTCCTCGTTGTGTCAGCTGATACCCCCCGTGGCAGGTGGCCTCTTGGACGGGTGTTGGAGGTCTACCCTGGTTCTGACGGCAGAGTGCGTGTCGCTAAGCTCCAGGTCGGAGGCAAGCAGGTAACCAGGTCAGTTGTACGGCTATGTCCGGTTGTGAAAGGCTGACAGTCCGTACGCACGTTTTAGATGGACTTATCGCCATCTTTAGTCAGTTCGATCTCTTTTCTCGTTTTACTCATTCTTTGATACGGATGTATCAAGGAGGGGGGTATGTTGGGAAGGCCGTCGCGGCCATGTGTTTTTTATGATGTATTTACTATTTATTCAATATTTCCTTCAGGATGTGAAATATGAAATGTCTCAGAAATTCCGTTTATTTTGGAACGCAATTTCGCGTACATGTAGTGATTTAGCCTACAGTTAGTTCACGAGTCATTTCGTGGGTTGTTTGTTTCTTGCGTTGCACAGTGCAAGACAAGAAGTTGCACATCTGCACAAGAGTATTGACGTTGGCTCTCAAAATGATTCTTGGTCGCATTTTGTTTGTTTCTTCTAAGTTTTGGCAAAGGGACATGTATTTTCGTTTTGTCTTTTCTCGCAGTGTTTCCTTTCGTTTCTAAGCCGCGACGCCGTCGCGTACTGCGGTACGACGGGTCACGTGCTGCCAACCTACGGCATTCTTTATTCACCAGTTTTCACGGCTACGCTGCATGCATTGTATAATGACTCATGATTATTTTGTGCTCTGCGCTGAATCCCGTACTAGTGTAGTGTAGGGCTTTTTCAGAGTTTGTTGGTTTTTCGATGAGGCTCGGCAAGCAATGAGTTCGGTTCTTCGAAAGGAAGAGAAAGAGTTGTCTTTTTGTTGTTTGCGAAATATCTATTTTACTACCACGAAGTGTTCCCGTTGCGTGTGAGAACCTGCATGACAATACCTAAAAGGTGCCCATGATGATAGCGGTATTCGGTGCACTTTATGCTATATGAGCGGTTTTCCAGCCGTGCTGCTACCCACAGTCAACTGGGAACTTGTGGCCAGGCACAAGGGGTACATGGATGCAGCTAATGGGGTCGCTTTCGGCACTTGTGCCAGTGGTTGTGAGACTTACCCACTCACCCCCACCGTTAGGCGCTGCATCTGCCGCTAGGGTTTATCGGGTGTTAGCGGCCGTCGTGAGTTCCCTTCGGGAACGGATACGATAATTTACTTTTTTAATTTTTTTTTATGCTATATCACACTTTGACTCGGAACAATAAAAAACAAGTGCAGTCCTGCTTTTAAAACTTGAGAGGGAAGCAAAGGCTGAAATCACATTTTCACCAGTTGTAGTCTTCGGGGTGCTGAGTCGAATGGTCTTGGTCCGAGGCAGCTGAGATGCTCCCTTTCTCCTTTATTCCCAATCGAGCTCGCCACTTCCACCTGAAACTGGGTAGCTGCGCCCTACTAGATGGAGATTTGTATTCAAAATGTCAATAAAAGCGCTATTTCGTTTTTATAAAAGCACGGATGACCGTGATTAGCCCATATGGTGTAGTCTTTTGGGCGCTGAGTCGACTGGTTTGGTCCGAGAAGGCTGCGATGCAGCTTTCGGCCCTTATTCTCAATCGAACACGGTTGAGTATGTGGTCACGTGCTCGTGCGTACACCAGTAACCTGGTCACCAGCCCGTAGGCTACAACTTACAGCCTGTTTGGGTGCGTTTCTGTCACTCGAGTTGAACCTTTGAGTTGAACCTTGGTGTGAAAGTTGTAGCCTGCAGGCACAGTGACGAGGTGACTGATGGTGTTCAGTAAACCTGTAATTGCGATTACTTGGATATGGCGACCACTTGGATATGGCGACCACTCGACCATGGCAACCACTCGACCATGGCGACCACTTTTCCTTGTCACGGACGCATTTCACATTCAAAACAGCTCAGATAAGGTGACCACTCGCTCAACGCGACATACGACCACTCACCCTCGACCGCGTTGCACTTTGATAGTACATGTACATGATTGTACACATTGCACATTGCACTGTGCACCATGCATGGTAGTAGATCTACACATCAGTGCAGGAAGTGTAGATGTACATGGTGCATGCACGTCACTTGACAGGTCTGAGGCCTCCAGGCACATACATGTACAATCATTATGATAGAATCCAACACTGGTAAACTAGCATTAGATAAACCTTGTTGTAGTTCACGCAATTGTTAGATTGACAGCATGAAACAATGGTCCGCAGGGACCGGGGCTCTGCCAACCGCGGAAGGTTGTAGTAAGGTCACTGTTTTCGAACACAGTGTCCTCCACCTTGTTTCATGCTGTCAATCTAACAATTGCATGTACAATCATTTATCGCCTTCTTAGTATTTGACCCCACTAATTTCCCTGATACCTAAGCGGTCAAATATATCGCGTATTTGACTGCTTAGTCAAATACACAATATATTTGACTACTTATATTTGACTCCTTAGAACTTCTTGGACTTAGAAATTTCTCTCCAACTTAGAAAAAGAAATTTTTGAAGAAAGCAGAAATACACAAGATGGGATTCGAACCCACAACCATGTGAATCTCAGTCACTCTTCCTTACCACCCAACCACTGTGCTACCGATGCTGAACTTAGTTTAAACAATGACCTTGATTCTGCAATGCCGTACAATGCGGTACAGGCTATAGTATAATACTAGAATTACAAGGATATGTCGTATATGAAGAGAAACTATTGCGTGGAGAACACGATAAATAGATTATAGACCTCATAGTTGGTCTATACAGGATATATAGACCTCGTAAAAGACCTCGGGGGACCTCGGTCTTTTACTCGGTCTATATATCCTGTATAGACCTCCTAACCGGTCTATAATCTATACGTAACGTTGAAATATAATATTTTTCTGGTGAAAAGCAGTGATTTGAGTGTGAGCCAGTGTTGCTCACAACCAATTTTTTAATCTTGTAACTTTCGTGCTATAGTAGCATAGGTACTAGGTGTGAGCAGTGTGATGCACTGATCATAATAACAGTACAATCTTGTGGATATGGTCACGTGGCCCACTGAGCCTGGGTAAGGAGACCATCTAGCCAAGGTGACCACTTTTTCTCGTCCCTCGAGTGGTTGTCTTTAAAAGAGAGGTTTTACTGTAGCTAAGCTTCTTCCTGTTATCGAAGAAGGGATGTACATGGCACATACATGTATTTCTTCGGCTGATTTCCTCATGTTTTGAGTGGAGCAGTCTCTAGATGTGATTGGAATTAGCCTTATAATTCATAGTTTTGATGAATTCTCTTTTTCTGATTGCAGCAACACTAGCCCCAAACACAATGAGTGGTAAGTTGCGATTGCCTTAGACTCCAGCACACTTGGATGTGTGCAGCCTACACGCCACATGCATGGTTTTCCATAGCAGTTTAATTGTACTTGCTACACAATCTACCGTAATTGCCATAGTACAGTAGAGTCGCGGGCCCAAGAACGCTGTTTCCAAGGGGTTAGCCTGGGACGTCCTTATTTTTTCGGCAATCTGGCTGCGTTCTTATAGCACGTTCTTAGAAACAGTGCGTACTGGATCATATGTATCCCACAAGCTGCCAGAAAACCAACACCGCCGCTCTTAGCTTTAGGCTGTGGCGTTCTTAGTATTTCAGGCTGGACGTTCTTGGGCTCCATGTTCTTCAGCGCGCGACTCTACGGTAGGCTCATTTCTAGTTTGTCCCCTAATCCAACTCTGTTGTCTCTGTTTGATCTACACATAATTGTATCATGATCCACAATTGATTATCAATCCAAATCACTCATGGTGTCTATCTTCGATTTTTCTGTCGTTATATGTGTGTGTTATTCAGGTTCAACTACAGTTGCCGTCAGTTTGTCAGCCGCATTGATTTCGGTGCTCTTTGCTATAAGCTGTGTATGTTAGGCGTGTACGCTTGTGGTACGGCATATTATGACGGAATATACGACCCAGCTAACCCTCTTGCAATACCTCCGATCTTTGTGGATAGTTGCTGAACAAGAGCTTCAGATTTGCCCATGCACTAAGTGTACGCTTGTCTTTTAACACCTGTGTAGTTTGTTAGTGTCCAGATAATGGAGTGTACTTCTCAGTTCTACTACAGAACTAGTGCGTTTTAGTGTTCTACTTCTGCTGGGCAATGTCTGAATACCTGCCCGTTATCGTCCTTAGTTCCGAAATCTCTTGGATTCGGATCGCACCGCTTCTTTCTCCACTGTATGCGACTTAAGTCCAAATGCATTGGGTCTTCCATGGGCCAATACATTGTGACAAAACTCTGTTGCTCACGCTGCTCATCTCCACTGAACAGAATTAAGCTGTACACAAAAATCACAAAAGTTTAAAATAACATGCACTGCATTTGAAGCCTTCCTGAGTGTGGTTTTGGTGTGTGTGTGTGTGTGGGGGGGGGGGGGGGGGGGGGGGGTTAGTATAGGAGTAGCCATGCAAGTACATTGTATGTACTCGACTGTATTTTGTGCACCGGATTTTCTCAAAACTTTCTCTTATCTCACTTTTGGTTTGATTTTTGCCAGTATTTGTTTTTCAACATCATCCTACTTCAGTAGTAACATGATGATGCCATGTTGAAAATTTGAAGCAATTCTAATGATGCGTTCTGGAGATAAACTGGGGTCTTCAGGAACACCGAACAGTCCCTGCCAATCATCCCAGAGGTGGAGAAACCCAGGGGCGTAAATTTATCATGGTCGACTGTTGTTATGCGCTCTCCATATTGCCTTTTCTTCATTTTCTCATGGGTTTGGAGCTGACTGACGACTTCTTGGCGCGAGAGGTGTGGTTTTTTGGTGAGTGACCCGGATATGAAAAAGGTATCCTGCTGTCTCGTCCAGAAGCCGCCAGCCCGGGTGTCAAGACGGGCGTCTGGTGCACGGTTAGCTGTTTGACCTTGAAGGTGCTCGCCATCATACCGCAGAAGCACAGGCTCCACCTCCACGCCCCTAGACACGTCACGGACAGCCAGCAAGTCCCGAACCTCATTATGTCTTGCCGCGGGATATCCCCCCGCCGGACAGGTCATTGCATGGTCAATTGCTGCTAGGTACATGTACTCCACGTGACTGCAACAGCCAAGGACATACAATCATGTGCGGTACAAGACAAGTGTACAAGTCAGGTTTTGCGTTCCGAAATCGGCACGTGGGAGCGAGGTCGAAAATGCACTCGAATACCGTATTATCTCTAATTATAAGCACGGGCCTTTATTTTTTCAATGTACCTCCGCCCCGTGCTATTAATGGAGACGTTCCTGTATTGGAGACTGTTCCATTATTATTTCAACCTCATTTCAGAGGCATGTTGCCATGCCAAATTCATGTCAGACACACACATTTCAGGGGTTTTTCGCTGGAACTTTATTTTAGAAATAATACGGTACATGCATCTTACCAGGTACCGATAGACAGTGTGCTTATAATGGAGACGGAGCACTTTATTCTTTGAATGCCGCCCCAAGGCAAAGGTGTTCTATTATTGGAGACGTGCTATTAAGTATTATTGGAGACTGTGCTTATATTAGAGATAATACGGTATAATGTATTTTGTTCAGAAAAAGCGGAAAGAATTTTCTTGTACAATCATGGATATGGGAATCCAGTCGATTGACCGGGGTGGCGCCCTCATGACTTTGTGCACTGCCTGCAACGTTCTGTACGCGCTGAGCTCAGCGCATACAAAACGTTGCAGGCAGTGCACAAAGTCATGTTGATCCGATGCGACCACTGCGCTGCAGCACATACAGTAAGATCGGGCGCCGAAGAACGCAGGGGCTCGAGCGCAGCCTAGGAAAGTTCTTAAATTTTTGATTCTAGCCAGACCGTTCTTATTCACACGCGCGCGCGCGCGGCGAGTCGGGTGACGTCATGACATTTGTCATGTACATGTACATGTAGTGCAATGTAGTTCTAAACTAGTGCAGTGGGTGTCGTATGGGAATGACTGTACATGTAGCAGTTACTGTTTACACGGGTACATGACATGTAGATCTACTCACCTCCCATACATGTACAATGTAGATCTACATGTACGTACAATGTAGATCTAGTGTTCTTAAATCTAATAATTCTAGCCTGGACTGTTCTTAAATTTTGCCGGTTTTCCAGCCTGGGTGTTCTTCGGCGAGTTGTTCTTCGGCGCCCGATCTTACTGTACTACAGAGGTTAAGATGCACGTTATTTCCGACGTGACGCGCAATTTCACGTCAAAATTCGGCGCAAAACTCCAAATATGTATTTCGACGTGAGCTGCTGGTCACTCATGTTGATTTCCAACGCGCGAGCCAAATAACGCGAGTTGAACTGTTACTTTCACGTCACGTCGGCAATAACGTGCATCTTAACCTCTCTACTGTCTGCTCTTACCGCTTACTCACGGCTCCATGGCCAGCGCCCTGGCCTGGGACCGCTATATACATGACAGACGTGCGACCGGATTTCCATGTCCACGACAGTAGAAGAGCGCTAGCGCGTGATTTATTCAAAGAGGTTTCTTATCTCGGCATGGCTTCGCAGGTCTTCGGCGACATCAGCACCGTCAGCTACCTTTGATTGCTCCTCTCCATTGCCTGTCTACTCTCTTTTGCCTGCAGTGTCCTCATCATCATCTGTGTACGCGTGGCTGAAAAGACGAGGCGATACGCATACAATTTGACTTGGCTATATAGTTTGTTCTTCTGAGGCACATTTGGCCCTCGACTCTTTGGGCGATCAAAGGTTCGTTGGAATCAGCAAGAAAGGGAACACCGGACAGGACGTTGCTGATGCTGCAGCAGTGCAGGTCACGAAATGACATGACGTTCGACTTGCAAAACGAACGTTCCGATCCTTCAGACATTTTTTTATGTTCGATAAATGACCGAAGAACGCAAAACCGGTCGGTACTTTTTGGAGACATGATTTGTGTAGCACAGACTACCATGGACTACTGTAGTACTGAGCTCAGTACTACAGAGTACAGACTCAGTAGATCTACTGTGTCGTGGACATGGAAATCCAGTCGGATTGACCTGGGCCGGCGGCCCGGCGCCCTCAGCGCGTACTGTACTAGTGTAGGTCTACTGTATACCATGGTATACGTAGTAGTAGTAGAGTACAGTCATGATTACTGTCTGTAGTGTGGGAACATACATAACATGTGGAACAGCGTGCGACCAGCGCCACGCGGGCTGCATGCAGGCTGTGCAGCATGACTGTTGTGTGAACCAGGCCTGCAGCCTTGCAGGGAGTAGAGTCGGAGTGAAATACTACTCCCTGCCCTGGTACATATGGTGGTGTGAACTGCTTACCCACGGCTGCGCATAGCGCATGGCCACTTTGGCCAGCGCCCTGGGCCGCTAATCGCGCATATAAGGGCTTGAAAGTGCTACGTCACAGCATAGCAACAATTTCAAAAATTCAAAAACTGGATCCACTTGGATCCAGTTTTTGTATGGATCCAAGCACATTTCAAGCGGTCTTACCCACAGCATGGTGATGTAGCCAGTGAAACTGACTGATTTGGCTACTGGGGGCGGGGTTACAACTGGTGGTGAAATAAAAGTCACACCTGCATGCGACATGAGTGGGTTGCTATGCACCCACATACTTAGGCAATAGCAAAGTCACACCTTAGTGGAACCAAAAATAGAAATCTGATGTCAACTTACTACTCCCTGGCCGTTTTGACGTCATCACTTTCAAGCCCCAGGATTACTAGTACTACTACTACTAGACTACACGTGCGACCGGATTTCCATGTGCACGACATGTCGACAGTACATTTTAAAAATAATTTAATTATTTGTACTACATGACTGTATGTAGTGCATATAGTAGTATAGTAGTGGAAGCTCGAAGCCGACCTTCCTTCCTAGATAAAAATAATAATAATATGCACAGACTCTGGTCAGTACATTGTGTACTCGCCTTGGCAAAATAGCTGTCACCACAACGATAAAGTTTAATAGTTACTTGTTGTAAGCCGTCTTGACGTCGTCCTTCTGAAAATAGTCGAGGTACACGATCGTGCTCATCAGTGCAGTGCGTGTAGGATTTTTGTGGCGGCCTTCCATCGCTGTTGTCCCTTTCTTTCGCACCTTGTTTCTTTCAAGTAAGTATCTAATACTTCAGTTGCTTTTTGTAGTGTTCTAAATTTTGTTGTTTTGCACGTGCGACTGTTTTTAACTATCCGTAAAATAGTAACAATCGCTATGTCGGTGCAATCGTTCTGCACGCTGGTTATAGCCAACGCACATTCACTGCTCAGTTACGTACTGCTCTTAGAACATTTGTGGGCTGTGAAAGCACGGAACAGGGCTAGGGAAGCGGGGATGTTGAGTTGCATGTACAGAAAGTAGAAAAATCCAGGCCATCACTTACCCTAACCTGTCAATGAGTTGATGGACGACACCGAATTCTGCAACTCACTACTGTACTAGTACTCAGTTTGTGTTTAGAAATAAGTAATACTTACTTGTGTCTAAGACTAAGGAGGTATCAGGACGCGCATAAGCATGAACAGTTTGTGCTTGTAATAGAGAATGACACAGTCTCTGTCCGCTCCAGCCTAGTGTCACTAGGTGGTCCATCATGCATTGACTTAGTCATTGTGTAGTGGGCGTTTGTTGGTGGTGGAGGTGCTGTGTGCAAAGAGTTTTCGTTGAAAAAAGTGAAGAAGCACTCCACCCGGAAGGATTTAGCTATTTCAGCTGGGAAGAAGTTCAAAGTTTATTTCTCTAGAGCTATGAGTACTTCTTTTGACTCTTGGTTTGACGAAAATGCCCATTGGGAGGACGAATGTGGCGTACTCACAACGTTCAGAAGAGGTGAGGTGAACAGAGGTGCTTTTTAGTAGGTGACAAAAAAACTAGGTTTGAAGTTTTTGCATGATTGTGTTCTAATAAATATATTCACATCTTTCATCATCACCTCTGCCGCTGTTTTAGAGCAGCCTCTGACAGAAGTAAGAGTGGTGTCTGGTTAAACAGTGCTGGTTGGATGCAGGCTGGTGCCTGTGGCAAGTAGTTCACAACCTGCGTACCGTAGAATCCCGCGAATAAGCCCACCCGCGTATAAGCCCATGCTCGCGCATAAGCGCAGGGAAAGTTTGAACATCACAAGGCTTCGTCGTACAAGCCCATGGGCCTATGGCTGTGTTTGCATGAGAAATTTCAACCCGGGTCGAGTTCAGCCCGGGTTGAAAGTCTGTAATAATAGTAATAACTTTATTAGGATGACCCAAAGGCTGACCGCCTATCGTACGATAGACAAAAGAGGTGAGCGTTTACATGAAGACAGTTGACCCGGGCCGAATACTGATATGCCGCCAAAAGTCCACTTCTAGAGTCCTGTATGATCACGTGAATCCGTTAGCGCGAAATTTGCATGTGCAATGCTGTTCAAACCTGGCGCGAGATACACACAGAAGTACGTTTGTACGATTTTCTTGACCCGGGTTGATTTCAACCCTCCCCTTAGGGGAGGGTTGAAATCAACCCGGGGCGGAATTTCAACCAGGGTCAAGCGCAGTGCGTCATGTAAACGCGCCATTCATTTTGTGTACATGGCGGGTTGAAATCTGACCCGGGTCGAACTCAACCCGGGTTGAAACGCCTCATGTAGACACAGCCTAAGTCGTAGGACTCTTGGTCGTACCATGTACACGGGTCACGTAGTACATGTAGGTTTTTTTTAAAAATTTTGGTACATTTCAACAAAATCATCGGTTGTTTTTGTTTGCACAGTGGCTTTCAGCAAATGTACTTCTCACTTCCTTGGTACCTTTCAATAGCAGAATGTTGGTGTCAGCGTATAAGCCCATGTTCTTGTATAAGCCCACCGAAACGTCCTTGTGAAACAGATAAGGCCATGGGCTTATCCGCGGGATTCTACTGTAGTGCACTGGGGTGTGTACGGCTTGATTTGGGGTAGAAATAATTCACACATGCTCACACTGCAGTAGCGGAGTGACTTTACAAGTATGGTGTTCTAACCGTGATTCTCCTCTCCTCACAATGTTCTACAGCCGTACGGCTACTTGGTGGCGTCTAGCGCCGGACAAGCAGGTGAGAACCCCTGCAGTGCATGGGCTTTTTCTCATACAAATCACGGTGTGATTAGCACATCCTACAGCACATCTCAAGTGATAAGTACAGAGAACCGACCGTGTTCTCAATGTTCTCATTCACATTATATGTTCCCTGTTAGGGTGCATACGTTATGAGTTCTTTTAAGTGTTTTCTACTGCCCATATGCAAGAACCACGGCATTTGGTGATCTATAAGGAAGGGTTCTCGGATGTTTCCATATACTGAGCCTGTCTTCTTTGGTTAATTAATGGGCAAAAAGAGGACGTATCTGTTGAAGGGATAAAATATACATACAAGAAAGTTGTGGATACGTCCATGGATGGATTGTTCGCTTACGATGTGTAGATTTAGTATATCTTGGAACACAGGAAATTTCATGCGTTTTCGTATCCATTATTCAAGCGCCGGATTTTGTAATACAAGGTCTCTCATTGCTCATCTATGAATTGGTTGTGTGCTCTGTTCAGGCTCTACTGGTGGCCGTCCAGGATACTATGAAAATGATGGTATGTGGCATTGAAGATATTCCCATTGTTGACCTAGATGTATGCGTAGCTCACTCTCCCACTTTCATCCGCGTAGATGTGCTGTGTACTGTGCAATAAGATAATTCAACAGATTTGAAGTTTTCAACTGCGACCGTTTAAGAGTTGAGTCAGCACCTAGCATGTGCATTGTGTAGTGTAGTATGAAGATGACTGTCAATTTGAGAACGTACGATCACCTATTGATACTAATAATAGTGCTATTCTAACTGCTAGTCATGTCAAAGCAGAGAGAGAGAGAGAGAGAGAGAGAGAGAGAGAGAGACGGAGACGGAGACGGAGACGGAGAGGGAGAGGGGAGGGGAGAGAGAGAGAGAGAGAGAGAGAGAGAGAGAGAGAGACAGAGAGAGAGAGAGAGAGAGAGAGAGAGAGAGAGAGAGAGAGAGAGAGAGAGAGAGAGAGAGAGAGAGAGAGAGAGAGAGAGAGAGAGAGAGAGAGAGAGAGAGAGAGAGAGGGAGAGAGCGAGAATGTGTGAGTGCGAGAGAGAGAGAAGGAAGGATGATTTAGTTCAGATCCATCATTCATTTTGCTTTGCTGCTTACAATTTCTTCAGACACACGAACACCCTACAACACACCAGCCCCTGAACTAAGTGGGAGGAAGTACAGTTTCAGCGCCTATTCACCTGTGCCTGAAGTCAGCGAGCCAAGTGACGGTTCAGCCACACCTTCGCCTGAGGGTAGGTCACAACCCTATGCTCAGTCCGAAGTTTTATATGACTGTGAGTTTCCTCCACTGGATTCTACAATGAGTGACAAGCGTTCTAGCCCTTCGAAGATCCCCAAGCCAAAGCCTGGATCTCACGGTGAGCACCTAATCTCATTGTAGACATCTTCATCCTCTTACGAGATTCTGTTTTTTTGCAATTATTTATGTCTAATTCTTGATGCTGAGGTCTGTAAAATGTTGCTCAAATGTTGTGTATGTACATGTATTGGAGAATCGCACTCACAAAGAAGTAAAAATATGTTGCAGCTGCTGGTAATTCTTCTCTCCCCTCAGCATAACCTAGATTTTTTTCTTTTTTCATTGCGCTCATTTGAGTGCGCATTGCATTCACATCACATCACTCGTGAGGCAGGGAGAGATGTTAGTGCAACTCTGTTAAAATAGTCAATTTATCTTCACCCCTTTCCTGTTTCTAACTTCCCCAACCTAATGAATATTTTATGTATTGGGGGGCCCGACCACGTGCTAGTTTGTAGGTGAAGTGTGTGGGTTACAGTGAGGGCTGCGTCCCTCCAGTCTAAGCTTCAGTTTCGAAGTCTAATGAAATTGTTTTTAACAGTCACTGCTTGGATGACGACTACACCATAGCTTATTGACTCAGCATCGCTGCCCGTAAGCGAAGACCCCTGGTTCGAGTCCTTGTGGTGACAATCAGTTTTTTTCTCCAGACGTTTCCCTTCCCTTCTTCCCTTCCCTAACTAATTAATCTGTTTAAAGACGGTCATGTATAGCGCACGTATACACAAGCCATTGTTCAGGTCCTTAGCCATGGTGCACTGTTTATTGTTCTGCCGAGGATGAACTGTGGTGTAATGTGTTCATGTTGTCTGGTCTGCTGAACGCTAGGCAAGGCCCCAGGGAAAGATCAGAAACCTGGGCGTATTCCACGGTCAAATAAAACAACCAAACCATCGAGGGAACGCTCGCCACCTGCTGGTCGTGCGGCTCAATCTGAAAAGAGAAATGCATCCAAGAAAACCGGTTAGTTCCAGCATAGAGTTATTGACTTATGATGCTACATGTACTCAATCTGTGGCACAGCACAGAGAAAAGGAGGCCGAACCTGATAACCTGATAGCAATGATTTAAACCAGGCCCGAACGTACCTTGCCAGAGTGCTCAAACTGAAAAGTCAGTGAGCTCTGCATAACGCAAACAGCAAAGGCACCGCCCCACGTAAGAGTGCTCAACTGTATAATATGTGCGATGTGTGTATGTCTCATCAAGATCCCACCGTATGATTCCTCCCAAGGACTTGTTTGGTGAAGAGTGAATGGCTGTTCTTCAACTGGAGTCTATCTGCCTCTTAAACGATTTGTTCTGATAAGAGTGTCGGAATGCGGGCAAGTGTTTCCGTGTGTGAAAGAGGAAACTTGTTGTGTGTCTGTGTGTACTATTTGTGTGGGCCTGTGTATGTGCGTATGTGTTTGTGTATTTCTCTATGCTTGTGTGTATATGCATATGCCCATGTATGTGCCCATGTATATGCATGTATGTTAACATTTTTGTTGCCTCTAGATTCAATGCCAGTCAGCACCAGCATCAGTAACACATCGCGCACCCTGGGTGACTTTAGCGATGGTGATAGTGATGTACAAAGTCAAATATCTGACTACAGCCAGACAGGAATGGATTACTTTGCAGGTAAGGCTATCCAGAGATAGATGTACTACTGTGCTTGTGCCCTTTGTTGGAATGATGACACCCTTGGGGCCTTGACCAGCAACGGCAGTTGCGATAAGGACAGTATCATCAGGCTTTTAGAGTGACCAGATGGTGGAGAACTCTGGATTCTTCCAGGTTTCCATTCACTCCTCTTTGACCGAGAACCACCAAAGTTGACGTTCACTCGACCTAGTGGTTTCCCGAAGAGTAAGAGGTATGTTGCTAGGCGAAGAATGCGGAGTGGAGAAAGTAAGGACAGTGTAGAGCCAAGGACTATGCGAGTAGAGAAATGTTGAGATAAGTAGCACGAGAATGACGGAATGGATGATGCATACACAGTCAACAAATATTTTTACCAGATGAAGATGCATGAAGGCAGAAAAAGAACCTCGCACAAACTATGTACAGAAATATTGTGTTCTAACTGTTAGTACCTGTAAAATTACATGCACTACGCGGTAGCTAAGAACTGCTGTCCATACACTTTATCATGCATGATGATCCTGGCTCTGTCGCAGTAGATTTTGAGGATCTATGCCTGTGATTGGCTGTGCAGGTGATAAAGTGCATCATTCCAAATCTGAAGTATCACCCAGCCTCTATGACTCTGGTATCACAAGTGCAGAGGCCAGCATCAGGACAGTGGTGGGCTCGAACGAAAGACCAGACCCTGCTGGTAGCAACCCCTTGAAAGGTTTGAGCAATCCAGCCCTGGCGTCTGCTCGACTGCCCTCGCCAGCACATCCTTATTCATCACCACAAGCTGCACGAAGAGGCCTAACAAGTTCTTATAGCGATTCAAAGATTGGCATGGCGAATAACTCTGATGGTTTTGCCGGTAATCCTCAAACTGCCAGTCTCATGTCAACAAGTGGTGCAGCTATTGTCAAAGCCGAGAGGGTAAGCTGGACGGCTCGGATCCTTCATGTGCTTCCTGTGGTGTAGAAACTGCATTCCCTAGTGTGTGTGTGTGCGTGCGTGCGTATGTGCGTGTGTGTGTGTGTGTGTGTGTGTGTGTGTGTGTGTGTGTGTGTGTGGTGTGATGCACACTGGTCGTGGCATTTCTGTAGGTTATGTGATGCACTGCACTATCATGGGTGGGAATTTATAATCATGGCATTTTCTGCAGAAAAATGGAATTTATGCATGGTCTGTGTTACTGCTGGAAGAGTGTGATTTCTTCATGATCGTATCAGGAGCAAGTTTATCTGTATTTTTTGCTGTATCAATACACACAATTATGTATCAGGATGTTCTTGAGCGGCAAATGAGCAGAGCAAGAGCGCAGATTGCTGAACTTCAAGCGGAGAAGAAGATGCTGAGTGATAAGCTTTCCAAAATGCCAGGTATGGGAGACAAGCACGTGGTGTGTGATCATGGTGATGCAACAATTTGATTTCCTATTGTTTTTGTTCTCTCTCTCTCTGTCTATAGGTTTGTACTATTGTACTATTGTAGAGGAACTGGTAATAATCCTGATGGCACTGTATGATACTGTGTAAGCAGAGTTTTGTATACAACATCAGGAAATCTACTTCCCAGGCACGAAAATTGAAGTGAGGACTGCTTTTGTGAATGGAAATATGTGTCTGTATTGTTTCACGTGATGTGTGTTCTTATCCCCTGGGTATGTATGTTTGGACTGCATTTTTGTTACAACTTTCAAGCAACTATTGAGTCGCTCGAGTCACAGCTCAAGGCTGCCGTGCACACGGCTGACAAGACGAAACAAGAGAAAGGCCTTGCTGTAGCCCAGAAAGAAAGGCAGATCATATCCGAGAAAGACTGGGAAGTTGAAGAGGCACAGCGGCAGAAACGGGAGGTGGAGAGGGAAAGAGACACTCTGAAGGCAGAGGTAAGTTTATACGTATATTCTCTGGATGTACAACCTTGTTACGCCAGAAGTGGTTTCAAGCCATTTTTTCTTCAATGACTTGGCACTATGTTTTTGGGCCTGGCTCAGTCACATAGTATTACTGATACTAGGGAGGTTTAGTCCCATGTAATCCGTGTGTACTTTACGTGTGTGTACCACGTGATACTCAGTGACCCACGTATAGCCGTTTTTTGATTCACGACATACCGTGTATGGAGGCTCACCATCGTTCCGCCAGCCTGTGGGTGAAAATCAGAATGGAGCGCATTGTGCAAGCTGTGAGGGTGCTCATCGGAAGAAGTTTCCGAAGCACGAAATCAAAATATTCGATGAACTTCTAAGCTTCGTCTTTGACCAAGTTTGGGCGTTTCGCTTCATGCTTTTGTTTATTCCGTGTGACTAAAAACAACATTGCGAACGGGAGTCCATTGCATGAACTTTACGTGTATCACCCACGTTCCCGTATCCGTTATGTGGGACTTAACCTCCCTAGTACAGTGGCTTTCCAACTTCAGGAGTTTGGGCACAGCAGTGAAACCATTGCCGCATCCAACACACTGTTCCCCTTAAACCCTAAACTCTAGCACTCCTTTGCTGTTACTGTTATGCACTCAAAGATGTCTGCTTTGCCTGGCATGGTTCCAGTATTTTGGATTAGTTTCTCTTACAAGTCTCCTCTATCCTACCATTACAATTTCACGCACGAAAGTTAATCAGAAGTAACAATTTGACTGGCTTTTGCTTTTATAAAAGGTTTGGGAGCCGGATAAGCGACCATTGTGATGAGCGGGACTGTGATTGTTAGGAGAGGAGTCCAGAAATCATGACACTGTTCATTATTCTTGCTTTCCGGTGCATTAGATTGAAGCTTTAGAAGCTTCGTTGGAAGTTACACGCAAGGAGGTTGTTGCAGCTCGTTCAGAAGTCTCTGGAGAAGAGAAAAGAAAGCAACGCAGCTATGAAGGAGAAGTGTCAGCTCTGAAGGTGAGGTGCTCAAATTAATCACGCACAAAATTAATGCTTGTGATTTGTATGTTGCATATTAATTTTGTCTGTTTTTTGAAATTTACGTGGTGCTCACCCATAAGGGGTGATGTGGGCGACTGGAGAAGAAAATGGTAAAGCAAAAAGGAAATGAACGGAGAAGTAATTGAATGGCGGGAGTGGATATCATTCGGCATCTTAGAGCTGAGGAGGCATCTGGTGTGTAGCTGCCCTCCCTATCACTACATTTGATACTTTTTATCACTAAATCAAACAACAAAATCCGAAACATGGATGTCCAAGAGGGCTTAGAGATATTGTTTCTTGTTTGTTACGAGTTCAATGATTTATGCTGATATGTGCCATTCTTGCTCTTCTTACAACAGAGTGAGCTTCAGGTCGTGAAGGGCCTTCTACGGGACAGTGAAGAGGCGCGGAAGCATGACCAGCATGTCATACAGAACAAGGCTGCAGAGATGGTCAAAGCACAGCAAGCTGCAAATGACCTCAACCGTCAAATTGTGTCCTTGAAGTCGACAACAACTCAGGTTGATCACTCAGGAAGGCCTATTGATGTAAGCATGTAGGCACACCAAATACAAGTATGGTATGTATGTGTGTGTGTATCGCGCGCGCGCGCGTGTGTGTCTCTGTGTCTGTGTCTGTGTCTGTGTGTGTGTTTTTGCATGTGTGTGTTTGTGTGTGTGTGTGTATTTACGTGTGTGTGTGTGTGTGTGTATTTACGTGTGTGTGTGTTTGCGTGTGTGTGTGTGTGTGTGTATGTCTGTGTGTGTGTGTGTGTATGTCTGTGTAGTGTTTGTGTGTGTGTGTGTGTGTGTGTGTGTGTGTGTGTGTGTGTTTGTGTGTGTGTGTGTGTATGTGTGTGTGTGTGTGTGTGTTGTGTGTGTGTGTGTGTGTTTGTGTGTGTGTGTGTGTGTGTGGAAATAGTCATCCACCAACTTTAACAGGACCATAAACACCAGCGTAAATGTACTTTGATACGTGCATTTACATTGTTTTGAGGGCGTGGACCCTATATATCTGTGCTGGATCAGAGTCTTACATTGCCTTCATTGTAAAACTATAATTATAGCTGAAACCAATAGCAGGAGCACAACACATATTACTCGAGATTGGTGTCTTTTGTAGCTGCATCTTGTTAGATTTGCTAGATTTTTTTCACGTGACTATCTTATTTTGTCGCTCCTTATTAACTGTTTTGACTATCAGGTGACCGGACTTCAGTCTGAACTGGAGAAGTACAAGAACCTGCTGGAGGCAATGAAGGATGAGAAAACAAGTGCCATGGCTGACCTTGAAGAAACGCACATTCGCACAACTTTAGAAGCGCAGGTATTGTTCGAGAATGCTACACCCAATATTGCAATCTACCTATGTGACTCTGAAATGAAGTTGTTTGGATCCATTGTACAGTGAAACCTGAAACACTGAGAAGACAAACTTTTGCTTTAGGAGAAGATAACTATTGTATGGATCACTGAATATAACTTCGTGTACAACATGGAGAAGAAGAACTCCCGTTATTGTGGAGTAAAGCTATCGGACGTTTGGTGTTCATCCTAAAGAGGTTTGACTGTACATGAACCGCACCATGAATTGTTTTGTAATTGCAACCAGGGTACATTCACCAGTGTGGTGGACAAAGCGCAATTTGTATTGTGTACGTCATTTGTGGCTTCAATCAAAATTATAAAATGATATATCATGTCGTGTCGGTTCAGAGTACCACTCTAATTGCAGTCGCATGTCTCATCAAAAGCGGCATTAAAATTTCGCTGCCTAAACCTGTATGCTGAGCTGCGTAGTCGTCTAATCAATGTAGTTTATACTGTTGGTAGCAATAATGGCTCTCTCTCTCTCTCTCTCTCTCTCTCTCTCTCTCTCTCTTTCTCTTCCACCCACAATGCTGACTGATGCAACATTTTTACTGTATATTGTATTACACTTTTGTGAGCATTGTTTGCGATGTTTGATTTCTCTTCAGGTGTCTCACAAGCAGGAGTTGCGTAAGATGCGTGCAGAGTCGGACCGCATGCAAGATGTGATAAGGAAGCATGAGGATGATATCCACAAGCTATCCAACGACCTAAACGAGAGCAAACTCGCCCAGGGACCAAATGCCAGTGAAGAAGTGGAAAGGAGTTTCTCACCGTCGAAGAGCTCATCTAAGGCGTCAGCACGCCAAGGATCCGCAATGCAGTACAGTTTCGGCAGATGGACTGCTCATAGAGCTGACTCTAGAAAGGTAGGAGTTGATTGCTATATTGATTGAGTGAAATGATAATGCTTTTGAGCTCTATATTAACGTAAACAAATGGGGACTATATTATAATTATATTAGTTTGTTGTTGCTGGTGATCTTGTGGAGGAGGCTGGTGGTTGTTGAGAGTTTACGTAGTTATGTGTTGTCTATGAGTACTGTGGCTTAGCTGTGCTAAGTGGGTATAATACACCTGTGATTATGAGAATGCGAGTGTATGCAGGAAAGAAAGAAGAGAGTAAAAACGAATGTACCTTGCCCGAACGGTCAAGCTGATATGTCAGTGAGTTGCGCAATGAAAACTTGATCTTCGAAATTGCCTTCATGATACATTTGCTCCAATAGACATGCTCTTTGCATTCTGTATTTGTGTTGGCTTGATCCTTCCATCAGCATGTTGAAGAGATGCGTATCATCATTGAAGCATTGGAGCGCGAAGGCTTTGGTCCAACACAAGCTACTGCAGATGAGGTGAGATGGTACTCCCCCTTTTCTTCCAAGTGTTCTTCAAAGGTTTCTTCTGGAACTTTTGTAGGATGAGTATTTGTACCAGGTGGTGAGCTCAGCCACATAAAGGCGCAAATATGTACCATCTGCCTGTCCACTAGCTCTTGCGCCTGTTTTCCATTTGATGTGCATGTATTGATGGATTTCCTTTTTTTTTGGAAGATCATGACTGTAACTCGATCAGTTCTTGGTCGGTTCTCTCTATTGAAATTATGTTGGTGAAAGAGAAAGCTATTGGCTCACTATAGCAACAATCGCTGTAGCAATATGACTATCGATTGTTCAGATATGAATCCCGATACTGGCCATGGCGTATTAGCTTTTGTATCTTTTTGTACACCGCACCGATAGGCAATATTCCATTTTTGCTCTTTTCTCCTAGCCTGGTGCCATGGAAATGAGATTCCAAAATTTGAGCTCAGTACAGACAAAGACAGTGACATGGCAATGTAGAAGTAGGAAGAAATGTGAAAATAACAATTATGATTGAAACAAGTTTATTGTCAGTTGTTTTCTCACATATGAAAGCCAAGTTGACGGTTTAGTGCGAAGTCAGGGGCTTCGACCAATCTTCATCTGTGTTCTGTCACGCAACAAGATAGAGAGGAGGCATGCCTTCGGTGTAACCTTTTGCTTGACCTCACACTCAACAATCCATGGGTGTCATGTGCAGGACAAGCTCCGCATACTCCACGTTTGATAGGAGTTGCAGCTGCAGTTTTATGTCCACGGCATCTGGAACTTCCGGGAAAGGCCGTCTCATCTTGCCTTTCATTGGAAGTGCTCACCAGAATCCTCGTCGTTGACTGACAAAAAGACTTCATTAATGCACAAGTGTTGTACTTTTAGAGCACTGTGCTTATGATTAGTTACATGTCATATAAATTGATATGATGGTAAGCTTACAATGATTCCTGAACCCACTAGCTAGCCTAAGTCTGCCTGTTTTTTCTATTGCATTATGAATCCTGGAATCCGTTTCTGCTCTTCTCAATGTTGTGAAGGTGATTCGTCACTTGTGGTGGAAGAAAGAGACAGCATCGGAGCAGTTTGTTGCAGCTGACAGTGCATTGAAGAGCATGCCCGGCGGCGATCCGCGACAGGCAATTGAGGTCGGAACCTTCTGTTCAATCTGCTGCTGCTGCTATTGCTGATGCTGATGCTGATGATCATGATCATGGATCACGGATGATAGGACTGCTGCTGAGGGGACTGCATTGACTGGGGATTAGTATTTGCTTCATAACACATGCTGCTTAGCCTCAAATGTGGTATTACTTGTTTACTTGTTGGGGCAATAGAGTTAGCGTAGGAAATTTACTACACTTAGTACGAATAACAAGCGATAAGAAACTCGTTTCGTTATCTATTCCTCCTTTTCTGAAAAGAGCCTTTGCAGATGTGTGTGATGCTGTTGTGATGCGTTCTGAATGTACTTCGGTCAACTCAAATTATCTTGTGCGTCCACACTCAGTATTTACCACTAGTTACAAGATGGCAAGCGAAATGTCAGCGTGTAGAAGGTATTCCAACCCAATTGCTACTCGGCACTTATTTCATAAGTCAGTCGGATCTTTGCAAAAGGTGTCGGTTAACTGGGCTATGGTACTCCATGCAGTGGGTGTTGTGCTGAGCAAACTACGGAACGCAGGGTTAGGTCTAATCTCAGGTTTGTGTTATATTCCAATGTCGGTATCCCTGACTGCCATTCTCTGTTTCAGAAATGGGCAGCCGAGAAGAAAGACCTTACACACCAGCTGGAAACTGCACGAGAAGCCACAACGACTAAAATCCAGGAGATGCAAGTGCTGGAAGGCACTATGAAGAAGTAAGTCATCCATGCTCTTGGTTTTCGACGAAACAGTTAATTGACAGAAGATTGACTAATGTGTAAAGAGAAAAGGACCTATAAGTTGCTATTTATGACTAACAGTCCACCAAGGTAACGAGATAATTGTACATTCAGATAGTGCGACAACAAGGCGCAAAACTGGCAAGGATATTGAGACATTCGACAACCTGACACCTAGCTCTAGGTGGACTGCTAGCCATAATTAGTAACTTATAGGTCTTTTTCTCTTTACATATTACTACTGGCTCAGCATCGGAGTTTTTATTGAATAGTGTGGGCAGGTTTATAAGCCCAATGTGGTGCAGTTGCTTAGAATACATGCATAGTGTTCTGTATGGCATTAGATAAGGCTTGCAATGCTCTTGTAATGGCTGATGTGCTCACAGCGTTCTAACTCATACCAACGATTCGTTTGAATCTCTGCAGAGAAATACAACAGTTGGTCCTTGACAAGCAGAAATCCGTGTCTACAGCTGATGTAGCCAAGCGACAAGCAGCTAGTGCTGAGAAAGAGGTGTCTGAACTGCGTCAAAGGATCAGTGCTTTGCAGGGAAGCTTGATGGACGCTGAAAAGGCGATCACATCAGAAAAGGGTAAGGAGGAAACTTCCTATGATGCTGCAAGTTGTGTTTCAAAACAGAATGGTGTAGTCAGTAGTATTGTGTGAACTTGTTGACCACAGTGTTCTGGCCAATTCTTTCGTGCACATGTATATTTAAAATTGTTTCTGAACATGATGTTACTTTACCAAGGCCAAAGTTCACAATCTTGAGCTCACTGGAAAGCTCTTGGCGAGAGGAATACACCAAGACCACATTTGTCAAAACCATTTTCAGAAAACACTTGCAACAGTGTGGGGAACACGCAGCAACACAACTTTACAGTTCACTTGAACCGCTCCATCTTGTCTTTTGGATTATGGCACTTTGGCAGCTAATGTCTTTCTTTCTGAATGTCATCCGCGTGTTATCTTCAGGCCAAACTAATGAAATCCAGGAAAACTTACGCAAACTGAACAGTGACATGCAAGAAGAGCATCGCACCAGTGCATTGCTACAGGCTGAGATCAAAACGCTGCAATCCGAAATACAGCAGAAGGACAAGGCACTGGCTGCTGGCTCTCGTGATCGTGAAGCCGCAATGCAAAAACTAACGGATGCTGGTCAGACCGTGGAGCAGGGGACGCAGAATCTGGCTGCTGCAAAAGCAAAGGTATGCGCTTGTGTACTCCCCGCAGTGGAATGGCTTGGAGTTCTTTAGCAGTTTCTCTAACTAAGAGGTAGCAAGGGTTGCTGGTACGTGAGATAACGAGTCTAGGATAGATCGTACTAGTGTGGAGACCTAATAATTATAATATAATTATGTGATCAAAGACTGAAGATCCCAAACATGCTCAAGACAGTCACCGAGGGTTAATCTATCGATTTGTGAAGTCAAACATTGGTATCCTTTCCATGGTAACCAAATTGCCTATTTTGGAATAGCCCCCCCCCCCCCCCCCCCCCAGGCTTGGTCTTGGACTGAAATTAGCTTGGTCCCACTTCTTGTTTACCTTCTCCTTTTGTCTATACGGCTTGCTGCTCAGATCCAGCATTTGGAAAGTGAAATGAACCTGTACAGACAACAGCTGAATTCAGCGCAGAGTTCAAGGGATTCCATGCAGGCTCTTCTTGATGAAGCCAAAGTGCGCTCACAGAGTCAACAGAGCGCACTAGAGCGAGAACAACACCAGGCAAGTAAAATCTTTCACGGATTCAACCATTTCCGGCTGTCCGTGCAAGGTCTAACTCCCAATGTTTTCACGACTCTGTCTCTACTTTCATGGCACTGTGCCTGAATGCTCCTAGATGTTACATTCATTCTGGAACTGATGATAATTTGAAAATTTTGAATAGGCTTGGTTGTCTTTTGGTTCCTGTGATTTTGATGTTCAACAGGTGCAAATGTTAAAAACGGAAGTGTCCGTCCTTGAAGAGCATTTCTCGTCACTGCGCCGTGACCTGGAGAAAGAGCGTTCACATGCTGATGAGCTCAATGGTGACCTGGAGTCAAGTCGTGCTGCGATTGCTGCTTTGGAGAGAAGTGTTCAAGATCTTGAATCACAGGTACTGTATTAGAATATGCCATGCTACATGCAGGCTACCTATATTTACATTGTACTCGTTGACGAGTGTGGTTGCGAGTTTTTTACGTCTGACGTCTTGCTCCCCCAACCGGGAGCATGGCGTCCATTGACTTCGGAATTTTGGATAGTGAAGGCTTGGAGTCACTGGCAAAGGCCAATAACGTCAAATGGGCCGGCCTGAGCCGAGTGCAATTGGTAGGCGCCCTGAGGGGAAAGTTGCAACCACTGGACGATCAGATCGACACACACAGGGTCACAAAGCAGGCAGGAGGATGTGAATGTACCAGTACTGATGCTACTGCGCTAACGAAGATGATGGTTGACCTGATGGAGACGGTCCGAAACCTGGTAGCAGAAGTTTCCGACCTACGAAAAATCTCTCTAGAAAAGGAGAAAGGAAAAGATGCCGCCATTGCAGAACTCAGAGAGGAGCTTCGCGCCCTGACACAACACCACCAGCCCATCGATGTCTCTAATCGCGCCCTCGACAGCCTCCAGGATGAGTACTCGTACCGAGCAGCTACAAACATTCCCGCCACGGGTGTACCAGTACCCGCATCTGCACCAACAGGGCTTGAATCCGCAGCTCCAGGCGAGACGTACGCTAGTCGTACCCTCTCTGCACCACGAACAAGCAACGCCAGTCGTACTACTGACAAGCCTGTCAGTACCAAGTACGACTGGTCGATCGTACGTGAAGCCGCCAACCGCCACAGGAAGCCCGCAGATCTGCGTGGAGGTAAGAAAATAGCACGCAGAGTTGTATTCGTTGGGGGCATCAATATCAACTGCAGTGCTGATGATCTTGTTGCGTACTGTAGAAAGAAGAATGTGGAAGTTACTGGCTGTAGACTGATCCCCTCCAGAACAGTGTACGGCACGTTGTACGCACATCTGACAGTTGCTGAGCATGACGAAAGAAATGTTCTGGAAAACGAGTTCTGGCCCGAGCATGTAACAGCACGAGAATGGAAGTTCAAGAACCCACCCCTCCCCAAGAAATCATAAACTGTGATGTTGAATCCACACGCACCCATCTTTTTTCCCACATCACCACACGCTTTTACTCTTAACCCAAATGCAGCCCCGTTCTCTCCCGGCCGACAATCGCAAGTGACCGCACTGAACCCTCTTGCTCCACCATTCCAACCGCCCCCTTTGACTTTCAACTTTTCACCTTGTATTCCTGATATGAAGTCTCCGTCGAGTATCAGGATCTGCACAGTTAACGCATGCAGCTGGCTGAAGCGGGCTGATGAGATTAAAAACTTATTCTGCACATCTCAACTAGATATCTTGGGCATAACTGAAACCTGGTTGACTCCTGATATCACAAGTTCAATATTAACACCGTCAGCTGAATACAAAATTATCCGGCATGACCGTCACAACAATACCGTGCGACGTGGAGGTGGAGTGGCATTCCTCCTCCACCCTTCCATTTCCCATGCTACCAAACATCGTCCAGATCTTCAGCCTGCTGATCCAACCATTGAAATCGTGTGCATAGAACTAGAGCATCGCTCCAACTCCACGTTTGTGTTCTGTTGTTACCGTCCTCCTTGGCAGCCACCTGATCAGTTCTGCAGCGCACTCCGGACCTGCATTCAATCAATATCTTGTCCTCAAGCTTCCATATTTGTCATTGGCGACTTTAACGCTCGCCTCTCGAAATGGCTAGCATCCGATCCTGATACACCTGCTGGTACATGCATGTATGACACCCTGGATGATCTGGGCTTATCGCAACTTGTGGATCAACAGCCTACCCGCTACTCCGCAAGTGGTAAGAGTTCATCACTACTCGACCTAGTTATCACTAATGCTCCAATAGCAGTCTCCCATCTCACCATCCTCCCACCGGTATCTGATCACTGTCCTGTAGTTTTCGATGTCGTCCACAACCGATCAGCAGGCTCCACAGCCCAAATATCTTCTGCACAAAACACCTGGCTCGACTTTGCCCACACGGACTGGCAAGCATTTAACAACCACGTGTGGCAACTACCCTTGCTAGATGCCGTCCAAAATGCGCAAACAGTTGATGAGGCCTGGTCATTGTGGCGCACAGCGCTGGAAGACTCTGTATCGTTGTTTGTTCCCGTTGTCCGGAGAAGCACATTTCCATCGAACAAGCCTTGGTACTCTGCTGTTCACCATCGTCAGAGGCGGCTTCGGGATCGCCTCTTCGCCAAGGCCAAACGTCTCGGATCTACAGATAGTTGGATAGCGTATAGACTCTCACGTAACTGTCTTACTTCCTTGCTCCGGAAGGCGAAACGCCATTATCACGAGAGGATGGCGAGAGACATGGCTCAGCATCATGGAACTCGTACATGGTGGCGCAAAGCAAAGATCCTTTGTAATGTGAATCGCCCGTCTCCGGTTATCCCTGACCTCTACCATGACAACCAAGCCTACCCAGCCACGAGTAATACGGAAAAGACGAATCTCCTAGCCAAAGTGTTTGCGAGCTACAGCCAGGCGCCACTGCTAACACCTGACCTGCACTCAGCTGGTATTTTAACACCCACGTCCACTGTGAAGTTCTCCATACAACCATTCTCTGTGCAGTCCGTATTTGACACGCTATCCAGACTTCCCATTCAACGTAAAACCGCTGGACTGCTGAACAATCGCATCCTCCGTGAAACAGCTGAGGTCACGTCACAGTCTCTTTCCGCCCTTTTCAACCGCTGCTTGCTGTCCAGTACTCAGCCCAGGGAGTGGAAATCTGCCGTTGTTGTACCTGTGTTCAAGGGAAAAGGTAATCCTTCTCACCCAGTCAATTACCGTCCTATATCGCTGTTAAATGCAGTTGCCAAGTTGTATGAGTCTATGATTAGCCGTCAGTTTTACTCGTTTGTTGAGAGCCATAAAATTATCAGTTCCAGCCAGTTTGGCTTTTGTCGAAAGAGGTCAACAGTTGACCAATTGGTACAGCTTACCTCAATTGTTTCGCGTGCATTTGACTCTAAGTCTTCTTGTGACCAGCTGTTCCTTGATTTTTCTAAGGCCTTTGACAGAGTTAGTCATCATTTAGTTATTCAATCTGTTTCAGGTTGGTGTTCTCTTTCTGCCTGTTCTTGGGTGAAGGACTTCATCAGTGATCTTCATCAGTGATCGTAGTATTTGCGTTCGCATTGGCCAAACTCTTTCTGACCCTTTGCCCATCACCGCTGGCGTACCCCAAGGTTCCCATCTCGGCCCGCTTCTTTTTAACCTGTGCATCAACTCCTTTCCTGATGCCCCTGCTTCTAGTACCCTATCCCTTTTTGCTGATGACTCTAATTTAATTCTTGTTTCTCCAGCAAACACCTCACTTCCTATCCATCATGCATTGCTCCAGACTGACATTGATAAGTGTTGTCAATGGTCATCAGCTACTGCCATGACGTTTAACACCAGTAAATGCGTCCACCTACCCTTTCAAAAATATGCATTAGCCCCCGGCCCGTCATCCCCCTTGACAATGAACGGTGTGCCTATTCAGAAAGGTGATAGCCACTGTCATCTCGGCGTGACTATCACTCCTTCACTAAATTTTTCTGACCATATAAAATCTATCACCCATAAGTTTCGCAGTCGTGTTTTTCTGTTGCGCCATATGGCCCATTTCCTTTCTGCTTCAACCGTGAATTTGCTCTACAAGTGTTACGTACGACCACTGTTAGAATACGCAGTCCCTGTCTGGTCATTCGCCGTATCCCATTCAGATTCGCTTACGTTAGACCGACTGCAAGCCGTTGCTGCTCGTTCATATCTGCTTTGTAAGACCCGGCACCCTCCTGAGTGGGAAACCCCGAAGCAGATTCTTAATCGTACTTGTGACTGGTCATCCCTGAAGTGGCGTCGTCAGATTCTGTCCTTGCTGTATTTTCATCATGTCTTTTACCAGTTTCCGTCTTTGCTAATTCGTTTCAAATTCAATGTATCCCTTAGTTGTCGTCACCCGTCCTCTATAGTTTTACCTCGTTCTGGCGCCCATTTCCTTAAATCCCCTCTCTTCAGTTTATCTGTGGAATGGAACAAACTTCCAGAACACATCCGCTGCGTTCAGTCCTCTGTCAATTTTCGCATTGCTCTAAAGGCTCATTACTCTCAGCATAGATATTCTCTGACTGGAATTCCGAACTTTTCCGTTTGAGAAATTTTTTTTTCCTTGAAATTAATCCTTGCTGGGTTTTTTTCATCTAAATGTCCCGCTATTATCTGCAGAGGTGATTTCTTCCCTCGTCGATTTCTTTCCTGCTTTTATACCTCGATATTTAGGTACTTGTTTCCCTTCTTCCCATGCTTCATCTTCCACTCTCCTCTCCCCATTTCCCCATTTTTCTTGCGATATTTATGTGGGAGACTTCCGTGATAAGCATCCATTTGCTTTTGGAGAATCCTTTTAAATAAATACAATACAATACAATACAACTAAACACCATGCTGTTTTCCATTGCGTTCCGTATGTTTTAGGTAGGGTGATCCATTCTGAAGTTTGTACATATGTGCATGTCGAAAAGAGGAGGGAGAAACATGTTTAAAAAAAAGGATCATCTAAACCTTGATTTCGCTAAGCAGAATAGCCAGTGGAAGCGCCTGTGTAGCTCAAAATCAGGCTCAATAGCAGGCTACGAATGAGGTGGTGAGCGCTCAAGCACATGTACTCTTATAGACAAGACAACCTTGCAGTCAGGGTCTGCACAGCTCAAAAGTCTAGCCAGGCACCTTTACCACCAAGATTGTCATCTTTGACTTTGTCTGCGAGCAAGCTCCAAGCATCCGTGACTGTTCAAAAGTCACTTCCGGGGCAACTTTGCGCTAGAACCCTCGTGGAACATACTACTTGCGTGGGTTACTTTATTTATTGCGTGCTTGTGCATGCATTTATATGTGTGCCTTTCGCAATAATTTTGCTTTGTTGTTGTATGATGTGTAGAACAACAAACTTCGATCCGAGCTCAACGATAAGGTTCTTGAACTTGGCAAATCAAGCAGTGCCAACCGCTCGATCAATTACCAGCTGGGAACAACAAGAGAGGACTTGGCAGAAGCTCAGGCCAAGTCTCAGCAGTTGAACATGGACTTAGGACAGGTCAGAGCACAGTTGGATGTTGCAAAGGCTACCATAACACGTCTGGAGCTGGAAAAGAATAACGTGGAATCATCTCTCAACGTGGCACAGGCATCCGTTCAGGACAGGGGACATCACGTCGAACAACTAAAGCAGGTCAGTATTGTTGCTGTGGTAGCTCTTTCTTCATCATAAACCTATCATGAAATAGCACACGGCACACAAACGCTAAGATCCTGTGGACCGTCTTGAAGTATGCTACGAGAATATGTATAGAAACTCTTTCCCCACAAATTAAACAAGTGACCAAGCCCTCTGGTTTAATGACATCTTGTGTACCACAGTGCCCAGTAAACATGCTCATTATTGATGTAGTTGCATAGTGTGTCAGTTGTGTAGGTGCTGTGTTATAATTACAAGGCTCTGCATTGCAGGCTAACTAGCGTCTGCGTATACATGTAGAATGCATCCTCTATTCTTGAGTTCCTGTCTATATACACTGCTGTACACGGTTCTGTTAGATGTATGCCTGCATAAAAAAAAACAGTCTGCATGCAAGCGGCTATATCGAAATTGTTGTTCTGGATTTCATCAGACTGAGTCGTAATGTTTTAATGCCTTGTACTGAATTTCTACCATAAAGGAGGAGCAGACAATCAAGTCTGAACTTGCAGGCCGGCAACATGAGCTGGAACTAGCTAAGGCGGAGAGCAAGAGGCTGGTCGAGCAAGTTCAAGCCTCCAAGGATCACCTCCGAGCTGAGCAGCACACTTTGGAAGAGAAGCAGCAGCACTTGCAACAGCTCGGCCAGTCGCTTGCAGAAGAGCAGGAAAAATGCAAGCAGGTATGCTTGGTGAACTTTCATGTAATCTGAGCGTGCATCTTTGAGTGTCTGTACCCTCAATGTAATGTGATGTGATGCTGTCGAATAGAATCATACTGCTATGGTTTGTCATGCACATGCACTCTATGCCTTAATACTATAAGCCACTTCAGCGACTTTTTTTTCAAAATGTGGAAGCCAACAGTTTCACTTGGAGATTCGACAAACCGTCCTTTATGAGCATGCACAACAAAATTCAGTAGGACATCACCTGTCTAAATACATCCTGTGCCTCCGTACGACTTTTAAAAAGGGACCTGGTACTTGATACAAGCCGCGCACCGTGCTGATACCACAAAAGGAAATCTGACAGCTCGGCTCACGTGACTGAAGTGCCTACTAGTACTAACGTGACGTCATTTCGAATGCAGTGTATGTACATACACGCACGCCGAATACAGTACAGTGCAGTGCGTACAGCCTGCTTGTGACTACTGCATGTTTGCATGTGTATGTGCATATTGGACTGCCAATGTTGCACATAACATGTATGAACTTAGAAGTAGCCTTATGTGGCAATGCATTTTTTGTGACACTGCCGTTTGTCATGCCTAATAATAATGACACTATCCATCAAATGACTGAGAGGAGGGCATGTGATGGCATCTCTGTTACCAAAAGATTATTCGTTTGTGCGTTCGTTAAGCCAAAGAATATTCGGCTACTGGGTTTTGACATTCGTTTCACCAGTTACTTCCCTTTATGATCCACCCTAGCATAACTTACTGGATATGCCGTTACCCTACGACTATGATGTTGGTGTTGTTGTGGATGCAGCTTGAAGCATCTAACCAGCGTGTGAACAAACAACTGGAATCGACTATGCAGACATTGCACAGTGAGAAAGAGAAAAGTGCCGAGTGGCGTGGCGAGGCGGAGACCTATCAGGTGAGTTTGGTACTTGTTGCACATCGTCGCTTTTCGACTTTGTCAGCATCTGTTGTTAGCAGGAGTGCACACATGTAGGCTACTGTGCCATTCCAGTTAGTGTGTTGTCTTTCACCTCCTGATTCACTCTAGATGACCAATCCTGGGTGCATCTCTCTCCTAGATACTCTGTCATTCTTGGTTATTATTAAGTCTTTTCCTTTCTTTAACTCTATCTCTTTCTGAAGTACACTGACTACGCAGAACCTTCCCAGGTGACATTAGAATGAATGTTCTGTGTTGCTGCGCTTTTAGGCGTATTCTGGTCAACTGCAGGAAGAAATAGCTAAGCTGCAACAGCAGTGTGACACATTGTCTAAAGATCTGGATTCCAGTATGCAGCGTGCCAAGTCTGATTCGGAGCAAATGACGAGCAAAATCCAGCAGCTGCAAGTGGCAAAGACCAGACTGGACAGCGATGTTGCTGTGAGTAAAGCTATCTACCATTTTATGCCTTCCTTGATAAAAAAAGAGCACAAGTCAACATTAGAAGTATAGATGAACACGAGGTGTTATGTACAGATGTGTACCCGTGATTAATATACAGTGCACATGACAGTACTTGTAGTAAAATTACGGTGCATGCACAAAGACCTGTGCATAGCCGTAGTGTGTAATCAAAGTGCAGTTCAGCATATGACAGCGCTAAGATAGCAGCAGTAGCCGTCAGCAAGATGTAAGATAAAGGCATACTTTTTTTTTTTTTTTTTTTTTACTATTGAACACTCACTGCATGATGAACTAAAATGAGGAGAAGAACTCGACACAATGGTACATATCCAGCAGGACGGAGTGGGTGGGACCTGTGAAGCTCAGCCGACCAAGGGTCTCGGCATCACAGCTGCACATGTGCACCAAAGGAAACAAAATGGGGAGTGGAAGGGCGGGGACTTACAGTTGATATATTCTATCTCAGCCTGGTGCTGTAGAGTCATGGACATGCTACGATGCGATGGTTGTGTATAACATAAAACTCAGGGTTGCACCGAAATGACTTTACCTCTCTCCTTCCTGTGTGCTACAACACTATGTGTATTTTTGATGTTTTAAAGTTAACATCGATCCTGCATGGCTTCCTGTAATTTTTTAGACTGCTCTATCCACAATCGATATGGGAAACACGGAGAAATTTTCACTGCAGAAGACTGTTGATGATCTCCAGCGGCTGTACGAGGAAGAAAAGACGCTCAGGTCTGGGGAAGAGACCACTTTCCAGGTCCAACTAAAGCAGAAGGAAAAGAAAACAGCTGTAAGTTATAAGGCCACATACATTCAGACTGATTGCCATTTGTCACAACTAAACCACAGTCCATGCATCTGTTGCCGCTTTCGCCGGTGTCATTGCCATAGTTCTTTTCTCGACGTTTGCTATTATTATAGTTGATCTCCTAATATGTATGAGAGGCAATTTTCAGTCACCATTGCTTTGCTATCAACTGAAGCCAATCTGTATCAAGCAAAGAGTTTTACATTGTGTCATCGTAATATGCCTATACCCTTTGTAGGAATTGAAGAAACAGATCCAGCAGCTGCAGGTGGATACTGACAAGTTAAGGTCTGAGAACAAGTTCATCAAGTCACAGGTTGGTGTGAGATCGTGAGATAGCTTACTGGATTGTATACCCTAAGCAGGCCATTTTGAATTTTGTACCAGTAGTCTTGGCTTGGATGATCTTGTATAGGTGGTATAGGTGGGCGAATTATTCCACTAAGTCTTCTGAAGTTCTATACTTTTGTATATGTAGCACCATGCAATATTTCATGAATGTGTTAACTGTATTGCAGCTAGAGAGCATGGATAACGATCATGCATTCAGTTCACTTCGCCTGTCGAAACCTTGTCTCATAAATACGTAGGGTTGACACTGATGTCATTGAGTGTGCTTCTTACACACTAGGTTTCCCCGTGTACATTTTGACTTTCACAATCTCAAGTTTTTAAATAGTTCAAAACGTTCTTTCCGTGTGTGTTTGTGCTTTGGGAAGTCATCTCGTGATGGAATTGCACACGAGCAAGAATTGAGAGAGGTCCTGACCCGCCTGGAGACGGAAGCTGTCAAGACGGATGAAATGCACAAAGCACAAGTCGATGTTTTGTCTGCGAATGAGCAGAAAGCACAGGAGAGATGCAAAGTGGTAGGGAGCGCTCTCAAGTATTTTTTTGCTTCACTTATGTTTGTTTCTTTGTGTCACTTGTCTATTCACGAAAATCATACCGGCAGTACTGTCGCTCGCCGAAGAACTGGGGGGGGGGGGGGGGTCAGCCTCCTAATCTCTACCGTTCGTATTTTCATGCATTACAGTCCATGTGCAGTTGAGTCACCGTGTATGCATTGCCGGGCATGCTGTGCTTGATGAAATTCTAGCCTGGCCGTTCTTCGGCACCCCATTCTTCGGCGCCCGACAATGCTGTACGAATACATTCATACTGAACAGCATCAAGACCAAAGTGATTACTGTCATACTGAACAGCATCAAGACCAAAGTGATTACTGTCATACTGAACAGCATCAAGACCAAAGTGATTACTGTCATACTGAACAGCATCAAGACCAAAGTGATTACTGTCATACTGAACAGCATCAAGACCAAAGTGATTACTGTCATACTGAACAGCATCAAGACCAAAGTGATTACTGTCATACTGAACAGCATCAAGACCAAAGTGATTACTGTCATACTGAACAGCATCAAGACCAAAGTGATTACTGTCATACTGAACAGCATCAAGACCAAAGTGATTACTGTCATACTGAACAGCATCAAGACCAAAGTGATTACTGTCATACTGAACAGCATCAAGACCAAAGTGATTACTGTCATACTGAACAGCATCAAGACCAAAGTGATTACTGTCATACTGAACAGCATCAAGACCAAAGTGATTACTGTCATACTGAACAGCATCAAGACCAAAGTGATTACTGTCATACTGAACAGCATCAAGACCAAAGTGATTACTGTCATACTGAACAGCATCAAGACCAAAGTGATTACTGTCATACTGAACAGCATCAAGACCAAAGTGATTACTGTCATACTGAACAGCATCAAGACCAAAGTGATTACTGTCATACTGAACAGCATCAAGACCAAAGTGATTACTGTCATACTGAACAGCATCAAGACCAAAGTGATTACTGTCATACTGAACAGCATCAAGACCAAAGTGATTACTGTCATACTGAACAGCATCAAGACCAAAGTGATTACTGTCATACTGAACAGCATCAAGACCAAAGTGATTACTGTCATACTGAACAGCATCAAGACCAAAGTGATTACTGTCATACTGAACAGCATCAAGACCAAAGTGATTACTGTCATACTGAACAGCATCAAGACCAAAGTGATTACTGTCATACTGAACAGCATCAAGACCAAAGTGATTACTGTCATACTGAACAGCATCAAGACCAAAGTGATTACTGTCATACTGAACAGCATCAAGACCAAAGTGATTACTGTCATACTGAACAGCATCAAGACCAAAGTGATTACTGTCATACTGAACAGCATCAAGACCAAAGTGATTACTGTCATACTGAACAGCATCAAGACCAAAGTGATTACTGTCATACTGAACAGCATCAAGACCAAAGTGATTACTGTCATACTGAACAGCATCAAGACCAAAGTGATTACTGTCATACTGAACAGCATCAAGACCAAAGTGATTACTGTCATACTGAACAGCATCTAGACTTACAGTGATTACTGTCGTGCTACTTCTGTGCAGGTACCAATTTGCACACTGTCTAAAAAGTCTTTAGCTACGACTGAGAGAGTTTCATGACGATAAGCCAATTCTCACATTGCGAAGTATTGATTGTAATAGAACCTGTGCATTCTGCTCTGTTATCACTACAACGAACAACTAGAGTATAGCTCAATCCACCGTGTACAATTGACTCGTCTAGAGCCGGGTACTATGCTGTCGCAGACGTGCGAACAGTGATTTGTGCATTGGCCGAGGATGCGAACTATATTGCTGAGCTGTTATTGGCCTTGACCTCAACTGTACATATATATGCAGGTTACATTTTCACTTGTGTTTGTGTAACTTATAACTTTGACTGAAACACTGTATATACTCTGTGCGATTGTGTGGGTTTTTTAGCTTTGCCAGGAACTGGAGTCGAGTGAAACCCAGGTTAATCACATCATGCAAGAACTGGCAGCAACCAAAACTATGTCAAGGTTGGTATTGAAATTGTGATAGCAGTTTTCTTTCTTTCGAGCTTTCTCAAGTGATAAACAGGCAAGAGAAAAGGAACAAGAACAAGGATTCTTGTTTAAAATTGTTCTTGTTCGTTTGTACCTAATCCATGGCTTGCTATACTTGAGCCATCATTAGTAACATTTTGACATGTTCTGAAACCGTAGGCATAGAATGTTTGGTATAGCTGGTCATTGAGCACACCAAAGTACAGGTAATGTAGTAGGGGAACGTGATCATAGCACCAATATCCCGGCTGCCTGTTGGTTCAGAGAACTGTTTGAGGAGAAATCTGTCCTGGGTCGTCAGCTGGAGGAGACAAGGCATGAGCTTGACAAGGCAAGAGAAGAGCAAATGCAGTTGGTTCGTGACAGCGGGCTGCAACAAAGTGAACACACTGAACAGGTACGTAACTAAGTATGATAGCTTCATACGCTATTTATTACCAATACTGGCAGCTGGACATTTCTTCCTGTCCAGAAAATCCTTTCGGTATGTGGCCACTATATTGGCAAGTATGCAAGAAAGCTGTCTATGTATGTAGAGATTTAGTGGTCATAACTATGTGAGAAGGCTGCGTTCGAACATCTTATGTGTTTCATAATTTTGTGGAGATGTAGGAAACTAGGCCATGAGCCTCAATTTAACTCGTTAGCAGAGGAATGGTGAAAATGTACTTGGTCGGGCTAATTGCAGGTGTCGCTTGTATCGTACAACTCAGATCGTGCAGTGTACACCGGTTACATCAAATTTCATACACAGAAATGCATTATTTCAGGTTCCCAAGGTTCCTTTACAGGCTTTCATTTGGTTCAGGAGATAGGTCACTATACACTCCCAGTTATATACTGAGTCATGTTCCCAAGTCATGGGGCGAAAGTAGTAGCCCCCCCCCCCCCCGTTCATTTGTCTAAATCATGGATTCATGTGTGTTCTAATGATATGCTTCGGTGCTATAGCTCAAGGGCTTAGCGAGTCAGCATGAGGAAACACTGAAGGAGCTTACTGCAGCTCATCAAGTATCTCAGTTCATGGCGCAGGAGAACAGCAAGCTCCAGCAGCAGGTTAGTGATGGTAATTCACGTTGTGTTCCATGCTATGAATGAGGTGGATTTGCTTTATGACCTGTGTACATATGTTTGAACTCATCAATGTTACCCCATCTTTTTTATCCTAGGTTGATTTTATCCAGGATTCACTGAACGAAACGCGGTCTGCAACTGACAAGATGCGTGAGAGACATAACAGTGAAATGGAAGAAATCAATAAGAAGGTAATCGCAGTCTCATTTTTTTCATAAGGTGCCTTCCGTAAATACCGATATTTATTTAGAAACGAAAACTAGTCGTTTCTCTTCAACCCCCTCCCCCCTCCCTGAGAAACGAACACATACAAATGGTACATAGTATCGATATTTTTGTCTTTTTTTCTGGACATGCTCACACATGCAAAATGTACATCGATATTTATCGAGAAACGAACAGGCGCTCAGCCCCCTCCCCCCTGAACGACTAGTTTTCGTTTCTAAATAAATATATATCTATCAGGGGACACGATAAGATTTCGAAATTGTTCTGACACAATGTCCTGCCACTTCTGGAACCGGTCGGACATGGCCGGACACTGTGATTTTTTTTACAAGTCTGGTACTCAGCACTCATAATAAAAAATAATTATTATTGTCTTCACCAGTTTCACACACGACACCACTGCACACATGCAAGTACCGTACATGCTACATCACACTGCGGTATACCGTATTGCTGGTCACATCAAGGATGATACACTGATCTCAAGTATTGTAACACTGATTCAAATCGCTGTGCGTTTTTCAGCAAGCATAGTAACTGTGATATGAGCGTGCAGTGTTTCTGCACATTTCGGATTTGACCTGGTTTTTCAGCGGCAGATCAAAGACATTCATTTTTACGCAGTCGCCAAAAGACAAAGTGGGCATCTGCTTGCCCATTCTAACTTGTTGTTGCCAGCTCCAAGATCGACAACATGTCACTACTCGAGTTGGCTGAAGGCTCCCATCTTTGCAAACGCGATGTGCTCTTTGAACAGCACGTAGTTTCTACGCGACGTTGAATTTCTGACTTATTTCGCTGCTGCTGCTCCGTCGATCTTGCACAGCGCCTGTGCAACAGGAGCGTACTGGACTGGATTTGCAGAAGACTGCTCCTTTCGATAGAGGCGGCATATCGCAAGCTGGCACACATTTCTGACGCCTTGTTTCCCTGGAACAGGGACGTTTTCAATATTTCGGATTGTAGAAGCGCCTCGCGGAATAGTTCCTATTGTAGCGAGAAAGCGAAGAAATTTCATTTCAAAACTCCTCGATCGTTTGCTACGCTCAAACTGGAGCTACACTTAAGTGGACAGCTCCCTGTTTTGCTGTAAAACCCTGTTGTCACAGGTTGCTGCTCCGACTTCGTGAGACTCCCAGGCAGAGCGCCATTGTCCTCAGCCGTTCTCTTTCCCAGCGACGCTATTTTGTGAATTTCGATCGGACAGATTGTCCGTTCAAGAAAAAAAGCGCCGGATTCGAATCGAAAATGGTCGGAAAATGTCCGATGTCCGACCGTTATCGTGTGCCCTGTCTATATTTACGGATGACCCCTAAGAGCCAGTGGAATACCACAAGTTGTTTTCCTGTATGTGATTGTTATCTGTGCATGAAGTTTTCCTTTGGAAGTTTCTTGCTCAAATCAGCGTCTGTGAAACATCTTTTCACCAGTAATAGGGAAAGTGAATATTGAATTAAATTATGTTCTTCCTGCACAACAGCTGCAGTCTTCTACAATGTCTGAAGCTAAGGTTCATGGCGATATGCAGCAGCTACGCAAGGAACACGAAGCACAGCTGGCATCTTTGCGCAACAAGACCAGTGGTCTAGAGGCTGAAGTATCGCGCCTCAGTACCAATAACCGCCTACTGGAAACGGAGTGCAGTTCGTTGAAGAACCGGCTGAACATGGCCACAGAGGATCTGGAAGCGTCACTGGAGGCCAACACGGCTTTGAACAAGAGCCTGCAGATGGAATCCGAGTCACAAACAAGAATGGAGGCGGCGCTCAAAGAAGAGGTGAGTGTGTCATCAGTTTTGTTAGGTGATTGGCAGTATTTCAAAAATGGTGAATTGCACTCAGAATTTTCTGACAATTCTGGGAGTGGAAAGCATTGCGGTGGGCGTAGTAGTAGTGTTTCACAATTGTATTTTTTCTCTGCGCAAACTGCTGTTTTTAGTATTCAGTTGGTATTGGTAATAATTGTAATTATCCCGATTTTCTGTATCTGCTTTGACGTGGCATGGTTTCAGATTGCGAAACAGCAGCAAGTTGGATATCGTCTGTCTCAGCAACTGGCTAACACGGAGACTGCAAAATCAGCCCTCCAGCAGGTACATCAAACATGCCGATTTTAAGCAGTTCTTTCTCCTTGCCTAAAAGGAAAAACTCAGTTTGTGTTATGGTGTCTGATGACGCCTGGGCAAAGTGCTGGATGATTGGATTGTGCCTCGTAAACATTCACGGATCATCCCATAGGTAACGTAACTATTGCGGTTGCTGTATTCTTCTATGCAGAACTATGACGACATCAAAGCTAAGCTTGAGTATTCAACAAAGAAGGTTCAAGATATGCAGGTAACACTTGATGTCTAGATGTCTCCAGTGTTGATGCATGTGTGGATTGCCTATGCGATGCCTTAGGTTGCACAATGGTGACACGGTTTGCCTTCCGTAGTGGTTAAGCTGTTCAGATAACGGTCTCTTCACAAATTTCCCCTGCAAATCTACAGAAGAAATCAAGCGACCAGAGGGCATCGTTTGAGGAGCTACACGAGGAGAAGCGCCACATGGACATGGCCAATGCGCGCGTGGAAGGTGAACTGGCTGCAGTGAAAGATGCGTATGACGAACAAAAGAAGGATAACCAAGGGCTCAAGCAGCGCCTCAAAGACTCAGCAGATGAGGTAATACAGGCAGCGTTCAGTGCCACTTTTCCTGACTGCACTCATTGACGAAATACACTGGACTGTTTTCTGATAACTGTTGTACATGTGGCTGCGCGTGTAGCTCTTTGTTGTACATGCTGCTGCGCTTGTGTCTCTTTGTCGTACCTGCTGCTGTATTTGTGTCTCTGTGTCGTACGTGCTGCTGACCCGTACATGCTGCTGCGCTGCTTTATTCAATTATTGTATTGCTGACACGTGCACCTTGTTTGTTTAGAGTCTTGTCTGTCCATTATGACTTGTTTCACTCTCACGATAATTATGTTAATCCTGGTAGCAAATTTAGCCAGCTATAATAGTGACCTGAAATGTGTCGCCCACCTATATGGATTGAACATTGACGAGATATTTACCCTGATAGGATATGTCCAAGATAAGGGTCACATGACTAGAATGATGTGGGATCCACATTGCACACTATATTGCTGAGGGAACTTGTACATGGTGTTGTCTTGTGCTCAGCTTGACCGCAAGCATGATGAATCACTTGCAGCCCAAAAGCGGTTCAACACCTTGCTGACATCTCTACATTCAGACTTTGGCAAGGACAAAGCTGCATTAACTGCTGACCGAGATAGCCTGCAAGAGCAAGTCGACAAGATGAGGTATGCTTCCATCTGCAAGTCCATCAAACTTCATTTTTGTCATTTTTGGTTTTCCTCTGTAGTGTGACTATTGTAGTTCAGAGTCTTTGATTCATCAGTACAGCAAAAAATTTCATCAGTAGCAAGTACATCAAAAATCATTCCTTGTAGTTTAGGGGAGTTACTAAAGGTCTGCAACAAACAACTGACTGTCAATCTCACCACAATACCAACAGGCGAGGCATTTTTTGATAATAAATACCTGGGCGTGCCATTCGGAGCTAATATTTTGAATTCTGAATGCATTTTATTTACTTTTTAGTTTGGACCTTGACAACCTGAGGAAGATGGCTCAGGAACGTGATAGAGAATTGTGCCGAGCACAAGAGGACATCACAGATGCGGCAAAGAAATCGTCAAGCATTATGTCTTCACTGGAGTCTGAAATGAAGTAAGGTCTTGTACAAATTATTGATTTCTTTTGGCTATCCGTGTCTTGGTGTCTGCCGTGATCATCCTTGTGTTGCCGATGTGTAACTGTTGATGTGTCTGTTTGTTACAGCCTCACCCATCCCCACATAGCTCTAGTATCTTTCCGTTCTGAACATTGTGTTTGTGTTTCTCGGTGTTGACAGTCAATTTTTTCTTCAGAATTTTCCCGTTTGTCCCTTTCCCTCAAACCAGTTAACGTTTCTGGGTGTATCTATAAATGAAATATAGTGTTGGCTTGAATGTACTCGTATCTGTTTGCTTACGTGTTTGTGCATGTAGATTAAGGTCCGGTCTTCAACAGGAAGTAGCCAGGCTCGAGGAAGACAAGCGTGTTGGAGAGAACCGAATCGAAGGCCTTGAACAGAAAATGAAATCAGGACTAGAACAGCGAGAAAGGTTACAGGTGAGAGACAGTTATAATCTGTTCTCCTGTGTAAGGAACATATGAAGATTATGTATGTGGTGTTGGTGTATATTTATATTCCAGAGCCAGCTAGATTCTGCCCATCGCTCGTGCCATACCCTGAGGGATCAGCTCCAGCAGAATCGAGAATCTGGTGCTGAGAATGTTGCGCGTCTCAAGCAACAGAACACATCCATGGAGAAGAGGCTGGCTGATGAAATCCAGCAGCTTCATGACCAGCTTTCTCAGGTACGACTTGAGCAAAGTGTGTTGGTACGCATATCTTCTAATATGGCGTGCAATGTCCTGTTTTTGAAGGAATGGTAACCACTGCCATCTGATAATAGCAGTGATAGATGAGTATTGGTCTTATCCTTGTTACAGACACGGGGCACTCTGTCAAAGACGAAAGCCAGCCTTGAAGCCGTCGGCACTGCAAGAGACAGGGCATCAGAAGAGCTCGTACAAATGAGCGACTGCATCTCTAAATTGCAGCAGCAGCTGAATGAGGAGGTACGATTAGGAATTTTAAAGTTTAGGATTTGCAGCTATTGTACTTATGTCTAGTTTCCTATGCTTATGATTTAACGCCGGGCTTTACTCAACTAGCAATATCATACTCTTGATGTTTCCATGATATTCAGACTAAGGTTGCGTTTGTTCGGTGTCATCCCGACACCAATCTAAAGCCATTCCGCCGTGTTTTGGTACCAGTGCATTTGTTCGGAATTTCCCGCGACAGCTTTCGTTGCGTGTAATTCCGATTCCTGTCGCGGAATGAATGGGGAAGAATCGATTCCAGCGATTCAAAAGTAAAAGTGGAATGAGTTTTCATTCCGAGCGGAAGGAAAATGCGCGGCTGGCACTGGGGGCTTTGTGCCGCCAGGCCAGACCTGTCACCGCATGAGCTCACATATGCACAGTGAGTCTTGGTAGAAAGCTTTTGCCGCCAGGCCCGATCTGTCACATCAGTGAGCCTTTACAGCAGAACGAGCGAGTAACAGTAAGGTTTCTGTCGTTATTGGTAGTAGAATATAATTGTATTGGCTATTGTACTGTGTGTTGCTACCAACCATACCATAGACCTAACACATGTACCTATAAAAGACTGAGGAATTGGAAGCGCTGAGTAACTTGATTACTCCTGGTCTTCGAGATGGCGAGTAGTGAGGCGGTTTTGTGGTCGGTGAAGTGGACAAAGGACTTCTTGTCCATTTCCTCAGAGTTCCAGGAGAAATTCCTAAACATCAATATAAAAAAGTTACTCTGTGCAGGGCCGGAGGAAGGAGTTTTGGAGTGGTCCGGCCAACCTTTGAGGGGGTCCGACCGTCCGGGGCACCTCCCCCGGGAGAAATATTTAAAATTTACGTGAAATAGAGCGAATTTGGGCACCTCTTAAAAAGGCTCCAGAAAATGCAGAAAATTATAGTAAAAGAACACAAACACAATTTTTTTATATCCATATCAAGCCATACAGTGCCGGTCATGGAGTCCTGAGCTACTTCGAAGCACATCACACGCCGGCAGTACAGTCGAGCAATGTACCTCTGGATTTTTTTACACCGGTTTTGCACGAATCACATGGACCATCCAGCTGGGAAAGTGGTCCGGCCATGGCCGGACCAGCCTGACCGGTTCCGCCGGCCCTGCTGTGGTAACAGATCACTGCAAACCGATGGCCTACGAACTGCCTGGCCGAGTCCTGGTCATGAGCAATGCAGCAATCGATGGAAGAGCCTGAAGTCCTTGTCCCAAAGGTACCTCGAAAGCTTTAAGGAAACATCATGAATGCGGCATACATTGTGAACGACACCAAAAGCAATGATCAACTTCGGATAATCTTCTGGAATATCAAGATCGTCAAACTGCAGCTTTCGCAGCCTGCAGCACAGCAAACGGAACGTCCGCTCTTCTACCTTTCTTGCACTGGCATGAACGTCATTGTAGGTGATCTGGATTTGTTTCAGCACTGAGCACTGGCCCATGCTGCTTGACTGGCACCATAAGCCACTGGTGCAGTGGATAGGTGCTCTCGCCGATGATATACGTCTGAAGGAGGAACAGGACGTTCTGGTGATTGACCACGTCAAGAGCCGGTGTTGAATTTCTCACTACTCTGGCATCATGGACAGAGCCAGGGTAGCCAGCAAAACAGTTCGTGAAGATCATGTCGACATCACTAACTGCTTGTGACACAATGCTGTAGTACGACAGCCTATTCCGGTAGCGGTCCATACTGTGAGACGGTGGCTTCACTTTTATGTGGGTTCCATCAATGGCTCCAATACAGCCTGGAAGAGATGCAATGCTTTCAAATTCTGCAATTTGTTTGAAGAACCCTTGGTCCGTGTGGCCACTTGATGAACTTGGGTGCAAACCTAATCAGCAAAGTCCATACTCTGCGAAAAACCCGCCACACACTGTATTTGCTGAGGTCAAATCGGTCTGACACGTCATGAATGCAGATGGGATTGCCCAGATACCAAAGAGTGACCAGGATATGCTTGGATGGTGCTACCATTGGCCGACCACCTGTCAAACATGGGTACGGTGGCAGTGGCAGTTCACCCTCGCCGCTGTCTGAGAAAGTGTTCGCCCTGGACAACACCTGTAAAGAACTGTAAAGATGCCCTCGCACCTCCTCTCCCCCTCATCGTTGAGCTGGGCCTATAGAATCACCGGGAGGCAAGCCAGAACTCTTTTTCGAGCCCGACAATCCACAGCACATTATCACCCAAACGGGCACTGAGTCTGCCACTCGACTTCTTCTTAGAACAGTGCCTCGTCTTTTTCCAAACAGGCACTTCAAATCCGTGTAGATTTAGAGACGTTGCTGTGAATGAAACGAGGTCAGATAGTCATTATGAAGTAGTGGCCAAATGCCACGTACAGGCACCTCACAGTACGTACACCGTGTTTAGCCGCTCCTTCATCATGACTGACAGGTGCATACAGAAGCGTATGGAAGCTAAATCGTAACTACCGGTAGTCTTCGCAAGGCTACAAAGCAATAGGTAATACTAAAAAATGAAACATTCGACCGTCGTTTCCTGTGTTGTGCAATACCGTTGTCAGATCCCCAAGTGCATGCGCGTGCGGTTGTTTGCTACGTTCATTCCGATTCCTCGAAGGGTATCAAGGACTATATCCCATGCCCATTTCAGAATGACCAAACACACGCAACCTAAGTAGGTGTACACCATAGTCCACGCTTTAAATTGTCTCATGCATGTACACTGAAATTGATCTTGTTGGTCAAACTACATGTAGCTGCTATTTGGAGTCGTTAGACCATGTAACATGTGGCTACATCCAAAAAACACAGGAAACCTTTCGTATATCCCCTTCAACAGGACAACATCAGCTATTTTTTTAGCTCCTGTGCTCCAAGCAAACCTACTACTGAGACATACCTAATAGTAGATTAGGATGTGAACACTGGTTGACGGTTCTGAGTATGTTATCCAACTTTGTGTGTGAATGCAGAATACAGGTCGGCTGGTTGCAGAGCAGGAAATTCAGCATCTCCAGTACCGCCTAAAGGATGACAAAAATCTCCAGGTATATTGTAATATCGAGCTGCATGTAGCCAAGGATATGCTGTAAAAGCCATATATATAACGAAGTGTTAACTCTAACGAGTTAGCGAGGAGAAATCTGTCGTTAAAATATCAATCGTTATACAGTCAGACCTCGCTTAACCGCACACATCTGTTTTCCACAAAAATATCCGGATAGGCGAGGGAACCGGATAACTGAACACACATACTGGATATGCATGTGGCATGTCAAAAGCAGTGGCATCGTACATACATGTAGACGGGTCCTATGCAGTGCAACTAGCGTGCACAGTATGTAAAACAAGCGAGAAAAATGACAAGTGCGTGCAACTGACTGCTGTCCACATGCACCCAGCAGGTCAAGGACCTCATTTGCCTGTACAACTCCCTGATTCTAGCTTCTGCAAGGCACATGCAACCGGATACGACGAAGCTTTTTGTACACATTTCAACCAGTTTGTACACAAAATCATGCACCGGTATGCGGATCGCGAGGTCCGGTTATGTTGTATGCATAACATATGCTGCACATCGGTCCCCAGCGATTTTCTTCCGGATGGCGAGGGATCCGGATAAACGAGTACCGGATAAGCGAGGTCTGACTGTACAGAAATCGATACATATACTGTCCTTTTGAGCGTTAAGAATGGGTGAGAATCGTTACCCTTGGTGTTGCATTACTGCAACAGCACTAAGGGTAAATGCCCATGCACACTCTCTCAGCCCAACACAATCATCACACTCCGGTAGGAATTACAAACTATACTTGATGAAGACAGAAGGAGAAGTGGAGAACACAGGGAACAGAGTAGGCATGTAAACAGCACAGGCACGCAACAGTTACCGCTGGTGCATGCGAGGTGCATGTGCGTACACGAAGGTGTGAAATAGGAAGCGGGGTCAAATTACATATGGATGCACTATGCCAAATATATAGGCACAGGTAGGTGACTGTACATCTCCCCCCGAAAAAAATGCGAACGGAGGGACACGAGAAAGTGTGGAGCAAAGGAGAGAGGAAAAGGAACGATAGCAGTTCTGGAGCGGGTACCAACGTGAGCATTACTCAGAATGATAGAGAGAAAAAACAAACATGAAAAGAACACAGTCATAGTTCAACTGGAACACATGGAGTAAACAGTGTTACTGTGTTCAGGTATTGGCAGCATAGCGTTGCGGCGCATGGCGAACACGGCTGGATGGTGGTCTGCGACCGGGGGGGCAGAGGCTTAGCAACTCGAGGAGACTGCGGCACAGGCAGAAGAGGCGGCAGAGTAGAGTGAGCTGGTGGTTGCAGGGCAACATGCACAGGAACAGGAACACCATACTCAACCTCATACAGGGGCTCAATGGAGGAGGGTGAGCGGGAGGGATCAGGGTGTTTAGCTGACGTGGATGGCAACGCACGCATGTGGCGACGATTTCGGCGGCAGATGACCCAGGAGTGAAATAGTCGACAACAACTAGGTAAGTGGATCCTTTGGCTGCACACAGATCACACGCGATCGTTGACCATGGAAGAGATGGGAACTCGGACGAGATGAGCGGCTCGGCTGGGTTAGGACGGGCCTTGGCACAGGTGGCACAAGACATCACATACGGCTCAATGTCCGTAGACATACCAGACCACCACATCACAGCGCGCGCACGAGCACGACACTTACCAACGCCTTGGTGACCCTCGTGAGCACTGGCAAGGGCGGCGTTGCGCTGGGATGCAGGGATGATGACACGTTGGCCACGGAATATGACACCATCAGCAGTTGAGAGCTCATCGCGAACAGCGAAGTACGGGCAGAGGCTAGCGGGGACCGAGGTGGGCTTGGCTGGCCACCCGTTGAGGATGAGGGCACGGAGGCGACACATGTCGGCATCAGCGTTGGTCGCGTTCCGAACGTCGACCAAGAGCGGGTCGGTGGAGCAATGCGATGTGACGGCAGACACATGCAGCTGCACTTCATCAGCAAGATCACTAGTAGGCGAGGTCTCTTGCGGAGCACGGGATAGGGTGTCGGCAATGACGAGTGATTTGCCGGGCACGTGGATAGCGGTTGGGTTGTACCTCATCAGCCGCATCAGGAGTCTCTGGCATCGCAGAGGAGAGCGGGCGAGATCAGCGGAGTTGATGAGAGGCACGAGAGGCTTGTGGTCAGTCTCGACTGTGAACTGAGGACCGCCGTAGATGTAGTGGTGGAAATGCTCGCATGCCCAAACGATGGCGAGACACTCTTTCTCAATCTGGGCATAGCGCTGCTCAGTAGGTGATAGAGAGCGGGACGCATAGGCAACAGGGCGCCAGCGGGAGCCATCAGGCTGCAGGAGGACAGCACCCAGTCCGTAGCTACTGGCATCAGCACTAATACGGACGGGCTGGTCGGGCGAGAACAGTGCCAAGCAGGGAGCAGTAGTAGCGAGTTCCTTGAGGCGACAGAAGGCAGTTTCTTGCTGGGTGTCCCACTGCCAGGCGGTGTCGGCCTTCAGGAGAGCACGGAGCGGGGCACTGGCATTGGCCATATCTGGCACAAACTTCGACAGAAACGTGAACATGCCCAGAGCACGGCGCAACTCGGGCACGTTGGTCGGTGACTTCAGAGCTTGGATGGCAGACACCTTGGCTGGGTCTGGGCGGACACCGTCAGCACCGATGAGGTGACCCAGGAACGTCAGGGACTTCATACGGAGGCGACTCTTGGCGGGGTTGAGGAGTACGCCTGCAGAAGCGAGAGCTGCGTGGACAGCAGTGAGGGCAGCATCGTGCTCAGCTAGAGTGGCACCGAACACGAGGATGTCATCCATGAAGACGACCACGTTGGGAATGTGCCCAACGATTTCCAGTAGGCGACGCTGGAAAACCTCTGGCGCACTGGTGATACCAAAGGGTAGACGGTTGAAGTGAAACCGGCCAAACGGGGTCATAAAGGTAGTGAGTGACGCACTGTCGTCAGCAAGTGGCACTTGCCAGAACCCAGACGCCGTGTCAAGTGACGAGAAGACCTTGGCGCCGGACAGCTTACCCAGTGTGTCTTCGATGGTCGGCAGAGTGAAGTGTGAACGCTTCGCGGACTGGTTCAGGCGTTTGAGATCCACGCAGATGCGGACGGAGCCATTCTTCCTGAGCACGGGCACCATGGGCGCACACCAGTCGGTCGGATCGGTGACTGGAGAGATGACTCCCATCTGGACCATCCGGTCAAGTTCGGTCTTGACCTTGGCTTGCAGGTGGATGGGAACTCGTCATGCGGTCTGGCAGTGATATGGTTGGGCATTGTCTTGCAGCTCGATGGTAGCTGCAGGACCGGACATGCGACCAATGACAGGAGGAGCGGAGGGAGGGCTTGCGGATGCCTCGGATACATCGCAAGACAGGAGGTTCAGGTCCTGGCACACACTGCGGCTCAGGAGGTTGCTGGGGCCATCAACAACAATAACACGAAAGTGACGTTGCGGTCCTTCCAGGAGCTGGCAGCAACAAATGCGCCGTGTATGGGTAGAGGTTGGCCATCAGGTCCAGTGACCTTAGTGGAGATCGGCGTGAGCTTAGGTTGAGGACTGAGGCTATTGTAGGAAGGCAGTGACAGGAGTCTGCAGTCTGCGCCAGAGTCCAGCTTGAACACCACCGACTGGCCATTGATGGGGAGCTCAACAAGCCAGGGTTCAGTTGAGTCAGGAATGGATACTGAACTCAAAACACAGATACTGGGTTCCTGTGACTCGGATGAAGCACTACCCATAAAACAACTCGCACTAGCACTAGCAGAATCACTCACCGGATGGTCAGACATCTCGCTCGCGCCCACTTGACGAGAGCTACGACACACTTTGGCAAAGTGACCACGACGCTGGCACTTACGGCACTCGACGGACCAAGCAGGACACTCGCGGCGCGAGTGACCACTGGATGAGCCACAGCTGGAGCAGGGAGCGCGCGGAGCAGAGGTTGCTGGAGGGCCACGTGTCGAGTAGCTAGGCGCGGACTGGCGAGATGCAGCGGGAGCATTCTTCGGTCTGCCAGTTCCACGAGATTGTTTGTGATGTCCGCGAGCGACAGCGGCTGCGACGGAGGGCTGAGTGGCTGCGGAGCGCTGAGTGGCTAGCTGGATTTCGAGGGTCTCAGCTGCCTTGGCCTCCTTGAGAACATCGGCGAGGGTGAGGGAGCCTATGTCCTTTTCTGCATCGCCTTACTCACTTCAGAATCAGCCATGTGGGTGACAAGGTGATCGCGGATCCGTTCTGACGGCTTGTCGAAACGGCATCTTGCCGCGACAAAGTGGAGTCGGCTTGAGAACGTGGCTACGGACTCACCGGGGAGCTGGCGGAGACGAGCGAACTGCGTCCGTTCGTGGATAACATTGTCCGCAGGTGCAAAGTACTTGTCGAAAGCATCGACCACTTTATCGAAGTCGTCCTTGTCGGAATCTTGGGCGAAGGACAACTCACGCTGGAAGATATCATCCGCAGTTGGGCCCAGAGAGTAGATGAGAGTGGAGATTTGGACGTCTGCGGATTCGGAAGAGAGTTTGGTAGCAATCTGGAAGCGTGTGAATCGGCTTTTCCAGCGGGGCCAATTCTCAGGTGCGGAAAAGTCGAAGCTTTCAGGGGGCTGAAATTTCGCCATGGCGAGCGGGTCCGGTGGCGAGGGTTCGGGGTACCAGTTCTGACACCAAGTGTTGCGTTACTGCAACAGCACTAAGGGTAAATGCCCATGCACACTCTCTCAGTCCAACACAACCATCACACTCCGGTAGGAATTACAAACTATACTTGATGAAGACAGAAGGAGAAGTGGAGAACACAGGGAACAGAGTAGGCATGTAAACAGCGCAGGCACGCAACAGTTACCGCTGGTGCATGCGAGGTGCATGTGCGTACGCGAAGGTTTGAAATAGGAAGCGGGGTCAAATTACATATGGATGCACTATGCCAAATATATAGGCACAGGTAGGTGACTGTACACTTGGTACACGTAAACTAGTCAATTTTGGGAAATCGTTATATATGTGCCTCGTTAGAATAATGGCTTTTACAGTAGTGAGAATTTATAGAAAATGAAAAAAGGTCAAGGAACTACACGTTCGCTGTATTGTCCACTAACACCACCAGTTACT